ATTATAATTAATTTCTGGTAAAAAAAAATTAAAAATAATTAATGGAAGTTAAAATGATTATTTTTGTTTGTCATTTTAGTGTAAACTAATAGGTGTACTTTTTCAAAAGACATAAAATTTTGAAAATTACAGAAATTAAAAGTAAACTTTACCATAAGTCTATAATTTGAAATTTTAATTTTCTTCCATTATTATTACTAATATCAATTTTTAGTCAAACAGAAACGTTTAATTTCGTTTTATATAAAATAATCAGTAGTAAGGATAAATTTAAGTCAGACGTAGTTCTTTAAATATTTTCAAATTAGTTCAAGTATGAGAAGAATGTTTAAATCAGATCAGACAGTATATTTTCATTCTTGTCTGTTTTGAAAATAAGTAGGAATTGAATGTTTTAGTCAGACACTCTTAATTTACAGTACATTTTCATTATATTTTCATTTTTATCTCTTCTGAAAATAAGTAGTAAAAGTAGAACTTCTGGCAGACACTCTTTATTTCGTAATAATTTGAATTGATTATGGTAAAATTTTTTTATATATCGTATTTTTTAATTTTTTATTTTCTAAAATATCTTCTTCACTTTTAAAAACTTCTTTTTCTCACAAAATTATTATTATGTATTTTTAATACTGTAATATAGTTTTTATTGTAATTTTAATTTTTGAGTTGCTCTGCGTACAACATTTCGATGAACTTTTCGAACATACAACCTGTTTAAGTGAACGGGTAATATAAAAGTAAATGTTTGTACACATAAGGAGAAAACTATAGTCAAAACGTATACAATGTTAATTTTTGGAAATTGAACTAAATTTAAAATTTATTTTAACTTTTAGAAAAACTGCTCTTGGGGGTTAAAAAGCCAGGGACAAAAATCCATTGAATATTATGTGAAATTCAATTGTTTTCTACTTTAAACTAACTTTCCAATTTTACAAAATTTTCGCGTGCTTACTTAATAAAATTAATTAAACACGACGAAAAAATAGTTCAAAGTACGTTAAAAAAATAAACAAGGAATAAACGGTTGCAACAAAATATGGCATTTGTGCGGTGAAATTTAAAGAAGACTTTAAAAAAAGGTACAAAAACTTGGTAGTGTACATCGAAAATATAAACAAACACATTTCGAAATCTTTTTTTTTTTAATTACATACAAGTGGAAAGTCCATGGACGCAATATTTTGGACTTTACAATTTTACTATATGCATATCGCTATATCGACAGTTGAGACATTAAGTTAAGTAGGAAGTAATTATTATTCTATTTTATTTTAATGCACATTCATTTATTTTTAGAGGTAATTATTACAAACGAAATTGATGCGAAGTTATCTTTTCTATTATGAAATTCTCACTTTATAAACCTGTTATGTAAAAAGTTGATGATTTTCGGTATATATAGTAGGCAGAGTTTTGAAGAGATTGTCATTGTGAATCTTTGTGTGAAGAAAAAACTATAAGAAAATGTTCTCGTTTAACCATCTCCAGGTTTCAACCTGTACTTATCTACTGCTTTTAGTTATTGGAATGTCTTCGGCATTCTCGTATAGACAACCACTATGTCAACTGGATGATGGAAAAACAGTAAATTATTCTTTTAAACAATCTTTTGTCGTCTTTACACGGAGAGAAAAATCAAGCGTTTTTAGTATGGACAGTTAACCTTATTTAGTAAAAGAATGCACATGCGCAATATGCGTAAAATTTCTGCTGTATTTGTATCAATTTCTACGTTATCAGCATAAAAGTTCTACCTTTAAACGCATGGGACGCCAGTATACTACGATTGCAAGAGATCCATGCTATTTTAGTATATGTTTCATGCAACTGAGGTATAAGGACACGCCTCTTAAGCAGGGCGTTCATACAAAATTACCATAGGAAGTCTCCATACTAAAAACGCTTGATTTTTCTCTCCGTGTAATAAACTTTGAATATTTGAAATCGATATATATATATACCCAAGCAAAAATTTCTGTCAAATGCCAGTATTTACAACTGGCGCAGTATTGCACTAGTACTGGCATGCCAGCAGTTGGCTTGCCAGTACTGGTTCAGTACTGGTTTCATTAAAATTTCTGTACTACGCCAGTACTGCCCTTTAAGACTGGTATGCCAGTACTATGCCAGTATTGTGCCAGTATTGCGAAAACAACACTGGCAAACCAGTACTACGCCAGTACTGTGCCAGTATTGCTAACACGGCAAACTGACAGTAGTCAGTTAGGAACTATAATTAATGTAAATTTATGCAGTAATTTATAGAAACTTTCGCAATAATTCGTAAAGATATGTTCCACATAAGTTACAATTAAAAACTTTTATTTTAGCAATTTATAAAAATTTTTGCGGTAATTTATAGAAATTTTCGCAATAATATAGTAAAGACATGTAAAGCAAAAATTATCATTAAAATTTTGGATTTCAGTCATTTATGGAAATTTTACGGTAATTTATGGAAATTTATGCGGTAATTTATCAACATTTTGATGATAGTTTATAAAACTATTTAAAACACAAACGAGAACTAAAAAAATTAACATCGGTAATTTATGGTAATTTATGGAAATTTATTAGGTAATTTACTTATTTGGTTTTTTGAATTTAGTTCAATTAAATAATAATTTAACCTAATTACGCAGTTAAACGCTCTTTATTAATTGTAAGTGTAAAAGGTGCCGAAAATTAAAATTTATTATCCTGTAGCTTCGATAGGGTAGTGGTTAGAGTATTAGGCTAGAAGTCCGTAGGTCGTAGGTTCGATTCCCCACAATGGCAAATTTTATTTCGTTATAGGTTTGCGTTTATTCTGCGTTGTAAACATTAATTTAATTAAAAGTTAAAATTTTGGGATTATTTCATGTTTGCAAATATAAATTAATTTTTTTTTATTATATTAATATTGAATTTTAATAAATTTTCCACCAGATTGGAAAATAGACGGTCTGGTCTGATTCAGGCCAGCGCCAGAAGATTTTTCTACACGGGTACTAAACCAGTACTGAACCAGTACTGCGCCAGTACTAAACCAGTACTGGCTGCCAGTACTGCGCCAGTAATATCGAACCAGTACTGAAAAGCGTTATCATTTCGATCAAATGCCAGTACTGGTTCAACCATGGCGGCCAGTACTCCGCCAGTACTGGGCAGTACTGGCGCAGTACTGCGCCAGTTGTCAATTTTTGCTTGGGTATATATATATTATACATTTACTCACCCTCATAAGGAGTAACTGGGGTGTCCCGACACCCCACGCTTTAAACTTATGTTTTATAAGGTTTATATTTGACGTAAAAAAATTATTATAATGAATTAATTGGTTTTTTAGTAAGGAATACAATAATATTATTCATATTTTGATAAATTAAAAAAATTTTGAAAAAAACCATAGATACCATAAAAACACCAAAAAATTGCAAAATTGACTTTTTTTTACAAAAAACGTTGTAGTTTCTTAAAAATTTGACTAATTTAAAAACTATTTTAGGTTTTTAAAGTTAAATAGATACACTTTTAGGGGAAAAAATTAGTTTTTGTATTACTTTCAAAAAACATAATTATTTGAACATCTGAAGTGAAAGAAATAAAAGTCAATTGACGAATAGTGAAAATCATAAAAATAAACTATAAAATGGACTTAAACAATTAATATTTACTAAAAATGGTGTTACAAATTTAAAATTTTACAAACTTAATATATCTGAATATATTAACATTAAAATTAATAACTTATGAAATGATTCTGTAAATTAATATTTAATCAAAGTTTTAATTAACAATTCTTAATACCTCTAATATATGTTAAAATATTATTAACAATATATAATTTATAATTTAAATTTGACTGTCATATACTACATTTTTCTGTATTAGAATTTAATTTCTGACTGCAGAGAGAGCACAGAAATTTTTAATAAATCTTAACTCAAATTTCATAAGTTGTTACAAATACAGAATGTCTATTTTTCATAAAAATAGAATTTTTGTATAAAAATGTTTCTTTTTTATAAAATACAACTTTGTCATGCATAACCTATGAATTTATACTTTATCAGATGATTTTAACTGATTAAAAACGATTTTTTTTTTAAATTTGAATTTACTTATCTTGACAATTTTTCTAACGTTAGGGAGTAACTGGGGTGTCCAGACACCCCAGTTACTCCTTCTAGGGTTAAAATCCCGGAAAATAAAAACAAATTTAAAATAGATCTTGTGTAAAATAAAGCATACTAAGGGGCCATCCACATATTACGTCACACTTTAAGGGGGGAGGGGGGGTCAAACAATTTGTGACACCCTGCAGAGAAAATGGCGCTAATGTATGTAATAGAGTGTGACATGGGGGACGGGGGGGGGTCAAAAATGTCCAGAAATATAGTGTGACGTAATATGTGGATGGCCCCTAATCTTGATGATTTATGTGTGGAGAATCGACAAAAGTGCATTTTTGAGCCTTTTTCAATTAAATCGTAACATTTGTTTGAAAAAGAAATTTCTTTATCAATGTTGACATTACTAAAGAACATAGTGAAGATTAATTGTGCAAAAGTTTGAAGCAGATTTGAAAATAATTTTTAAAGTTATTAAATAGAAAACAGTGGGGAAGTAAAAGTGATATGAGTGAAGAATAATATAAAAGTTTGAGAGGCTCAACTTCTAATGTGTTACTTATAAAATTCACGTTTGGGAGTCCCTTTCACCGTGGAACGTCACATATTATGATTTCCATTTAAATATCTTATTTTTCAAGCCTTGTTATCTAATTTATTAAAATTCATTCAAACTGCTCGACAATAATTAATTTATTGAAGGTCTGTTTACCTATTTATTCTGAATTTTAGTATAAATTTATTGGTGGAAATATTAATTTCCTTATATGAGCAAATCTTTTTGAATATACTGATTTAATATTGAAAATCAATATTAAAATTTAAAAATCAATACGATCTCAAATTTTAAACTGACTAAATATATTTTCAAAATACTTGCAGATTATTCAAACTAGCGTAACTGACATTGATGTAGATAATTCACAAGTTCTGAAATACGCACCTCTTGGTCTTGAAAAATACGCGGCGAACAAGTCCTATGAACCAATTATTGGCAAAATTAATAGAGCTACGGGACAAACTGTGGTAAAAGAAATCTACAAAATAAATGTTACATTTGGAGAAACCAATTGCGCTAAGGGGCAGAAAACTAATTGCGCACTGAAACCGAATGCGGAATCTGAAAACTGCACCATCGAAGTATTGCTCTACCTTTGTAATGATGGTGATGATGAAGATTCAAAAGTCACTGTTACTTGCCCATAGATAGATAGTTTTGAGGTATTTTTATATTCTCTGAATTTCTCTATACATATTGGAAACAATTGAACTGCAATATTCTACGATCATTGTACTAGGGCATTTCCATGAAAAAGCGGACATTTTTGTCCGTGCATCACGACATTAAAAATAGTATATTTTTGATACATTATACTGTAAAATTGAGATTTAAATTGGACAATTTCCTATATTTCTTAATACATCATAATTAAAAAAACATTTTTTAATTATAATTAGAAAAAAGATACAGCCTATTTAATAATAGTGACGCACGGACGTTTTTCATGGAAATGCCCACTAATTAAAAATACTCATAAGAATTTTTAAATAAAATTATTTGACATTTATAATTATTAAAAAATATTTGCATTTATTTTTTTCCCTCATTTTTATTCAACTACATTTAACTAAATTTAAAGTTACTTTAAAATTCGCCTTTTGTAAATAAAAAATTATTTTTCAATTATAAAGTGGGTATGAATGTAAATGTGAAATAGTAAAATAGTTAGTACTGATAATAATAAATCTATTTTTATTATTTTTAGTCTCAATGGTAAAAGTCCGTTCTAGGCAGACATATTTATTTACATATAATTAATCTAAATTTATTATCAGTAGTAGAAAAAAGATTCAGTCAGGCAGAAACGTTTATGAAAATATCAGTAGTATAATAGATAATGGTTAATAATGCGTAGTTATTTAAACTTGTCATTTAGTCTCACTGCAACTTACTTTTACTACTGAGCCATTTACTTTCATGACTTTCAATAACATTCCGACTGACTGAAAATTTACTTCTACTACTTAAAATGAAATTACAAGAATAAAATGCTTATGTCTGACTGAAATTAACTTTTACTACTTGGAGAGATATTAGAATAGTTTCGAAATTTTGTCTGACAAAAAATTACTTTTACCACTGTCAACATATAATTATGAGTCCTATTATAAATACTTTTGTCCGACTAAAGGTAAAGTTCACTGCTTACTATACTAAATAACTAAAAAGAAAGTTTAATAATTGTGACAGACTAAAATCTAAATTTCCAAGTATACAATTCTAAAATTGTATTTATTATTAACAAACCTGTCTGACTGAAACTTACCTTTACTACTGATCCAATAACAATACTTTTAAGAAATAATTTTGTATTTAACTTAAAACTTAAAATAAAGAAAATCGATGGTTTTTAACTAATTACAGTCAACTCTCGATAAGGCAAACTCGAAGGGAGACCGAAAAAACTTTGAGCTATCGAAAAGTTTGAGATATCAAATGTTAATAATGCTTATAAGGAATGAACGGGACCCAAGAATTACTTTGACTTACCGAAACATTTGAGTTATCGCGCTTTGTCTTATCGAGAGTTGACTGTACTTATTAAAAATAATTTGTATTTTCATTTGTATTTATTTATTTATATTTATGTAAAATTAATTTTACATAAATTTACATAGGTAGGTATAATTTATTAATTTTCATATTTTGAACAAAATTATTATAATTAGATTCTCATTTTAATTATTCTATTAATTAATTAATTAATTTAATTAATTAAAGTGTTGTGTCTGGCCAAAGTTCACTTTTACTACTAATTTGGCAAAATGCCAGCCTTTAAGCTCCATTGTCTGACTAGAATTTACACTTTTACTTTCTTAGCTAAAAAATAAAATCGATTTTAATCATTCTGTCTGACAAAAAATTACTATTATTATTAATTATTTATCCAAATAAAATTTATTTACGATTCATTTATTTGTTTATTTTTTAATTGATTTATTTACGTATAATATTTTAATTTTATTGTAATTTAAATGTAATTATTATTAAATAACACCGAGTGATAAATTCAAATTGATATTATTTAATTACTTTGAAAGTACTGCGTCTGACTAAAACTCTCTTTTACTACTTATTATGTATCAAGTTTCGCAAAATTAAAAGTTTCTTGCCGAGAAAAAAAATATTTTTTCAACTTCTATTAATTGTTAAAAAATTTAATAAAGTTTGTCTGACTAAACATTTCTGTTACCACTAATTATTGTAAAAATACTCGACATTGACTCTCCTTCTATTTATAGCTAGAAATTAGAACTGACTTTTAATAATTCTGTCTGACTTGAATTAATTTTTCTACTGATATTTCTTTCTAGTTATTTTTTAATATATTTTCAAACTTTTTATTTATAGATCACCTCTTAATTTGGGTTTATAAAATATTTTTATAATTCTACTTCTATATGACATCTTTTTATTTTTTTTAATACTTTATTATTAGGTAGTATTTTTGATAATAAAATACAAATAATTAATTAATTTTCGAATTTTTTAGAAATAAATAAAAAAATGTACAATTTCGATTTATCAGACAAATACTTTTTAAATAAAGTAATATTAAGATTTTGTTAAAATATTGGATTAAAGAAATAGAAATTACCTATGGAAAAAAATACTAAAAATTTTTTAAAAACAATGTGATTGACAAAATAAAAATTATGAAATTTTTTTTTTCATTATGTTATGAAAGTCTTTTAAAATTTTCAATTTTATTTTGAATTAAGAAATAGAAATTTTATAAATTTTTGAACTCTTAAAAAAAATATACTTTAAATTTTGTTAAAAAATTGTTACGAAGAAAAAAATATTATGCAAATGTTTTTTTATTTATTAATAAACAAAGTTGAAGTTTTGTCAAAAAAAATAGTGATGGAAAAATATAAATGGTCCAAATTTATTTCCTTAAAAAAAAATAATAAATTAGAAAATAGAAATTAAACAAACTTTTTTCCAAAAGAAACTAAAAATTTTTTAACCAAAAAAATATGATTGACATTTCAAAAATATGAAAATTTGTTTTCTTCTTTTCATAAAAACTCTTTTACAATTTTCAATTTTATTTCCAATTAAAATTTTTGATTGACAATTCGAAAAACTATAATTCCGATCTGTCAATCAAAGAGTTTTAGAAAAAAAACAAAAGCCTTGTAACATCAAACTGCGAACAGAATTGAACAGAATGAATGAATAAATGAAAGAGAGAATTATCAGATTATCACATTTAATTTAATAAATAATTTAATAATAATAATTATTATTATTAAAATAAATGAGTATTCCACTTTTAAATAAATGGGGAAAAAATTTGTAAAAATAAAAGTGAATATTGTAATTGGTAAATGAAGGAGAAACAAAAATTGTAAAAACTTCCTGTTTGAAATGTAAACAATGGAAAAATAAGTATATCTACTATACTAATATAATAATATATACCAGAAAAAAAATCTGAAAAAATCGATTTTTCTTATTAAAATCTCATGAATATATTATTTGATAACATTTATGTATTTTATTATAAGAAATATATATTCAAGATAATAATAAGTAATGGACAGTTTGTTTTCACTGTATCCCTCTCATCTCCATCAATTTTCTCCCTTGAGACCTCTTTCTGCAGATCTATAAGCACAAGTAAGGAAAGGAGTCCCAAGGGCGCATGTCTAGTCTACATTTCCCATATGCAACTTTCCAACGTCAAATGCACTAATATTGTCGAGAGTTGAATAAAAATATATTTTTTTAAATTTAAATTCAAATCCAACTCTAAAATTTTATTATCAGAATTTCTACTCATTTTCTCGAAATATTGACTTTAAAAAAAATAAGAAAAAGAATAAAATTACACTTTTACAACTTTCTTTATACTCTATATCTATATGTATACTGTTATTTCTTTCCGTCTTTCCAAATGATAAGAAATTTTATAAAGTTTGAAAAACTCCCCCCCCCCCTCCTCACCTCTCAACTCGCTCAAAAATAAACGAATTTCTATTTTAGTTGAATTCATTTAAAAGATAATTATTTATTATTTTATTTAATAGTATTGTTTATTAATTTTTTACTATTGGGAAATTTATTTTGAAAAAATTCTAGTCTATTGATTATTATTAATGTAATTTATTTTTTATCTATTTATTTATTTTTTCACTTATTTATACCTATTTACTTATTTGCAGCACAGAATATATTTATTCACAAAAAATAAATAGATATCTATTTATTTGGGTTTATAAATAAATTGATTAATAGATATTTATTTATTTATTTATTTATTTATTTATTTATTTATTTATTTATTTATTTATTTATTTATTTATTTATTTATTTATTTATTTATTTATTTATTTATTTATTTATTTATTTATTTACTTACGGGCATTGATAATTATTTATTTATATTTTAGTTATATATGTGTTTATTCATTCATTCATTCATTCATTCATTCATTCATTCATTTATTTATTTATTTGTATTTATTTATATGGGTTTGTAAGTAAATTGATTAATAGATAATCATATATTTAAATTTTATTTATCGTTTTATGTATCACATTAATTTTTAACCATTTTTGGATATTTTATGTTCATCTTATTTTGTAAATTTCAATTCCACTTATTTGGAACTTTTATTTTAGAAATTATATTTCGAAACTTTATTTAAAAAATTTTTAACTTTGAAACTTTCTTTTGTAAATTTTGTAGGTATGTACTTTGGAAAAATAAATTTTTGAAATTTTAATTTTTGGAATTTTTTCTTGTCAATTTTTGATTGGAATTTTTGTTTTACACTTTTGTAACCCAATCTTAATTATTTCTTTATATATTTACCAGCATAACTACACGCGTGCGTGAAATTTTTGTGCCCATTGTTAGCTATAAAAAATTTCTTTTTGAAATTTAATAAAAATTTATTACTTTCTAAAAAATATAATTTTTCAAAATATAATTCTTCAAAAATACGATTATCTTTCAAAACATTTTTTAAAAGTAATAATATTAAATTCTTTTAACTATAAAATTTATAATCCATAAAAATTGACAAAACTTTTAATTTTTTAAATTATTTTCGAGAATAGGATTGAATTGACTTTTACTAGAATTTTTACATTAAATTATATTCAAAACTTCAATAATTTTTTCGTTAAATAAATATTTAGAAACGTATTGTTATTTATTTTAATAAAAATTTCAAATAATTTCTAGGTAAAACCTTTTGAAATTTAACTATTTCAAATTCAATTACTTTTTGTTTAATAAATAATTTGAATTCTCGTGGTTTTTATTTGTCCAGCAGGAATTAAAATTTCAATGAAATTTTAAATGTAAAACCTTTTGAAATTTTGTTTCTAAAAATTAGAACTGAAATTTTTTCAATTCCAATTTTCTAAAATTTTAACTGAAATTCTTTTTCAAATCAATTCTTATAAAAAAAATTAATTGAACTAATTACAAAACACAAATTTTTGAATAATTTCATAATCAGAATTTAAAAAATCATATTAAGCATGAATAATTATTATTGTTTATATCTTCAAAAATTTTAATTTCTTCTCAAGAATTCAATTATTTCCATAAATAATAACATTCTTTAAAAGAATTCAATTATTTTTATAAATAGTAAAATTTTTTGCAAAAATTAATTGATTCTTCGCATCAATTCAATTAATTTTAATAGTAAAATCTTTGCAAAGATTCACTATTTTCAATAAAATTTCACTAAAGAATTGAATTTTGTTCTTAATTCGCTTTTAAAATTTCCAAAAGAATTCAATTATTTTCTAAAATTATAATATATTCCTTCGAAACAATTTAATTATTTTTATAAATACCTAGTAAATTTTTTTGCAAAAATTCAATTATTTTTAACAAAATTTTAATAAAATTTCACGAAAGAATTCAATTATTTTCTAAAATTTTTATAAATCCTTCAAAATAATTCAATTACTTTCAATGAAATTTCACGAAAGAATTCAATTATTTTCTAAAATTATAATAAATCTTTTGAAATAATTCAATTATTTCTATAAAGAGTAAAATTCTTTGCAAAAATTCAATTATTTTGAATACAAGTTTAATAAAATTTCATGAAAGAATTCATTTTTTTTTTTAATTTTCAATATTTTTCGAAAAAATTCAAATATTTTCTAAAATTTTAATAAATCCTTCGAAGCAATTCAATTTTTTAATAAAATGTTTCGAAAGAATACAATAATTTTTTTTAAATTTTAATAAATTCTTTGAAACAATTCAATTATTTTTATAAGATATAAAATTAATCGCAAGAATTAAATTAGTTTTTATAAATATTAAAATTCTTCTCAGCAATTTAATTATTTTTAATACAATTCTAATAAAATTCAATAATCAAATTAATTATTTTCTATATTTTAATAACATTTTTTGAATGAATTAAATTATTTTAAAAAATTGTAATAAAATTCTCAAAAGAATTTAATTATTTTTTGAAAATTTTAATAAAATTCAATAATTAAATGTTTAAATTCAATTATTAAGAAACACGATTAGTTTTAAAAATTAATAAAAATTCTTCAGAAAATTTAATTTCTTTAAAACTTTCCAATTAAAATTATCAATGAAACTCCATTATTATAAAAAAAATGAATTAAATTCATCAAAAGAATTGAATTAGGATTTTCAAAAATTTTATTCAAATTCTTCGTTGAAATTCAATTATTCTCAAATTTTTTGATAAACTTCCTCGAAGGAATTGAATTATTTTCAAATTTTTGGATAAAATGTTTTGCAAGAATGCAATGATTTTCAAATACATTAATTTTAAAATTGAAAATATGTAAAAAGAAAGATTATTAAGAAAGTTAGGAAATAAAAAAGCAAATAACAACGAACTTGAAACTGCGAACAGATTACAGGAATACAACGATTATTAATATAGATAAAAGAAGATTTATTTACAAATATAAATATTTACTTATTTATTTCTTTATTTATTTGCTTAATTATTTAATTTCCATTTAACGGAATTTCTACGTACCTAACTTATACAAAAATCTTCTTTTTTTTAAACTTTAATTTTGCAGAAATTTTCATTTCTGAAACGAATAAATTTCCTCTTAATAATAATATTATTATTAATGTATTAATATTCAATTATTGGAATTTCAGTATTAAACAATTATAATTTTGAATACCTTGTTTTATTGTGATAATTGGCAGAGCATTGCCACGCCTCTCATTATCCAATGTTCCTCTGGATGAATCGTTGGAAGCCACATTGCAATAACAAAATTAGTTGAATGTCCAGTTGTTGAAAGCACTCCACGTCTTTCGCTGGTTTTGTAAACTGGACATGTATATAATAATCTCTCTTTTACTTTATCCTTTGTCATTGGAATCAACCACAACTGTTAACAAAAGAAATTTAATTTGTTAATTAAATTACATCTGAATTTGAAAATTTGTCTGATTTAAAAACATTTTTTAATTTATTTACATTTGTAGGGGAATGTAGTCAAGGTTGGTCTACTGTCTAGGTAGGCCATCGCGATTTTTTGGACAAGTTCACTAGCGCCACCTACGCGCATGCTTGTCGAAGCTTGTCTTAGAGTAACCTAACTTTTTGTTCAATTACATTCTCGGAAAATCGAAAATTGTGTTTTCTGTGACGTCGGTACAAAAAAAGCTGAAAAAAAGTTTTGTGCATAATGTGAAAAACCATTAATAAAAGATAAAAAACAAATTTAATCGTCAAGGCAAGTATGCAGAAAATTTGTGGGACTCATGGTTGAAAGAAAAACAAAGTAAAAAATCGAATCCCGAAACGTATTTCTTTATGGTTACAACAATTCGGTAATGTTACTTACTGTCAAGGTCGGCCACTATGTGTTTAAAATGCACAAAGTTGAGGACGAGCTACTTCATTTGCAAAAACTGCAATTCTGTATAACTCATAATATAATTGATCATCTTATTAATATTTTTATTTAATTTTATTAATATTTTAGTGCAAAACTTTTTTTTATTTATATTTATTTTTTTATATTGTTTATTGTTATTATTTTGTTATTTCATTAAGTTACAAACTGTAAACAATAAAGAATCAATTTTCCGTAACTCCAAACATGTTATTTTATTTTTTAACGATTAATGCCCTTTGAATTTTAAACATGGCCGACCTTGACTGTAATGGCCAACCTGGACTACAAATTTTTTTTTTTTTAAATCTTTATAACTTTTTCATTTTTAAACCTGTCAATTTACTTTGTACAGAAAAAATGTTCCTATTAAACAGGACTTTCCAACCATATACTTCAATTGTCCAAATTCATTTTTAAAAAAAAGTTATAAACAAAAGTCAAAAAGGTGGCCGACCTAGACTATGTTCCCCTATTAATTACTGGAATAAATATTTTTTAATTGGTTTTTTTCCTTATTAATATTTAAATAATAGCTTATATTTATTTATTTCGTTTATTTCTTGATTTATCTACTTTTTGATTTGTTTACTTTTTCATTTATTTATTTTTCGAAAAACTTATTTACAGTTTCATTTATATTAATATCCTTATTGACTGTTTTATTATTCGGAATTTTCTTCCCTTGATATTGAATTTTGTATTTTGTTCTCTCTTTTAAATAAAATACAAAAAAAGGACAATAAAATACAATTCTCAAATGATAGATTTATTTATCGTTCTATGTATTCATTCATTTTTTTTTATTTACTTATTTAATTTTCCGATTGACTTATTTATTTTATTTACTTGTTTATTTGCTGATTGATTTATTTATTTTTTGATTTACTTCCATTTTTGTTTGATTTATTTATTAACGTTTTGAAATATTTACATTCTTATTGATTTTTCAAGTGATTTATTTATTGTTTTATTTATTTGTGATAGATTTATTTACTTATTTCTTTATTTATTTCGATGGATTTATTCAGTTATTTCTTTATTTATTTTGATTGATTTATTTAGTGATTTATTTATTACCATTCTCCCAGTGAAACTTACATAAGGCATTGTATCGAATAGCACTTTTGGATGAGCTTCATCGAGTCTCATCTCATTAATATTGAAGCGAGCACCATCCAGAAACAAACCGTGGATATAGATTCCATCGGAAGGCGCTTCAGGGAATTCCCTTTCTTTCAATGGGACAAAATCGTAAATCAACAAATCAATCGGAATTGAATATTTTCTCGCATAATTTTGTCGAGCACCAGTTAAAAATGCTTGAGTAAAATAAAATCCAGATATCCAAAATGTTTTTGGTGGTCCATCATTGTACCAATCCTGTAAAACCAATTTTTTTTATTTATTCAAATTTGTTAAAAATAGAACAATTAAAATCAGACGAAATTAGACAAAATAATCGAAAATTATTGTTAGACATTTAATTTTCGAAAATTTCATGAGTTTGAAAATAATTTTTCTATTTTCATTTCTCTTTAAAAAAAAGTCTATTAAAGTTAAATAAAATATTAACAAGAAAGTCTATTAATTGCAAATTGTATTTTATCTCACTCGAAAAAGAAATGAAAAATTCACAAACCTGGAGAAAATTTAATCGACGAATAAAGTCCTGAATATAACTTCCCAATGGTTTTAGGGAAGGATAGGAATTTTTTTTCCATAATATTGGAATTCTTCCGGTGATCATTGATGTGTAAATTTCCTCGAGATCATAATTCATCACCACAAGACCTTTTTAGAGGGGAAAAGAATGGAATTTTAAGAAACTATTTCCAAAAATTGAAAATTTGATCCATATTTTCTATTATATTTACCTTTTATGCCCTTTTGCAAATTTATGAGACTGTCCCTTATAGTTTGGAGAAGCTTGTTGAATCTCCCCATTTCCTGGACCAAAACAGTATTCATACTCTGCTCATAGGAGGTGGGATATTTCTCCAAAGCTTTAACAAGATCAAAATCGATTGGTAATTTCGATAAAATATCCACTGAAATTCCAAAAACAATTTCGTCCGATGATTTGATACCTCCATCATCTTCAACCGCAGTGTCCTGTAAATTTGTTTCAATTCAAAAATATTTAATTACCGTTTATAATTAACTCTTTTCATTTTAGTTAATTTTAATTCGTGTTTTCATTTTGCGAAAATTTATTAAAAATTAGCAAATTTATTATTATATATTTATTATTATAATGCAAATTAACATATTTTTTTCACATAACAACTTCAATTTTTTAATACTTTCAGCTTTATAATATCAAAAAGGCACTTATTAACTAATTAATTATTATTATTTATTATTTTCATAGAAAATAACATTTTTCTAAAATTATTAATACAATTTTCCACAAAAATTCAATTATTTTTAAAAGTAATAAAATTTTTCACATGAAGACAATAGTTTTCAATTCAATTTTAATAAAATTTCTCAAGAAATTCAATTATTTAAAAAAATTTTAATAAAATTCTACGAAAGAATTTGGTTTTCAATTCTTTCAAAAATTTTATAATAAAATTCCTCATAAGAATTGAAATAATTTTATAAATAATAAAATTCTAAAACTATTTTTAGAATTAATAAAATTCTTCGAAGGAAATCAATTATTTTCAATACGATTTACAAAAATTTATCGCAAAAAGAATAAATTCAATTATTCTAAAAGATTTTAGTATTAAATTCTACGAAAGAATTAAATTATTTAAAAAAAATTTTGATAAAAATTCTTTCTAAGAATTTATTAATTTTTAATAAATTTGTTAGAGGAAAATAATTATTTTAAAAAATTTTAATAAAATTATCCTAAAGTATTTAATTGTTTTTTATAAGAAACAAAATTTTTCGCTGGAAATCAATATTATATTCAAAAAATTTTAATATTTTTCGATCAAAAACAATTATTTCTAAAAATTTTAATAAAATTATTTAAAACAATTCAATTTTTTTAAATAATATTGAAAAATTCTTTTCTTAATGTTTCCAAAAGTAATTTAATTAATTGACTTGAAAAAGTTTAATTATTTTCATAAATTTTTGAAAATTTTATAATAATGGAATCATTTTAATTAATTTTAAAAAATTAATAAAATTCTTCGTATAAATTCAATTGTTTTGATCTACAATAAGTTCTTCACACTCAATTAATTGTAATACAATTTTAATAAAATTTCTCGAAAGAATTCAATTATTTTTAAAAATTTTGATGTAACTTTTTATAAGAATTCAATTATTTTTAATATACAATTTTAATTATATTTCTAGAAAGAATTTAATTATTTTAAAAAATTTTAATAAAATTCTTTGAAACAATTTAATTCAATTTATAAATTAATTCAAACTTAAAATTTTAAAAGTTACAAAATTCATAACATTTTTTTAACAGAAACTTTATTTTTTAAAATTAAGAAGAATTCACTTTTTAACTCAAAATTGGGGAATATAAAGTAATTTCTAAATTTTTTTTGCAAAAATAATATCACAAAATTTATTCTCCAAATCTGAATTAGTAAAAATTTGAAATAAATTATGAAAAAAGAATGTATTTTATGTTTTTGAATGTTAAAATAAATTTACAAATTAAATTATGATTTTTAATTCGAAACAAAAAACAATTAGAGAACAAAAAAAATGTATTTCGTTTATTTGAACGTTCAAGACTTTTAAAAAAACTTTTAATTTATCTAATTTTTATGAATTTAAATTACGATATTAAATTGAATTTAAATTTAAACTTAATTTAAATTAATTAAAGAAAATATTTGACGAAAATGAAAAAGCAGTTTAGAAAATACAAATAGTAAATAAAAGAGAAAGAGGAGAAAGAGGAGAAAGAAAAGAAGAAAATGTAAAATTGAACCTGAGTTAATAAAATGGACGTCATCATTAATTCCGTCTCCTGTTGATCCTTAACAATATCAGCATTCTCATTCATTCCAAAAACATCGGGTCCAGTTATCATTGGCAGTGATTTGATGTAACTCAAAAATTGTCCATATTCATTTACCTGAGGCACATGATAAATACCGCTTTCATCAAAGCAGTGCTCATTAACGTTAATCACATTCTCGTTATAGAATTTAGACAGAATCGTGTTTAAAGTACGTCGATCCCATTCATCCGTTACTCGTCCACCATAATTGCATTCACCTTTTACAAATTAAAATCAAATCAAATTATTCAGTTCAAAGCATTTCAGTGCTTTTGAAGTTATATGCAGAATGTATACACGTATAACATCAACATTGTAGCATTTATCTCAAACCTGTCAAATATTTTAAAGCGACAAATTGCACATCCTCATATTGATCGAGAAAAATTTTTAATTGCAACACACTAATTCGTAAATCTGTCTCGTTGAATTCATAAGGATTATTCCAGCCTAGTGATCCAAATTTTCGTCTCTCTTGAACGATCGCGTGAAAAAAGGACAATGCAAATATTAGTCTCTTAAATTCATCTGGCTGCTTTGATTTTGCGAAAAAATCCTGCTCGCAAATTGGATCCTGTAAATTCAAACTATTTTGTAAAATTGGAAATTTAGAAAAAAATATTTTTTAATTTCCTTTTCAATTTTTTTAATAGAGCAATTTTACGTAAACTGATCTAATCGATAAAAATCAATTTAAGGAGCATCGTTATATTCAATGTTTCAATCCCTTTTTTTTTAAATAAATCTTATTTTTATTTCTCAATTTTTACAAACACTATTCCTATTTTTATTGTTTTTTTAATTTTATTTCTATGCAACAAAAAACTATAAAAAATATTTTTAAAAAACATTTTTTAAAACTCTTTTTTCTATTTTTTTTAAAACTTATAATTGTTCCATTTTCAAAATTTACATTTTTTGCTAGAAAATGTCACGCACAAAATATAATATTCAAATTACAAAATTTTTTATGTTCAAATATAAATTTTTGAATAATGTCAGATTACAATTTTTTTTTAATTTTCTTATTAGGTGCACAATTAATTAGTTGTTTATTATTTTCAAAAAATTTTATAAAATTCTTCGCAAGAATTCAATTATTTCTATAAGTTTTTATTTATTTCTAACATTCTTTGAAATAATTCAATTATTTTTATAAATTATAAAATTTGTCTAAGAAATTCAATTATTTCCATTACAATTTGAATAAAAATCAAATTATTTTAAAAATTAAAAAAAATTCTTTGTATAATTAAATTATTTTTAAAATTTCTAATTACAATTATTTAAAAAAGTACATTATTTTTAAACAATTTGACGACATTCTTCAAAAGAATTTAATTATTTTCAATACAATTATAATAAAATTTCTGGATCAAAATCAATTATTTAAAAAAAATTTAATAAAATTATCCAAAACAATTCAACATTTTACAAAAATTTTGATAAAATTCTTTCTAATAATTTTAAATATTTTCAAAAGAAATTTAATTTAATGTCTTGAAAAAGTTTATTTATTTTCATAAACTTTTCAAAAATGTTTCATTCTTTTTAAAAACTTTATAATAATAGAATCATTTTAATTAATTTGAAAAATTTAATAAAATTCTTCGCAAGAATTTAATTTTCTTTTAACTAATGAATTTCTTCGAAGAAATTCAATTATTTTTATAAATAATTAAATTCTTTGCAGGAATTCAATTATTTTCAATACAATTTTAATAAAATGTTACGAAAAAATTCAATTAGAATTACAAAATTTTTGTTTGAGAAGAAACGTTTGAAATTACACAAAAAATGCTTTAAAATAAAAAAATAATGAAAACAATAAATTTTTAAACACTTTTTTCTATTTCCTTGAAATTGTTGTCCCATTTTTAAACTTTATCGAATTTACAGAAAAAAACTGAGCTTTCTAATCAAAACGATGAAAAATTGGGAAAAATATAGTTTTTGTAAAAATGGAAAAATAAGACTTAGTTTTAAAAAAAGATTTTTAAAATTGAAAACTACATGAAACTTTCTTTAAATTCACTATATGAAAATTGAAATATGTCAAGTTTAATCGATTAAAACGTCATAACTGCAACACCCTTAATTTACAAAATTTATTTTTAAAAAGTTGAATAATTCAGCTTTTTACTACTTTTTCATGGAAATTGCTCAATAGCGAAAAATAATTTACAAATAAAAGATTAAAAAATTAAATTAAAAAAACAATAAAAGTAAAAAATACTTCTTCTTAGAAATTTTTTTCTACTATTCTTATAAATAAATTTTCATTTAATGGAAAAGAATAATTTAAAAGTTGTAAAGGAAAAAAATTCTTTTCAAGCTTTAGAGGTGCATAAGAATTGCAATAGAATGAAGAGTAATTTGGGATTGTAGAGAGAAAAAAATGGACGATGTACAACCTGTTGAAAAGATCTGATGATATTTGCTTTTAAGCCCTTCGGTGGTTCATTTGTTATCTTAACTCCATTTTGTAGTACACTAACGGGAAAATGTTCCGCTGGATAGCTCGTTAACCAAAGTCTGAAATCCGGATGAACCGTTTCCGGCGTGAAACTCTCGCAAATCTAAAACAATGTAATTTAATTTATTTAAAGTCTGTTTGTTTAAATTTAAAATAAATAAAATTAGAAATAAAAACTTGTTAATTAATTGTTTCAATGTATAATTAAATACCGAATTTCTTATACATTTCATTTACTGAAATTAGAAAATTAGAAAATTAAGAAATTATAAACTTCAATGTACAATGAAACATTTATTTTTTATTTTTTTTATAATTGTATGTTAGAATAGTATTTAATAATTGTTTAAATTTAAATTAAATAAAACTAAAAATAAAATCTTAGTAATTAACTGAAGCTCAAGCTCAAGTACATAATTAAATAGAGAATATCTTATGCATTTCAATTATTAAAATTACAAAATTACAAAATTCAATGCAATGAAATATTTAATTTCTTATAATTTTTATTTTTAAATAATTGTCGAATAAAAAAATTCGAATTTTTTCAATAATTGAATTCGTACCATTGAAACGAAATACATACATTTAAATAGTAGCTTTTTTAAATTAAAATAATTAAAGAAAAGTAATTAAAATTTAGTAATTCAAAGTAAAAAATTCGATTTTAAATAATAGAATTTAGAACAATATCATTCTTATGCACTCTAAAAAATATTTTAATTAATTCTAAAAATGATTAGATACTCAAAAAAATGTTCTATTACATTTATTTACGAATTTCTTTAATTGTAAAATTATTCGAAAACATCACTAAATTCATTTTTAAATAAATATTTAATTATTATTATTCTTCCACAGGAATTAAGATTTTCAAAATTTTCAAATTCAAATCTTTTGAAATGCAATAACCGAGTGATAAAATCATTATTTTATATTAGAAGATTGTTTGGAAATTCTCCAATTAAATATATATTAAAAAATAAAAGCTTGAAATAACTTCAAAAAAAATTAAATTAAACTTTTTCAAAAAAATTAGATCTACAAAATTGTTAGTTAAAAGTATAAAAAATTCAGATTTTCAAAGATTTTAATTTGAAACCTTTTCGAAATTCAATTATTTCTAAAACTTTACGCTATAATGCTTTTAATATTCAATTATTATCTAAAATTTTAACTAAAATTCATTTTTAAATCAATTTTCATTAAAAAAAATTCTACGAGAATTCAATTATTTAAAATTTTAAATAATTAGATTTTTTTGACGAATTTTAATAACATTTTTAAAAATAATTACATTTTTCAAGGAATTTGATTAAAATTGTATTAAAAAATAATTGAAATTCTGTTATGAGTTTTATTAGTTATGAAAATATTTGAATTCCTAAAAAGAATTTTATTATTTACAAAAAAAAAATTGAATTCCTAAAACGAATTTTATTATTTATGAAAATAAGTGAATTTTGGAAAAATTTTATTAAAATAGTAGATATTAAAAATCATTGAATTGAGGAAAATTTTTGAAAATAATTGAAATTTTGACGAGAATTTTATTAAAATTTTCGAAAATAATTGAATTTCTGCGAACAATTTTATTACTTTTGAAAATAAGTGAATTATTGGGAAGAAAATTACAAAAAATTTGTAAATAATTGAATTCCTGTCAAATTTTTATTATTTATGAAAATAATTAAATGTTTACGTAAAGTGAATTTTGGACAAATTTCATTAAAATAGTAGATATTAAAAATCATTATTATTTATATTTTATAAAGATAATTTGAATTTTGACGAGTATTTTTAAAAAGTTTTGAACATAATTGAATTTCTGCGAAGAATTTTATTACTTTTGAAAATAATTGAATATCTGCAATCATTTGTAACTTCTCAAAAATTCTTTGTTTTCAGTGTTTTTAATTAAAATTCTTTTGTAAATCCATTATTTTTAATAATTAATTAAATATATATTAAAAAATTTAACTATAATTTCATAAGAATTTGAATTATTTAAATTTTTTCGTGGTAATTTCATAGTTTATGAAAAAATTGAAATACTTAACTTTTGAATAATATAATTTGAATAATTTGATTATAACAGAATTGAATACTTGACTTTTAAATAATATAATTTAAATAATTTGATTTTAACAGAATTGAATTCAATGTAAATAATTGAATATAAAATAATTGAATTTAAATAACTGAATTTCAAATAGAAAATTTAAATATATGAGGATTGAATTGATTAAAGTGAATGTAAATAATTGGATATTTAATAATAGAATTTAAAAAATGAAACTAATTAAATTGAATGTAAATAATAGAATTTAAATAATTGAAGATTCAAAAAGAAAATTTCTTTGGAAAATATACCTTTTCGAGTGTTCCCATCCAGCTCTTGGCCAAATGGCAATTTTGCAACACCACCCAAGTTCCATTTTTGATTCCCTCGTCAATAATCCTTTCGGCAATTGGTCCTTGGCCTTGGCCCAATGACAGAGAGAACAGTCTATTAGCACCGAAACCTTGATCATCGGCAAACTTGAGCAAAACCGCTGTTGGATCGGCGCCCGGTGTCAATACAAAAATAAGAGGAACACTGCAAAATGAATCAGCGTACGATGCCGCCAAATCGAATGGTGGCGATTCAATAAATTCCTTCCCCATTTCATCTATAATTTATAATTCCAAGCATTAAAACAATCGCTACAAAAAAAACCTTTTATCTCTCTAATTTTTCATTCTCGAATATATTTTCCTTAGAAACTCGGTACATGTATTTTCTTTTTCACAAAAATGTCGCTCGCAAATGTGAAAAAGAAAAGAAAAATCATTTTCCTTATATATAGGGAATATATTCAGTTATTAATTATACAAGTTGGAATAAAAAGTGAGTAGATAATGGAAAAATTCCATTATTCGAGAATGAAAGAAAAGAGAGAAAAAAAGTATATTTTCGTTTTTGTAACGTATATCATTCTTTTTTTTAAATTGCGCTTCAATACCTTCAACAAAGTTTCGTACTGAAGATACAACTTTGTCGGGTCTCATGCACCGGATAATGAGTATCTTTTCAAATAAGCTTATTTTATCGAAGGGAGCCGGGAAAGTCAATGTCTGAGGCTCTTTATCATCAAAAACGACTCTCCATCCATTAATATTTTCTGCCACCGCATCTTTAATTTTCTAAATATTATAAATTCAAAATTAAAAGGATATTAATTTCTGAAAGGAAAAATCAATTTATAAAAATGTTACAATATTTATAATTTAAATCAAATTTCTCATTTATAGTCAAAAGACACAAACTATAAAATAAATAATAATAAAATAAATAATAAATATAATAAAATAAAATTTATAAAAAATAAAGTAACAATAAAATTACAATTATAGAAATAAAAAGTTATAATCTATATTAATAATAGTTGTATTCCGGTAATCTGTTCGCAGTTTGAAGTTAGTTGGTATTTGCTTTTTTCTTTCCTAACTTTTTAATTATAATTTTTCTCTTTAAATGTTTTCAATTTTAAAATAATGTACTGAAAATCATTAAATTCAAAATTTAATTTAATTGAAGTCATTTCAAGAATTTTATCAACATTTTTTTCAGTAATTGAATTCTTTCGAAAACAATGTAATTAAAATTGTATTAAAAATAATTTAATTCTTGACAAGATTTTTATTGAAATTCTTTAAAATAATTGAATTATTTTGAAGAATTTATATTAATTTTTTTGAAAATAATGGAGTTTTTTAAAATATTTTTTACTGAAAATTTTAAAAATACTTGCACTTTTATGAAGATTTTTAAAAATTTTTTAAAACAATCGTGTTTATTATTAATTGTAAATTAATAAATTTCCTATTAAAATACCTATATTAAAATTTTTCATAGCAAATTAAATTTTTTTAAACAATTTTATTAGAGTTTTTGTAAAGAATGACATTTTTTTTATTAAGAATTTAATTAAATTTCGTAAAAATAATAAAATTTGTTTGAATAATTTTAATTGAAACTTTTGAAAAAAATTGAAATTTACAAAGAATTTTATTAACAACTTTTGAGAACAATTGAATTGTTTAGAAAATTTTTACTACAATTTTTAAAAATAATTGAACCTGTTAGAGAAATTTTATTCAAATTGTATAGAAAATAATTGAATTTATCAGAAGAATTTTATTATTTACAAAAATAATTAAATTCTTGACAACAATTTTATCAGAATTGTTGAAAATAATTGAATTCTTATTAAAACTCTTGAAAATAATTGAATTTAAATAATATTTTTAAAAATAATTGTTTTCTTTCGAGAAATTTTATTATAATTGTAGTGGAAATAATTGAATTTATTAGAAGAGTTTTATTATTTACAAAAATAATTGAATTCTTGACAAGAATTTTACAATTTAGAAAAAATAATTGAATTTTTTCGAAGACCTTATTAAAATTTTAGAAAATAATTGAATTCTGTCGAAAAATTTTATTAGAAATTTTGTAATATAATTGAATCCTGTCGTGAAATTTTATTAAAATTGTTTTGAAAATAATTTAATTTCTACAAAACACTTTTATTATTTATGAAAATAATTGAATTCCTTTGAAGAATTTTATTATTTATGTTAATGTTTTAATTCTTGCGAAAAATTTTCTTATTTATGAAAATAATTTATATTCTTGCGGAAAATTTTACAATTCGTTAAAATAATTCAATTACTTTGAAGAATTTTATCTAAATTTTTGTAAATAATTGAACTTTTTCAAGGAATTTTATTAAAAATTTTGAAAATAATGATTTTTTTAAAAGAATTTCATCAAATTGACGAAAATAATTGAGTCTACATTAAAATTTTTGAAAATAATCGAATTTAAATAATATTTTTAAAAATAATTGTATTTTTTCCAGAAATTTTATTAAAATTGTATTGAAAATAATTGAATTGCTCTAAAAAATATTATTATTTATGAGAATAATGAAATTCTTGCGAAAAATGTTATTAAAATTTTTGAATAATAATATAAACAAGAATATTTAATAAGTGAGTTCTTTAAATTTTGAATCTAATCATTCAAAAATTGATGTTGATTCTTGAAAATATAAAGTTTTTTAATTTACAAAATAATAATAAATGGAATACAGCGATCCGCGATCTGGCGCGCGTATCATTTGCTAGTTATAATAAATTTACAATTAAATAAAAATAAAATTTTTAATAAAATATTTTGAAAATTAGTTCTTTCTAATTTAGAAAATTTTCTAAATTAAAAAAACTAATTTTAAAATGTTTCTAAATGAAATTCTTGAAATATTTTGATAGAACATATTTTATTATACTTTTCCATTTTTATTTAATTTAAATTAATTTAAAGGAATGTATAGTTTAAATTAATTAAATTAATTAAAGTAATTTAATTTGAATTAATTGAATTAATTTAAAGTAATTTAATTTGAATTAATTAAATTAATTTAAAGTAATTTAATTGAAATTAATGAAATAAAATACCGTGAATCCGGGAATATTATTAAGTCGACACAATTCGTCCCATGATTTTGATAGAAGCCATTTAGTGGGATTTTTATCGGGATTCTCTAAACCAACACCGCCAGTTAAAAAGAACATCCACTGTATCATTGACATTTTTCCCTGTTTATTGAGTAAATTCACAGTGAGAAGAAGTGAGAATAGCAATTTATCCTTCTCAAATAGTGAACGACATATATTGACGTACAACGAATACGTGAAGGATTTTGTCAGATCCTTTAATCGTTGTTCAATATTTTCCACAGGCGTTGTATTGTCAATTGTTGTCTTGAAAAGATTTACAAACCACGCCAAAGAATATTGATACATTGGATCAATATTTGCCAATACAGCTAGAAAAACAAAAACGGACATTTTTTATCTTTTTCCAAATTTTCTTTTTAAATTTATTTTTCATTCTAAAATTTACAAATTATTTTTCTATGATTTTTAATTTCTTTTTCAAATTTTTCTTTTAAATTTTTCTCTAATTCTTTTTTCGAATTTTATCTAAATTAATTAAAATTTTAATATTTTTTAATTCTATTTCTTTAATTAAATTTTTTTAATTCTATTTAATTTGAATATTTTTTCCAATTTATTTCTTCAATGCAGAAGCTTTTTTAAAGTAACTTTTATTTTTTCAATTCCATATATTTTTTGAAGTAGAGTTTAATTCTTGTTTTCTTGCATTGTCAAAATGAAGATAAATTATTTATTTTTGCAGGAAAGAAAAATACCTACCAATAGTGAAAAAAAGAACTGTACTGTAAACAGCAATCGATGTATATTGCAGTCTTGCCGCATCGATCGACTTCTCCGTAATTTCAGCAGCCGTTTGTTTAGCTTCGATTTCATTTGAGAGGGCTTTCGACGAGCTTAAAATCGAAACTGCTGTCTGATCTTCCAGGATATTCTCGTCAGACGCTGATAAGACCTCGAGAATTTTATCTTCAATCTCCTTCAGCATCCTGTAACATTTATAAATTACTATAATTTCAATTTTATCTATTTTCTTATTTTTTCTATTTTTAATTATTATTACTTTTTTTATATTATTATTATTAATATTTATTATTATTTCCTATTATTACTTTCTTTATTATTATTTTTATTTGAAATTTTATAATTATTTTTTTATTACTTTCTTTTTCACAATCTACTATATTTATAATCGAAAAATGTCCATTTGTCTCGGAGTGATCGATAGCCTCAAAGTTTTATTTAATAATCGTATATTTTTAATTGAAAACTAAATTTTGAAATTACTTGAATTTTACAAATTATTTCTTTCAAGATTTTTTAAAATAAAAAAAAATGTTTCTTAATAATTGAAATTAAACATTTGATTATTGGATTTTATTAAAATTTTTAGAAAATAATTTTAAATACTTCTCAGAATATTATTAAATTTTTTTTTATAAATAATTGAATTAATTCAAAGAATTTTATTAAAATATAGAAAAACAATAAAAATCTTTCCAAGAATAGATACTATTAACGGTTTTGACAATAATCGAATTCTCTCAAAATATTTCTTGAATTTTTTTAATATAATCGATTTTGTAAATAATTGTAATCCTTATTAATAAAATCAGACTTTTGTCTGTACATTGCATAGAATGCAAAATTTCTATTATATTCCTTCTTTTTACACTCTAAGGAATGCGAAAATACTATTAAGAAAATTATGTGTGTATGTGTATATGTGTGTATGTGTGTATGTGTGTATGTGTGTCCGCAAATTTTCGACCGCGTATCACGGAAAAACGGTTCGATCGTTTGAAGTGAAACTTGGCAGTCTTTTAGGCATTAGCCTAACTTAAAATCCTAGCGATAGTAGATTAAAAAATATTAATATGGACGAAAGTTATGCCATTTTTTCAAAAATTCGAAAATTCGAAATTTTTAGTTTTTTCATATACTTTAGTGAATTGTACTTAAACTTGGTACAGGGTTAATTTTAGTGTTTCTTATGAAGATTTAATCGTCAGAATAATAAAATTTTGAATAACAAATAAAAAGTGTTAGATTTAAATATTGAAAAATTAAAAAGTTTAAAAATTGAAATTTTTTTGTAATTAATTTTTATACGGTTGTATTTCTTAGGTCAACAATAAAAATTTGTTGTTGAAATCATAAGTTTACTTTCTTAAAAGAATTCTATTAGGTCAGAATATTAACAATATCCATATAATTAATATGAGACTTTTGTCAGTATGTTGCACAGAATTCAAAATTGCTATTATATTTTATTAATTAATGATCAAAAAATGAAAAACTCAAATTTCATTCTGATGACTAAATTGTAATAAAAAATACTAAAATTAACCCTGTATAAAATTTAAGTAAAATTAATGACAATAATTATTTCAAAAGATAAATTTTGAATTTTAAAAATTTTGAAAATATATAGCACTAGCTGTCATGTCGTACCCGTCTTCGACGGGTTTTAGTTTCTACCAATACATTTAACAATGTTTCTACCAATCTGCGGAAAATCAAAAATACCCGGGATAAATTAATTAATAATTAATAATTAATAATTAATAATTAGTTAATTAATAATAATTAATAATTAGTTAATAATTAATTAATTAATAATTAGTTACCATTAGCTATTTCGGTAGTATAATTATACTATTTGAATAGTCTCCACCCTTTAGCAAAAAATAAAAAATTATCAAAAATTCGAGAAACCGAATTTCTTAAAATTTAACATTTTTTTCTTCTCTTTTATATCATTAAGCTTCATTATTTTTGTACTCTTCAAAAATACTTTACTTATATTTAATAGTCTCCACCCTTTGGTAAAAAATCTAAAATTATGGAAAATTAGCAAAAATTCATAAAACCGAATTTATTAAAATTCAACATTTTTTCTTCTCTTTTATGGCTTTTGGCTTCATTATTTTTGGGCTCTTCAAAAATACTTTACCTAATTTGTTATCTCCACCCTTTGGTAAAAAATCTAAAATTATGGAAAAATAGCAAAAATGCAAAAAAATGAATTTCTTAAAATTAAACATTTTTCCTTCTTTTTATGGCATTTAGCTTTATTATTTTTGTGCTCTTAAAAAATACTTTACCTAATTTGTTATCTCCACCCTTCGGTAAAAAATCTAAAATTATGTAAAATTAGCAAAAATTCAAAAAACCGAATTTCTTAAAATTCAACATTTTTCCTTCTTTTTTATGGCATTTAGCTAATTATTTTTGTTTAATGTAGCAAATTTTTTACTTTACATACTGATCTTTAAATAAAAAACTTTAATAACTTTTCCTGAAAAGCTTGCTTAAAGATTAAAAATCACTATTTTCTTAGAAAAAAGTTGATCTAAAAAAACGAAAAAAAATTTCAAAATACATCTTTTTTAAAAATTTTATCGTAGAAATGGGTTGTATTTATCTGAAAAAGTTAGCTAAGGATAGTTTTTTCATTCATTTTACAAAAGATAAAAAATTTGCATTTTTTTGTTTTTTTGAATTTTTTGGAAAAATGTCATAACTTTTGTTCAAGTTAATATTTTTTAATCGGATAAGGCTATGATTGTAAGTTACTTTAATACCTAATAGACTGCCAAATTTCACTTTAATTGGTTGAACCGTTTTCAATTGATGCGCGAACAAAGTTTTGCATACAGACAGAGACAGACAGACAGAAATTTTTTTTACATTTTTAGAATTCTAATGTCTCAAAACGAAAAAATATATAAAAATTTTCAAGTTTGGAGCAATGTACAGATAGTAATCTGATTTTATTAATATAGATAATGTTCGTTCACATTAATAACTTTTAGTTTACTATAGCTACACTAAAAAAAGTTATATGATTCAAGTAATTATAATTATTTGAAAAATAATATCTTATTTAAAAAGTTTTTATTTCGATCTAATAAGAATTTATTTCGTTTAAATAATTTTATTTAGTTGAATCAAATAAATCTTAATTGGATTAATTAAATAAATACTTGACTCTAATAAATAAATTTATTTAACACAAATCATTTCTAAATTTTATATTTTTTCATGGATTGCTTCTAAACTTTCTATAGTTGAGTATTACATGTTATTTAGTCACATTTTAGCATAATTTTTCAAAAATACTTTCTTATAACGAAGATGTAAGTATAAAAATGTTTTGAATATCAAAAAATTGAAAAAATTATAATTGATACCAATTGCTATGAAGCTTAATTCAGTAGTATTTGTGGGCTCTCTGATTTAACTTTTAGAGATATCTTGATCAATGTAAAGACAAAAGTTAAACACGGTGTTTATTTTGGTTTAAAACAATTTCCGGCTTTGTCCAAATTTTTCCTGGTTTACTGGACGGGTTTTTTTTAATAATACATTTAACAGGGTGTTTACCAACCAGAAAAGACGTAAAATATCAGGGAATTTAATGTAACCGAGAAAAACTGGATCTACTTGCTATACAATTAGTTCGAATTAGACTGTACTATAACTCAAAAAACTGGAGGAAATTTTAGATTTATTTTAATACATTATATTGATTGAAGTACTACAAATTGAGAAATATTGTTTTCTGCATTTGAATTAGTTAAAAATAACTAATTTGATAATAAAAAGTCGGTCACTGTTTCAAATGGTATTATTTTCCTAATGAAATAGACAATAGTAACTAATTATTATTTTTTCCCTGTCAAATCAAATTCCCGGCTATTTTCCGGTTTTCTAGGTTGGTAGATACACTGTTAAGTGCATTATCAGAAACTACAACCCGTCGAAGACGGGTACGACAGCTAGTTCTTAATATTACTATTAAATTGTATTCAAATTATTAATAAAAAATTTAATTCTTTTAAACAATTTTATTAGAGTTTTTGGAAATATAGGTAATAAATTCTTTTGAAGAATTTCTTTAAGTTTTTTGAAAATAATATAGTTTTTTTAATAATTTTTATTGAAAATTTTGAAAATAATTGAATTAAGTAAAGAATTTTTTCAACTTTTAAAATTATCGTGTCTGTTAATAATTATAATTAAAAATTTGATTATTGAATTTTATTAAAATTATATATTGAAAATAATTGAATTCCTGCAAAGAATTTTATTATATTTATAAAAATAATTGAATTTTTTCGAAAAATTTATTAAGATTTAAGAAAATAATTGAATTCTTTCGAAAAATTTAAAAAAAATAATAGAATCTTATCGAAAATTTTATTAAAATTGTGTTGAAAATAATTTAATTCCTGAAAAGAATGTTGCTATTTATAAAGATAATTGAATTTTATCAAAGAATTTATTAAGATTTAAGAAAATAATTGCATTGTTTCGAAAAATTTTATTAAAAATTTTAAAAAATAATAGAATCCTGTCGGAAATTTTATTAAAAATGTGTTGAAAATAATTAAAAGAGTTTTGCTATTTATAAAAATAATTGAATTTTGTCGAAGAATTTATTAAGATTTTAGAAAATCATTGAATTCTTTCGAAAAATTTTATTAAAAATTTTAAAAAATAATTTAATTCCTGCAAAGAATTTTACTATTTATAAAAATAATTGGATTGTCCCAAAATGTATTTAAATTTTAGAAAATAATTGAATTCATCTGAAGAATTTTACTATTTACAAAAATAATTGAATTTTGTCGAAGAATTTACGAAAATTTAAGAAAATAATTGAATTCTTTCGAAAAATTTTTAAAAATAATAGAATTGTGTCGGAAATTTTATTAAAATTGTGTTGAAAATAATTTATCTCTTGAAAAGAATTTTGTCGAAGAATTTATTAAGATTTAAGAAAATAATTGCATTCTTTCAAAAAATTTTATCAAAAAATTTAAAAAATAATAGAATCCTGTCGGAAATTTTATTAAAATTGTGTGGAAAATAATTTAATTCCTGAAAAGAATTTTTATAAATTGAATTTTGTCAAGACATTTTATGAGAAATTTTAAAAAGAATTTTGCTATTTATAAAAATAATTGAATTTTGTAGAAGAATTTATTAAGATTTTAGAAAATCATTGAATTCTTTCGAAAACTTTTATTAAAAATTTTGAAAAATAATTTAATTCCTGCAAATAATTTTACTATTTATAAAAATATTTGAATTTTTTCCGAATGTATTTAAATTTTAGAAAATAATTTAATTCATCTGAAGAATATTATTATTTACAAAATTAATTGTATTCTTTCGAAGAACATTTTAAAATTTTTTAATATAATTGAATTCTGTCGAGAAATTTTATTAGAAATTTTGAAATATAATTGAATTCTATCATGAAATTTTATTAAAATTGTGTTGAAAATAATTGAATTCCTGGAAAAAATTTTACTATAATTATAAAAATAATAGAATTCTTTCGAAAAATGTTATTATTTATGAAAATAATTGCATTCTTGCGAGGAATTTTATTAAAATTTTTGAAAAAAAACAATATGTATTAATTATGTACTTGATGAAGTGAGTTTTTTAAATTTTGAATCTGAAATTATTAAAAAATTTAAGTTTATATTTTTTGAAAATTATAAATTTTGTAATTTTCATAATAATAATAATAGTTAATGGAATATCATGTTTCGCGCACGTAACATTTGCTAGTTTTGTTTAATTTTCTAAACACAATCAAAGTATTTTCTGCTATTATTTGAAATATTTAACCCTCCTTGAAATATAAAAATAAAAATAAAATTTGGAACAATTATTTTTGTTCTATTAAAAAAATATCGCTGCTAATAATTTACTGTAAAAAAATTGTCTTAAATAAAATTGAATTATTTTTGTTCTTTAATTGTTAAAAAAGAAGTTTGAAATTCTAAATTTATAACAAAATTCCGATAAATTACTTTTTATTGTCTGCTCCTTGAATAATCAACTGATTTTTTTCAGCCTCGAGATCAGGTCTCTCCTTGGCGACGACAATTCCCAAGAGCTGATCTTCCAAACCAACGGGAGTTATCATAAAATTCAATAGAGTCACCTTCACTGCAACCTCGGGCAAATAGTGTGGATTTCGCAATTTCGTCGTAATGTAAAGTCTGAAATGAAAAAGGAAAAAAACATTATTCCCATTTTATTGAAACTAATTTTTGATTTTAAATGTAAAAATTGAAAATATAAAGAAGAAATTTTTTACCTAAATTTATCATTATATTCAACAATTGAATCGCCAAGTTTTATACAAAGTGTTCCACTCGATTTAAAGGTTTGCTTCAACAATAACGGCTCAAGTGCTGCATCAAGTTCCTCGTCAATATTTTCAAGAAGCACAGGCTGACCAAATTGAATAGCATTCTCAAGAATTCGCATATAATCTTGTTGTGTGAGTCTAATAACATGAATCATCGACGACTTCTCCATATTTTTAATCCACTTATTCGCCTGTCCCTGTGGATCGATCATCAATGGCCAACGTCTCGAATTCATGACAATAATTCCATTATCAATGGAAAATAAATCACAAGGTAAACCAAAAATATTCCACGATCTTATCATAACGGGGTCGCCCAATATTTGTGTCAATTGATAATCATCGGTACAATAGACATTTAAATTTTTACACATTTTTATCCATGATTCAATTTGTTTCTGTCGATATTGCATTGTAAATACGCCGAGATAGGCAACAATTCCGGATGCAATTAAAATATCCCCAGTGAGTTGATAATAGCGTTTACCCAAATTTTTCGCTGTCTCTGACCATCTATTGTATTCACCGCCTAAACCACCGATTAATTCCTCGGCTCTTTTTAATTTCTCCTCACACTCATCGACCTCGTCGGTCATCATTTGATAATCTCGCTTACGTTGCGCGAGAATATCTTCTAAAATTGCCAGACGATCTTGAACTTCCTTTAATTGGGCTCTCTTTATTTCTAGTTGTGCCATCGCTTCCTTATAAATAGCCTCGGCTTTTGCGAGTGCAATTTTTTTTGGCGCTACAACTCGTGCGACTTTTTCGTATTCGGAAATTGCGAATACCCAACGGCACAAACCCTCACAGGCTGTTGAAGCATTTCTTATTTTATCCGGATCGAAATTTGGATTCGTCAATATTGAGGTGCGAATTTTTGCTATTATTCTCTCGGGAATGTTGTCCTTGTCGAAGGCTAATAGTGAATCGAGAAAATGCAAATCGCCGAGAAGACGCAAGGACGGTTTCCAAAAGTCCTCCACCATTCTGCCTGATTCGCCGGGCAGTCGATCGGGCTTCACGTCCTGGAAGAGAAAAAAAAGTAAAAAAGAGAAAAAAAGAAGGAAAATAATTAAGAAATAAATATAGAAAATAAGAAGAAAGAAAGAAAGAAGGGGAAAAGAAAAAATATTTAAAAAGAAAGAAGGAGAAAAGAAAAAAGAAGATGAAAGAAGGAAAAAAGGAGAAAAAAAGAATAAACTGGAGGATTCGTTACTTTTAGGATACAAATCGCCTCCATGACTAATTTGACCCCAGCTGGAGGATTCTTCATGGCTTTGACAATTTGAATATCCTGCGGAGTTAAAGTATTCAAGGCCGCATTCGCCGCGTTCAAAATTGGCATCACTTCTTGCAAATCAGCATCACATTCAGCTCGAATTCCCTCTGCTTCTCCGGCTACAACCTAAAATATTTCAAAATTAAAATTTGCAAAAAAAATGTTTTACAAATTTTTACAAATTTTTTATGCATTTTTTTTTTATTTCTATACTATCCAAATTATTCTTGCACAAGAATTTTGTATTGTAACTAATATTTCTAAAAAATTTAAAGCCGTTTAATTCAGTAATCTATATTAATAATCTTTGTATTCCGGTATAAATCTGTTCGCAGTTTGAAATTAGTTAGTTCTTCATTTTAAATATTTTCAATTTTAAAATTAATGTATTGAAAATCATTGAATTCTTACAAAGAACTTTTTTTTAAAATTTGAAGAGAATAATATTGAATTCCTTCGAAGAATTTCTTTATTTATGAAAATAATTTAATTCTCGAGAATAATTTTATTAAAATTTTAAAAAATGCTAATTAAATTATTTCAAAGAATTTGTTTAAATTTTTCTTAAATAATGGAGTTTTTTTTAATAATTTTAATTGAAAATTTTAAAAGCAATTGGATTTTAAGAAGAATTTTATTAAAATTGTATTAAAAATAATTGAATTACTGAGAAGAATTTTATTATTTATAAAAATAATTTAATTCTTGCGAAGAGTTTTACTATAATTATAAAAACAATTGAATTCTTCCGAAGAATTTATTAAAATTTTAGGAAATAAATGAATTTTATGTAAATATTTGAAAATAATTAAATTCTTTCGTGTAATTTTATTTAAACTGTAATAAAAATAATTTAACTTCAATTTTAATATTTATAAAAATATTTAAATTCTTGGGAAGAATTTTACTATTTATAAAAATAATTGAATTGTTTCGAAGGACATAAAAATAGTTGAATTGTTTAGAAGGATTTGTTAAAATTTTAGAAAATAATTTAATTCTTTCGTGAAATTTCATTAAAATTTTGTTAAAAGTAATTCAATTTTTGAAAAAAAATTTAATTTATATAAAAATAATTGAATTCTTGCGAAGAATTATATTAAAATTTTTGAAATATATAGACAATAATTAATTTTGTACTTAATAAGTAAAATTTTTCACAGAAAAATTTCCACAGAAAAATATTAAAGTTTATGGAAAATGAGTACAATTTATGAAATTTAATAATTTCTAAAAATTACAATTATATAACCCTTCCTGAATTCAATTATTTTTTACAATTTCCAACTAAACTTCATCTCTAAATCAATCATTTAAAATAATTTTCCGAAAGTTCTTCGAGAATTAAATTATTTAAATACGGAAATTCAATTTTTTATAATAATTATAACTGTCCATGTTTTTTTCAAGGGCATCCGGGAAATAATACTGGTTTCGTGATAGACATCTCATTTAAAAAGAAAAGAATATTTTGAGTCGGGATTTTTTGGTAAATATAGAGAAATGCTCTGGGACCAGCGGTCCTCTCGGATTTTTGAGAAATTTTGATAAATAATTATTGAAAAAAATTGTTTAAATATACGGAAAAAGGGGTTTTGAACGGTTCAGTATAGACGTCTCATTTTGAGAGGATAAAATATTTCGGGTTCATATTTGGAGGGGTGATAGAGGAAGACTCTCCGAGGAGCGGCCCTCTCCGTTTTTGCAATAATTTTGCGAGGAAATTATTTTATTAACGATTGAAAGTGGAGTAATTTGAGGTTAATACATTTCCCTCAGTTCAACTCGCGACCACTTCCGAGAATTGGCGCCACCTCCTTGACCACTGACACATAGATCCACTTGTCTGTGTGCTCGCCGCCATATTGTCCGAAACTTTCGCCAAAAATCCAATTTTTGTAATTTCGTTTTTCAATATTTATTTCAAAAATTACTTGCAATTTTCGAGAATATTCTTTATCACCATGAATTCCCCTAATTATCATGATAAATCCGAACTAAATATCTCTAATTATTTAGGAGTGAGACGACACGCGGGAAAACACTTTTTGGGCTCGATTTTTCCCGGATGCCCTTAAGATATAATATATTCAAAAAATAAAAATAATCAAATTTTTGAAGAATTTAAAATTTTAAATTATAAATATCACCATGATTTCTCCGAAATTTTAATAAGTCCAAAAATGTAAATTTTTATTTGCTTTATTATAATGTAATTTTTCGAAAACAATTGAATTTTTTAAAAGAGTTTCTGTAATATTTAAAAAAACTGATTAATTTCTTAATGAATTTTAATTAAATATTTTGAACATGATTTTTTTCTCTAAAACATTAAAAATAATTCTAAAATGTTATTATTTTTTGTATGTATTTGAATTCGGAAATATGTAATTAAAAGTACTGAAAATACTAAATAAAAAATATTCGAAGCTAATTTTCATTAATTTTCATTTTTAAATTTACGTTTAAAGATTTTTCATTAAAATTTTCAATAATTCAATTATTTCGAAACTTTACAATTAAAATTCTTCAAAAGTTGATTTTCAAAAATTGTAACAAAATACTTTTAAAAAAATAAATTATTTTCAATTAAATTTTAAAAAATTCAAATTATTCAAAATCTTTTTAATTGTATATTTCGAAAATTTAAGTAGAAAAATGGTTCAAAAATAATTTTTGAAAGGTTCAATCATTTTTGTTTATAGTTATTTTTCGCACTATAAAAATTGAAATGAGTTACATTTAATGCTAAAAAATATGATATTTTGTTGCAATATTTGGAAGAAAAATCGAGAAAGTCGCAATTTTTAAAAATAAATGGAAAAATTCAAATTTTCTAAATTTCCCTGACAAAAATTTTTTTTTCTAACATTTCTCTGACTTTACTGACATGTGATCACCCTGAATCTGCTGATGGAAAAAAAACTCTTAGGGAATTTTATGAAAAAAGAAAAAAATGTACAAAAGTATAAAATTTGTACCAAAGCAGCTTCCTCATCCTTCTTGACAACTTGCTCAATCGCAACAACCTCAACATTCTCCTTCTCAACATTCTCCAACATTTTCTCCACATCCTTAGCGGCTTCAATTAATTTCGGCTGCAATGCAATCAACGTCTCTTGCATTTTACCCACTTGCTTATGAGTACTGTCCAATTTATCAAGTCCAGCCTCATAACGTTTCTTCCCCATCATTACGTCCCTTCGTTTCCTCTGCAGTAGCAATTTAAAAGTATTTATCAATTCCAAATACGAAGTTGGTGTCACATAATTAAATCTCTTGACAGTGAGAAGGAATTCCCTGGAAAGATTTTGTGTCATTATATGAAAATTTTGACACATTTCAATGCAAGCATTCTTTTCATCAATAGGCAATTCAATGTCGATGAGAAATTTCTTCGCAACTGCAAGTAGTGCATCGTCGGGCCACGATTGGAGCCAATCAATTGTACAGCAATTAACGAGAGCCGGAAATTTTCTGATACGTTGACGAAAATTCTCACCAATTGGCGACATTGCAATGACAATGTGAAGTTGTTCCTTGACAAGTTGAATGAAATAATTAAAGAGTGCAATTGGACTGCCATCGGTTTGTTGTGATTTGTCACGTTGTCGATCAATTAGACGCATTTGTTCACATATTTCTGCCCTCTCATCGGCTTCAAAGAGATTTGGCACTTCACCCGAATTGAGGAGATTACTGATATCCTCGAGAAATCCTTCTTCTTTGATTTGCATGTCAGTGAACATAAATACAGTGTGCAATTCACTTGCCGCTGTTTTACGTAAGAAACCTTTTAAATCCTCGTGCCACTCATGCTTTCCATATTGTCGGGAAATTTCCACTTGAAATAATTCGTAGTCTGATATATGAGCAGCTAATCGCGTCAAAGACTGTCTACCTGATCCGCCAACTCCCACGAGTAATGCGTGACTCCTCGGCTGCATTAGAATTCGATTTATCTTCGATAGATGCTCAACCGCAAATCTATTGAAAAATCCGTCGAATCATTTTATTTAATACAGTAATATTATTTTATAATTAGAAAATTATTATTTAAATTTAATTATTACTAATTTAATGAAATTATAATCTAAATCGTTGTATTTTGGTAGTCTGCTCGAAGTTAGAAAATAATAGATTTCATTTTCTTTTTTGTTTCCTAATTTTTTACTTTTTAAGTCTTTTGAATTTTATAATTAATACAAAACTTATTTAATACTTTAAATATTAAAAATTACCGCAATTAATCAATTATTTCTCAAAAATCATAATTTAAATTATTACAATTAATAAACATTTTTTTAAAAATTGATATTTTTCAAAGAATTTTATTAAAATTTTCGTAAATAATTAAATTCTATTGAGAAATTTAATTCCAATTGCAATAAAAATATAGGTTGGTGTGCAGTTTTTCTAAAATGTATTTTCTGAAATTTTTTTTTCTAATAAAGGTGAATTTCTAAGAAACTTTTTTCTAATGAAGAGGATTTTCTAATTTTCTTTTTTCTAATAAAGGTCATTTTCTAAAAATTTCTTTTTCTAATAAAAGTAATTTTCAAAAATTTTTTTTAACAATACTTGAAATTTCGTTAGAAAATTATAATAAAAAATACAAATTATGCAAATTTTTTAACAAAATTTAAAAATAATCTATAGTTAAAAATCGTAATTAACAAATAGAAATTATAAAGATTTTTTTCCTAAATATATTTAAAATTTTTTTCAATAACTTTTTTATAAATAAATTAATTTTTGAAATTTTGGTATAAAAATGATGCAAATTATTTTCTTTTCAAAAATGAACAGAATTTTGTTAACAAATTGTGATAAGAAATAGTAATTTTATAAAAAATTTTCTACTTTTTCAAAATCTATTATTTTAATAAAATTTTCCGAAAAGAATTCAATTATATCTAAAAAAAACATTTAATAAAATTGTACACAAACATTTTAATTATTTTCAATAAAAATTTCACAAGAATTCAATTATTTACAATTTTTTTAAAATAAATTTTTTCGCAATTATTCAATTATTTTTATAAATTTTTAATTATTATAAAATTTATATTATTATAAAACATGAAGAAATCGATCACTCCGAGTCTTCGACTCGGAGCAATCGATTTCTTCATTTTTTATAACAATACTTTTTTTATAAATAATTGTTTAACTTCAAAAAGGTTTGAATTTGAAATTTTTTAAAATCCTAATTCCTATGAAAAAACAATAATATTTAAAAAATAAGTTACTGATGTTTTTGAATAATTTTGCAATTAAAGAAATTCGTAAATAAATGTAACAGAACATTTTTTTCAGTAAAATTTTTTTTTCTTTATTTTCTAAAAATTCAAAAATTTTCATTTTCAAGTAAATTATAAACATTTTTTTCCTTTATTTTTTTAAAACTTTGAATTTTCTTAAAACAATTGTAATTAAGAAATAGAAATTTTGTAAATTATTTCCTTATAAAAATTGAAAATTTTCTACAAAAATATTAAGAAACGGGAATATGTAATGTTTTTTTCCAAAAATAAAAGAATGAGTTTGTGAACAATATTATAATTGAGAAACAGAAAATACGCAAAATAGTTTCTATTTCTTAATCTTAATTTTTTAACAATTTTCCAACATTTATCAAAATTATGAATTTTTACAAATTTTACAAATTTAGAAAAACTTTTTTTAGAAATCAAAATTTGTTAGAAAAACGTTTTTTAGAAAACAGATTTCATTAGAAATCGCTTTTTTTAGACAAAAAGGATTAGAAAATATTTTTTAGAAAAAGTGACCACCTACCATAAAAATAATTTAATCCTTGCCAAAAATGTAATTAAAATTTATGAAAATAATTAAATTCTTCTTATGAATTTTATCAAAAATTTTAAAAATAATTAAATTTTTTCAATAATTTTACCAAAAATGGAAAATAATTGGATTCTAGGAAGATTACAAACAATTGAACCCTTTGGGAGGCACTTTATTATTATCTATGAAAATAATAAAATAAACAATAGAAAAACAATAAAATTTTTAAAAATGCAAATTCAATTGTTTTGAAAAAATTTTAATTCTTTCTAGGAATTTTATCAAAATTCTATTAAAAATTAATGTATTGGAAATCATCGAATTTTCGATTTTTGAAAAGTCTAATTAAATCCCCTTTGAAGAATTTCTATGAATTTTTTTTAAATATGGAGTATCGTTAATAATTTTAATTCGAAATTTTTATAATAACTGAATTTCATGAACAATTTCTTTCGAGTTTTTAAAATAATCGTGTTTCTTAATAATTAAAATTAAACATTTAATTATGAAATGTTATTAAAATTTTAGAAAATAATTGAATTCATTTGAAAAATTTATAACAAATAAAGAAAAAAATTGAATTCTTCCGTGAAATTTTTTTAAGAATAATTGAATTTTTTCGAAAAATATTATTAAAATTTTTTTTAAAAATTAAATTCTTTCGTGAAATTGATAAGAATATAATTGAATTTTTACAAAGAAGTTTAAAATTCATAAATATAATTGAATTGTTTCGAAGAATTTATTTATAATTTTTTGAAGTTATTGAATTCTTTTATCTATATTTTATTAAAATTTCTTCAAGTATTTGTACTTTATCAAGATATGTTTTTAAAAATGGAATTGAAAGACATGAATTTCTCCCATGAATTTAATTATTTATAAAAATAATAATTGAATCCTTCCAAGAATGTTATTAAATTTTTTGAGAATAATATTGAATTCTTTCGAAGAAAATTAAAATTCTTTTGAGGAATTCAGTTAAAATTGTATTAAAAATAATTTAATTCAGGAAAAGAATTTTATTATTTTTAAAAACAATTCAATTATTTCAAAGAATTTTATTAAAATTGTACTGAAATTAATTAAGTTCTTCTAAAAAATTTATAAATAATTGATTTCTTTCAAGGAAAGAAATCAATAAATAAATTTTTGTAAAAATAATTGTATTTTATGAAGATATTTATTAAAATTGTATTGGAAATAATTTAATTTCTCCGTAGAATCTATAATCTAATTATTTATAAAAATAATTTAATTCTCCTAAGAATTTCATTAAAATTTTTGAAAATAATTGTTTCGAAGAAAATGAAAATTCTTTAGAGGAATTTAGTTAAAATTCTATTTTATAGTTAAAATTCTATTGAAAATAGTTGAATTCTTTCGAAGCATTTAAAAACTTTGAAAATAATTCAATTTTTGCACAATTCTTATTGAAATTTCTAAAAATAATTGAATTGTTTCAAAGAATGTTATTAAAATTTTTAAAACTAATATAAATGTTTCGAAGAAAGTTAAAAATCTTTCACGGAATTTAGTTAAAATTGCATTATAGAAATAATTGAATTCTTTCCAAGAATTTTATTAAAGTTTTTGAAAATAATTGAATTATTTTATTATTTCTGAAAATAATTGAATTGGTATTAATATTTGAAATTAAATAAATGTGGATTCTCAACAAAAACAACCTTTAAAATCTTTACTAAATTTTTAAAAACAAATTTTACATCTTTATTCCAATAATTGAATTGTTTCAAATAATTTTAGGAATATTTTTAAAAAAAGAGAAGGTAATAATAATTAATTACTTAATAAAGTGAATTTTGTAAAAAAAAAATGTAATCTGAAATCATTGAAAAATTGAATTTGGTATTTAAAAATTTGAATTTTAAGTAATAATATAATAATAAAATTAATTTTTATTGTTTAAATTTAAATTTAATTTTCCGTTCTAGTTTAAATTCAAAATTAGAATTCAATTTATCACTTCAAGCTTTTTCAATAACTTTTTATCTTCTGCAAATTTAACGGAGAATTAAATTTGATAATCAAGTGATTTAATTTTAGTACCTGAAGAGAACCAGATTCATTGGAGTTTTTGATATTGAGTTGTATTCGTTCAAATATTCTTCGGCGACATAGGAAAGGTGATCGAGATCTTTGACCTCAAGATACATTTTGTTCTCATTTAACGGGTCGCTGAAGTCACAATATACCAAATTGCGCAAATGAACTTCATTTATCTGGAACAATCGAAATTCCACAATTACAAATATTTTTGAATCAATTTTCAATTATAACAACCTTAATATTCAAATGTTTATTTTAATCACATTTTAATTGTCAAATATTTATTTAAATCAAATTATAATAATTAAATTTCAAGAATAAAATTTCAATTTAATTAATTCCCAATAAACAAACTTTAATTAATTGGATTTTCAATCATCAGATTTTAGTTACCTAGTCTAAACTAGGGTTTAATCAATAAAATTTTATTTAAGTAGGAACTAAAATTTTTATTAGTCAAATTTTTATCAACCGAAATTTCAGTAATTAAATTATATAATTAAACAGATTTCTTAAAAATTTTGCAGGAAATTAATTATTTTTAATACAATTTTAATAAAATTCTTAGGATGAATTCAATTATTTAAAAAAAATTTTAATAAACTTCTTAGCAAGAATCCATTTATTTTCAAAAATTTTAATAGAATTCTTCGCAAAAATTTAATTATTTTCAGTGCAATATTTTAAAAAGTGTATTAAATATTCTTGGGAAGAATTCAAGTATTTTTAAAAATTTTAATAAAATTCTTCGAAAGATTCTGTTTATTTTCGAAAATTGACTCTTGTATCAAAATTTTGTCGACCTGTGCTATAAATATTGAAGATCTAATTAATTTTCAATAATTAATTAAATTTTATAATAGATCAGATTTTCACTAGTAAAATTATCAGAAATAAAATTTACATTATTGAAAGTTCGAAAAATCAAATTTTCAATAATCAGACTCTAATAATGATTTAATTAGATTAAATACTGAAATTCACAATTCATTCATAATAATGAAAAGGTATCCGACCATTTTCCCGAAAACAATTTCCCGAATAGCAAAATTCCCGAAAATGGTAGGTAATCTAATGAAAATTTTCATTACATAATAAAATTTTCAGAAATTAATTAAATTTTTTAATTGATCAGATTATGAAAAAAAGAATTTAAATCAAATTAATAATACCTCTGTATTTTCATCGTCCAAGAGGTCATTGAAGAGTTCATTCATGTCTTCAGCCATGTGATTTAAGAGAGTCTTGCGAATTTGCTTTACCAACCAATTGGCGTCATTATCGTCCACCAAACGATCTCCATAAACTCGTAGCACTTCATGCACCCATAAACGTTTCATTGATGCCTGAGGAATTAAAAAATAATTATTAATTAATTGAATTCATTTTTTTTATATCTAAAAACATATTTTCATAAATAATAACGTTCTTCGGAAGAATTCAAATATGTTTTGGTAAAATTACCTAAGCAAAAATTCAATTTTTTTCAACAAAATTTCAATCAAATTTCACGAAAGAATTCAATTATTTTCTAAAATTTTAATAAATTCTTCGAAACAATTTGTTTACTTTTTTAAATAGTACAATCTTTGCAAAAATTCAATTATTTTCTATAAAATTTCACAGAAGAATTCAATTTTTTTGTTTTAATTCTTTATAAAATTTTTCAAAAGAATTCAATTATTTTCATCATTAATAAAATTCTTCGGAAGAATTCAATTATTTTTGTAAATAGTAAAATTCTTTGCAAAAATTCAATTATTTTTTAAACAATTTTAATAACATTTCATGAAAGAATTCCTTTTTTTAATTTTTAATAATATTTTTCGATAAAAATCAATTATTTTCTAAAATTTTAATAAAATTCAATAATTACTTGTTTAATTTCAATTATTAAGAAACACGACTATTTTAAAAACTAGAAAGAAATTTTTCATAAAATTCAATTACTTTCAAAATTTTCAATTAAAATTATTAAAGAAACTCCATTAGTTTTAAAAAAATTCAAAGAAATTCTTCAAAAGAATTTAATTAGGATTTTCAAAAATTTTGCTAAAATTCTTCGAAGAAATTCAATTATTCTCAAATATTTTGAAAAAATTCTTTGCAAGAATATTAATATTTATAAACATAATTTAATTTTTTTGAAGGATTTATTAAAATTTTAGAGGTAGAATTTTTTCGAGAAATATTATTAAAAATTGCAAAATTGAGTTTAGAAAAAATTGAATTTTTTTGTGAAATTGTTTTAAATATAAATTGAATTTTTGCTAAAAATTTTAATATTTATAAATATAATTGAATTGTTTCGAAGGATTTATTAAAATTTTAGAAAATAATTGTATTCGTTCGTGAAATTTTATTAAAATTTTGTTTAAAAATAATTTATTTTTGCAAAAAATGTTACTACTTATAAAAAATAATTGAATTTTTACGAAGAATGTTATTATTTATGAAAATAATTGAATTCTTGCGACTAATTTTATTAAAATTTTTGAAATTAATAAAGAAGAATTGGAATTAATTAGTAAATTAGTTAATAATTGAATTTTTTAAAGCTTGAATTTAAAATTATTCAAAAATTCATATTTAAAATAAAAAATTTTGTAATTTGCATAATAATAATAATAATAAATTGAATTTTATGTTCTGCTCTTAACATTTGCTTCTTTATAAATAAAACTGTAAGAAAATCGAAAAAACGACTCACCACAGTCGTTATTGTTTCCCTTCGAGAAAGCAGAACACCTTGAATAACTCTGGAAAAATCTCGCAAATTAAACAAATAATGCGATTTCGCAGGCGTTGGTAGCAAATATTTTGCCGTCTCCTTATAAATATCCAACGTTCCATGAACAATATAATAAACACACGATTCAAAATCATCGGAAAATCCTTGCGAATCCAAATGCCATTTGAAAATTTTACTAAAAATTGTAATCATCACCTCGTCCTCAAACTCCGAAATGCCCAAAGTGAAAAAATGCCTCTTGAATCTCGGCGTCACGTCCTTACCACCAGCTGGTGAGCCCATTGCACAAACCAATTGTACATCAATTAATTTCAATACGCTCATATCTTTCAAATCGTACCACGACCAATGATCGAGCCACTGTCTTAATAATTCAATAGGAGGCTGAGCACCGTACTCCTCTTTCAATGGCATCGAGACATCGTCAACAAATACAATCCACTGTTTTCCCGGCGGTGCTCCATAGACACCTTTCCTTCTCTTGTCCAATTTACTCATTATAATATCCTGCGTTTGTTTCGCCGTTGTTTGCGCCGAAAATGTAACGAACAATGGTTTATAAACGAGGGGATCATTCTTTTTCAGAAGAAAATTAGTGATGTAGACTGATTTTCCAGTTCCGGTTGGACCAACAAATAGAAGGGGTATTCTATTGCAGATGAGCAATTCAAATAGATGAAAATATCTCACGGTCTCTATTGTTGGGATAATTAGTTGATTCACGGGAATATCGGGCGGTATTGGTGGAAGATTTTGTAAATCATCGGTCCATAATTTCCATTTTCCCTTGCCTTCCTTGAGGAATTTGTAGTCGAACACGAGACCGAGGGATGGCATCATTGTTATGTAGGGTTTTTTTGGATTTTCCACATTTTCCAGTGAGAAGCGTTCCTTTACATCCGAGGGAAATTCACGTTCCATTAGAGCTCTGAAGAGGATGCTAAACCATTCGCGATAGACAGGTAGAATTGTCCCTCCCATTGCCCAGATGCAGGAGAAGAAGAAGGAACCCTATTTTTTTAAAATAAATTATTATTTTTCAAATTTCAATTTTTTAAGAGACGCAAAAAATTAGAATCATAAATTATCAATATTACCAATTTGACTATTACTTTCTGCCAATTACCACTTGTCAATATTTTTACTACTTATTAAATTAAAATTCTTTAAAAATTCGTTTCTTTTATTCAATTTTTTCTTATTTTTATTTATTTAGTACTTATTTATTTTAATTTAATTTTTTAAAAATCTTAATGAAATTATTCAACGAATAATTCAATTTCAGAAAATTTCCATTAACTTGATAATTTTTTTGATATAACTCTTTTAAAAATGCAAGTAGGTATCTATAAAAAATTGAATTAAAAGTTCTCAGAAATCTAATTTTTTCAGAATTTTAAATAAAATTATTTAAAACTTAAATAATTTTCAAATAGAGTAAACTTATCACCCAAAACTTGAAAATTTTTATTTTGTCTTAAATTTTAATTTTCACAGATAGTGTTTTATATGAAAAATCATTGCGTAAAAGGATTTTGCAAAAAAAATTTTTTACTTTTATTATTAACTTTTTTTTAAATATAAATTTCAGAAAAAGAAATTGAATTTTAATAAACAAAAAATTGTTTATTTATAAAAAATATGTAAAAAAAGCCACCATGAAATGTCAAGTTGAAAAAATTCTACTTATTGATTAAAAAATTCTGAATGATATTCTGAAAAGAAAAAAACTTTAAATTTCATGAGTAATGTGGTTTTTTTTAAATACTTTTTATAAATAAACAATTTTTTTGTTTATTAAAATTCGATATTTCTAGAAAAAAAAATTTTCATATGAAATTTGGATTCAAGACAAAAATAATGACGGTTGAATCATTGAAATCGGTCAACAATTTCAGTCAAAATTTTTTTTTGGAAAATCCTTTTACATAGTAGTTATTCATATAAAATGCTACTATAGAAAATTAACATTTAGGAAAAAATAAATATTTTCAAGTTTTTGGTTGCACGTTTCAGAAATTCTTATTCAATAGATATTTAATTACTATTCAATAGACAAATAATCAGTTTTCAGGATTTTTTTTTTATATAATTAGAAATTAACGTATTTTCTTCTTATTCAGATTTAACATAAAAATTTTAGTTTGTTTTTCCTACATTTACAAACAGAATTTTGACTTTTCCCTGATTCTTATAAAAAAAATTCAAAAGCAGTTCAATTATAAGAAAAGATAATTTTTAGAAGCCAAAATTTTATACTCATTTTAAAAATAAAATTAATTACTTCGGTAAACTTGATTTAATTATTTTCAAAAATTTCAATAAAATTCATAAAAAATTCAATTATTTTTAAATTATGAATAGAATTTTAGAAAATTTCAATTATTTCAAAAATTTCCAACCACTTGTTTATAAACATTCAATTATCTTTTAAGCAGAAATATTTTTTTAAAATCTAATTTTTCCGAATTTTAAATAAAACTTTTCAAAAACCAACTTTGTAAAGAAATTTGAAATTTAAATCTTTTTAAAATTAACTAATTAATAAAAAAAACTGATAGTAACTCTTCGAAATTATAATTATTTTAGATGAAATTTAGATCCTTTAAAGTAGCTTTTTTACATTAACAAGTATATGTAATCATTCGATTGTGACTCTTTACAAAACTCAATTTTATTTACCAATTACCTATCAAATTAAAATTCTTTGAAAATTCACTTTTTTTTAAATATCTTATAATATTTTTTAACAAATTGAATTATTCTCAATTTAATTTTCCAAAACATTCGATTAATTTAATCATTTTTTAATACATTTTTTAAAATTCAATTTTATCTTTAAAAAATTACATAGTACAAGAAATCGTTAAAATGATTTTAATTTACAATTTCTCTAAAAATTTAAATTGAAATTTCTCATAAATTTAATTTTTTCAGAATTTTAAATTAAATTATTTAAAATTTTAATAATTTTTTAATAATCTTAAAATATCTAAAATTCTTTTCTGCGTTAACTAAAATTGATAACTTTAAGAAAATTAGTCTAAAATTTATTTAGTTATTATTTTACAAATCAATTTCATTTCTCCTGATTTCTCACTGATTTCTCTGACCTGTGGCAACTCTGTTATTGTTATTCATAAAGAGTAGAATTGTATCATTTAGAGTTCGATATTAGCATTATTTAAATAATTTATATTTAACTTAATTATTGTTTATTTAAATGTTAAATTTATCAAATCTTTATCAAACCGATAATAAAAATGGGAAAAATTGTAAATTCAGATAAATATAATAATGTTGAATACATAAATTATTAAAAACAAAAAATATGATCATTTCAGATTCTAAATATTGAAAAGGAATTCTGAAAATTAATCATTTGCCTATTGGATTTTTGGACGAGTGGTAATTTTTATAATATGTAAACTAAAATCAATCAAATTTAAATAAATCACCTCAATCTGAGCTCTGATTTCCAAATCTGATAGAGTTTCGATATATTTGTCATCTCTGAAGTCAATTAGAAAACAATCAAACAAGAACATCACGGATCGGGTCAAATTAGCATCGGGCATGTAAAGCATCTCCTAAAAAAAGCAGCAAAAAAACTATTATGATAAAAAAATTCTGTCAATCCACTATATTTCAATTAAAATCGTCGCATTCCAATTTCTAAAAAATTTGATACTTTCAGAAATTATTTTGCAAGCTACCTAATTTAAAATAGAAAGAACGAAATAGAAAAAATTATATTATAAAATTCCAATTATTTTGATTTATTATTTATATGTCCTTTTCTTTATTATATATAATTATTTATATAATTCTTCTTATTTCGTAAAGAAGATAGCTTGGAAAAATAGTTCTGAAAGTATCAATTTTTAAAAAAATTATTTCGCAATAATTTTAGTCGAATTAATAATGAACGGACTTAAAAAGTTAATTTCCGGTAATTTTAGGCTTAATTTCAAACCTTAACACCGGATCGTCGGATCAGACTCAACAGAGCCGGACAAAATCTCAAGAACATGTCCTTAATGTGAAATTTAACATGATCGCTCAACAATTCCGGAAGTGTGTTCATCCAAGAATCTAAAATTGGTGTCCAACCTAGAGAAACTGGCTCCATGTAAATCATCCCGCAACGAGAGACTGTCGCCGGTGATGCAACCTAATTAAAGTTTTTTTTTGAATAAATAATAAATAATAGTGAACAATAAATAATTAATAACAAAAAATAGTAAATAATAATAGTAAATAAAAATAAAATAATTATAAATAGATTTAATAGAATAGAATAATCAGGGTTGCTACAAAAAATTAATTTTGTTTTTCCCTGACTTTTCGCTGATTTCCATACAAAATTTTGACTTTTTTCCTGACCCTAAAGAATATTCTGATTCACTCTAAAAATTATTAGATACTCAAAAAAACATTCTATTACATTTACTTACGAATTTCTTTAATTGTAAAATTATTCACAAACATCAATAACTTCATTTTTAAATAAGTATTTAATTATTATGTTTCCATTGGAATTAAAATTCTTCAAAACATTCAAATTCAAAAATTTTTTAAATTCAACAACTTATAAGAATATTATTATAAAACATAAAAATATGATTCACTCCGAGTCTTCGACTCGGAGTAATTCATACCTTTCTGTTTTATAAAAATTTAAATTTCCATAAATAATAAAATTCTTCAAAGGGTTTCAATTATTTTTACTACAATTTTAAATAAATTTCTCGAAAAATAAAATTATCTTCAAAAATTTTTTGCAGGAATTAAATTACATTTCACAAATAATGAAATTCTTCACTGAAATTCAAAATTTTTCGAAATTTACTATTTTAATAAAAGTTTTCAAAAGAATTTAGTTATTTAAATAAAATGTCCTAAAATTCGTTGCAGGAATTCAATTATTTTTACAAGTAAAAATTTTTCACATGAATTCAATATTATTTAAAAAAAATTTTTATAAAATTCGTTATAAGAATTCCATTATTTTCATAAAACATAAATTATAAAAATTTTCTGAGGGTTTCAATTATTTTTGATCCAATTTAAAATAAAATCCTAGAAAAATGGAATTATAATTATATTCTTAAATTTTTGCTGGAATTTAATTACATTTCACGAATATAATGAAATTTTTCGTTGAAATTCAAATATTTTCAAAATCTACTATTTTAATAAAAGTTCTCAAAAGAATTCAATTATTTAAAAAAAATGTAATAAAATTCGTTGCAGGAATTCAATTATTTTCATAAATAATAAGATTCTTTACATTATTTCAATTCTTTAAAAAAAAAATTTGATAAAATTTGTTGCAAGAATTCAATTACTTTCATAAATTAATAAAATTCTTCACAGAATTACAATTATTTTGAATACAATTTTAAATAAATTTTTTGAAAAATGTAATTATTTTCAAAAATTTTATTAAAATTCTTCAAAAGAATTCAATTATCAATTATTTTTAAAAATAATAAATAAAATTTTTTTTGGAAAATTCTACCAGAATTCAATTATTTAAATACAAAAATAAATAATTTACTGAATAAATGAATGTTTCTCTTAATTGAATTATCATAAAGAATTTTATTAACATAATTGAATTTTTTCGAGGAATTTTAATAAAATTTTGAAGAATAATTTAATTTTTGGAGGAATTCGATAAAAATTGTATTAAAAATAATTGAAATTCTATTATTATGAGAATAATTGAATTTTTGTAAAAAATATTATTATTTATTAAGAAAATAACTGAATTATTGTGAAGAAATTTATAAAAAATTTGTAAATAGTTAAATTCCTGTAAAAGTTTTATTATTTATGAAAATAAATGTTTGCTTAAAATTTTATCAACATTTTTTTTTGAAATAATTGAATTCTTTTGGAAAATTTTATTAAAATAGTATAGGTATATTGAAAATCATTGAATTGAGGAAAATTTTTTGAAAATAATTGAAATTTTGCAAAGAATTTTATTAAAATTTTTGAAAATAATTGAAATTCGGATAAGAATTTTATTACTTTTGAAAATAATTGAATTTCTGCAATCATTTGTAACTTCTCCAGAATTCAATTTTTTCCAGTACTTTAATAAAAATCCTTGACTTTTCCCTGATTTCAATGATCAATTATACTTTCCCTGACTTTTCCCTGAATTCCCTGATTTCGCTGACCTGTGGCAACCCTGATAATAGAACTAAAATTAAAATTACCTCGAGATCCATTGGTTCGAAAATTAAATTCGTAGTAGGCGAGAGTTGAATAATTTCGCCCGACATAAGACAAAGTTTTTTGTTATCATCCAAAACTGTATTCATGTTCTCAATCCAAACAGCGTCAACCGGTCCATCGAATACCAACCATTTTCTATTATCATTCGTCGAATTTGCAAACGATCGATAACTCACGGCAAGAATACCATCGCTCCATTCATGAGAAGCAGGATCAAAATTCCCATAGAGTTGACCCATTGTAATTGATTTTGGATTAATTACAGTAATTTCCACTTTATGTTCATTCATCAACTCTTTTTCCTCAAGTAACGCGAGACAATCGGCCAGCATTTTATACGCTGACGTTTTACCCGCGAATGGCAAACCAACAATCATAAAACCATGTCTAACAATCATCATCTCATAAATTTGTTGCACCTTCTCTAGAAAATAATCCGTGCACTGAAGATTATTCCTCTTATCAGAGCACGCTTCCCTTGTGCAATTATTAATGTGGGTATAATCCGGTTCCGGCAGTGAAACACCGGGAAAAAGATCAGAAGCAATACCCTGAAAGAGTGGTAGATCTTGATTTAAAAATTTCGGTAAATTCACATCGTTTATACTCCTCAGTAATATTATATCCTCGGATTCATTTGGATACTTGAGTTTCAAATTACCAGCGGCTGTCAGCACGGATTTGACAGCTCGCATTCCATAATCATAATGACATTGACTGCTCAATTGTTCCGAGCACAATTTATAGCACGTGACAATTTTAACGGCTAATGATCGTCCATTATAGAAGCCAAACGAATAGAGAATATTCTCCGATATGAGTGCATAATCCGGTACCATCATGGCGACAGAGCGAAAGAGTGCTTTTAAATTATCGGGTAATTCGGATCTACCCGCGTAGCCAGGATTCATTGTTATGAAAACGGCGCAAGTTGGATCGAGAATAATTTCCGTTCCTTCGAATAATAATTTTTCCATTGCCGAATTAATGCCACGTTGTATTGTTAAAATTTGTTGTGCAACAACCGATAGAACTTCGAGATCGATACGATTGAATTCATCGAAACATGACCAGGCACCGCATGAGGCGAGACCTTTGAAAAATTTTCCCAATGCAATGTAGTCGAGGCCATCGGAACAATTGAAGACAACGCATTGTTTTGCCATTGCTTTCGCTAAATCTTTGGTGGTTTCGGTTTTTCCGGTTCCTGCGGGACCTTCGGGCGCTCCGCCCAGATGAAGACTCAGGGCGCCGAATAGAGTGCGATAACAACGATCCGTTAATGGAGTTATCACTAATCTTCCTGTGTTGCCGAGGTATTCGTAGCCATAGCGGAGGAAAGAATTAATCATGTAGGTGAACATGTTCTCTTGCTGAAAATACGATTTTAATGGAAAAATATCATTCAAAAATAGAGGAGAATTTTAAAAAAAATAAGAATGTAAAAATTTGTTGTACCTGCCAATAGTAACGAAGTTGACAAAGCCAATTAAAATCATTATTGCTGGTGACCTCTTCTTTTACAAGATCTGCGAGAACATCCTTTCCGTGAACGTCCAAAGTAACTAGAGCCTCTTTTCATTGTAAAAAATTTCATTTATCAATTTTTTGGTTATTTTATTTAGTTAGTACATTAACATTAAAATTTAATCCAAACTTAAATATCAGTTAAAATTTGCAACTAAAATTGAATTAAAATCCGATTGAAATTAAAAATTAAATTAAATTTCAATAAATTTCCTTTTTATTTTCAAATTCAATAAAATTTTGACTTTAAATCCAATTGAATTTCATTTTTAATTTAAATTCAAATTCAATTTAGATTTCACTTTCAATTTACGAAATTTGATTATCAATTAATTCAATTTATATATAAATGAAAATTGAACTCTAATCTAAACAAAAACAAGCAACAATTTGCGCGCTAAAGCGCACGGCCAACTTCTTACTACCTTAATTTTAAAAAATAAAATTAGCAAATTTAAAAATAATAGAATTTAAAAATTGTCTAATTTAAATTTTTGTTGAAAACACTAAAAAAATTCAATTTTGGAGAAATTACAAATAATTGCAGAAATTAAATTATTTAAAAAAAGAATAAAATTCAACTATATGTTCAAAATTTGAAAAAAATTCTCGTAAAAATCCCAATTATCTTTATAAATAACAAAATTTTTCTCCAAAGTTCAATTATTTTCCTAAATGTCAAAAAAATTCTTGTCCTAATTACAATTATTTTCAAAAATAAAATGTATTTTTCTAATTTTAATGATTTTCAATGTCTAAGATTTTAATAAAATTTCCCAAAACGAATTCAATTATTTAAAAAAAAATTTAATAAAATTGTATGTAAACATTTAATTATTTTCATAAGTAATAAAAATTTCACAGGAATTCAATTCTTTTCATTTTTTTAAATTATTAATTTTTGCTTGAGGAATTCAATTATTATTTTCATAAAAAATAATTTAAAATTTTAAAAAATAATAATTGAATTAAAATGATGAAAATAATTTTCATGAAGTTACAGTAACAATATTCTTATCCTTTCTTAAAAAAGACATGGAGTGGAAAGGTCGAATGTATCGAAAAGTATCGAAGTAAAGAATGGGCAATGAGAATGTAAAATCTTAATAGAAGGGTGTTTTTAAAATTGTTTGTACATGTGAAGGTGGCGCTGCAGTCGTATGTTATTTAAAAAGAGCGCGAATATATAAATTTTATTTTTGTTAAGAGAAAGTACTCATAATAAATCTTATTTTGCATTGTCAAAAAAAACGTCAACATTTCAAATATAAATAAGCAAATTATTAACTGAAAAAATTTGAATATTATTATTAATGAAATAATGGACTTGGACAATGGACATATAAAAACTAGCACCGTAGACGGCCGCTTGCGGCCGTCGGAGGAGCTAGTAATATAAAATAATGATTTTATCCCTCGGTCATTTTTAATTATTAGAAAACATGAAGAAATCGATCACTCCGAGTTGAAGACTCAGAGCAATCGATATCTTCATGTTTTATAACAAATACTTTTATAAGTTGTTTAATTTAAAAAAGGTTTCTTCTTTTTCTAAAACAAAATAATAATTTTGCTTAGAAATAAAGAACAAAAATCTGCATAATTTCAATTTGTCAAAATATTTAATTTAAATTTCGATATATTTTTTATTTAAGTCTAAATTTAAATACAATTCTGATTGCAATTTTAATTATCATTAATTCAATTATTAAAATTTAAAATTTAATTTTGTTTTAATATTTTAAATATCAATTTCACTTTTATTAAAAAGTTTGATTTAAAATATAGTTTAGTTAAGGTTTATATTTTAATTCATTTTTAATTTCAACTTTATTTTCTATGTAACTTTAATTTCGATTTAAACTACAATTTAAATTCAAATTTTACTTAACTTTAAATTGATTTTAAATTAAATTTGGATTTCGATTTCAATTTCAATTTTTGTTTCCATTCAGTTTATACGTGAAACTCAAAATATTAATTTTAATTTAATTCATTTTATTTGAGTTTTAATTGAAAGTTTAATTTAGATTCAATTGTGATCTAAATTAAAATTTTAATTGAAATTTCAGCTTTAATTTAATTTTGTTTCAATATTTTAAATGTCAATTTAACTTCAATTTAAATTTGTATTTGATTAAATAAAATTTAATTTCGGTTTTGATTTAAATTTTTAATATAAATTAAATTTTTATTTTAATTTAAATTTTCTTTATACTTAGAATTCAATTTCAAGCTAAATTTCAATTCAAAACCAACTTGGATTTTATTTAAATTTACTTTGGATTTCAGTTTTAATTCAGTTAATATAAAAATGAAAATAAAATTTAATTTAAACAATAATTCCAATTGTGTATCGATTTAAATGTTTAAGTTTAAATTAAACTTGAATAAAAAGTTTAAATTCAATTTGAATTTGAATTCAATTTTCATTTTAATTTGAATTTACTTTAATTTCAATTAAGATTTCAATTTAAACTCAATTTAAATTTTTCTACAATTTCGATTAAAATTTAAATGTTAATTCATTTATTATTTAAATTTAAGCTTTCATTCAATTGTGATTTAATATTTTAAACATCAAATTATATTTAAAATATAATTAAAATTTAAATTTGATTTAATTTTCAATTTAAATAATAATATTAATTAAAATTTAATTTAAATATTCTTGAAAATAGAAATTTAATTTGAAAAGAATTTTTTAATCTATCTAAATATAAATTCTAGTTGATTTGTAATTGATGAAAAATAAAATTGGAATTTAGAAATAGATATTTAGATTAATTGTAAATACGAAAGGAATTAAAAATTTGAATATCGAAAGAGAAATTTAAATATATGTAAACAATTGGAATTTTATTATTAATGAAGATTGAAATTAAAATATCTATAACAATTGATATTTGAATATGAATGAAAATTTCAATTTAAATATAAATGAAAATTTTACTTCAAATCAATAATGAAATTTAAATATTAATAGAAATTTAAATTTAAACACGAATGTAAATTTAAATCTGAACTGAAATGATTTTCTTGAATTTTACCTAAAGTAATGCGATTCTGCTTCGATAATTTTCCACGAATTATTAAAATAATGTCATTCAATTCCCTTTGACATTGATCGAAATAAGTTTGCAATGCTTGCAGGGGATTTTTATCAGCAATCGCCACCTCAATTTGCTGAGTCCAGTATAATTGACTGACGCAAAGAACCGTTTGTCCCGGCCACTCAAGAACCCAAATTGTCCTCTCTTTCTTTGGATAAGCTTCAATTGCTTCCTGAACTTTGTGCCTGACACTTTTTCTCATGTCGCCTTCCAATTCCACCAGCCATTTTTCAACTTGACCACGAGCAGCCGCTGTTGATATTAAATCAACCAATTCAACAATCTCACCTTCAGCCGACATCATCGCATGAACTATCAAATCATCGTCAAACGTCAGTTTCGCTATTCCCTCGAAGCATTTTTTCAAATGCGGCTGTACACTGAAAAACATTTTCAATTCAGACAAAAGAAATGATTATTTAGTAAACAAATTGTTTTCCAAGAAAATAAAAAATGTATAAATATACAAAAATATTTATAAAAAAACAATATTAACAAAAAATATAAAAATATTTATAAAAATATTGAAATATTGAAATATAAAAGTTATAAGAATATAAATTGATTTGACCAATTCAATTACCGAGTTGGATCTTTAGTTTCCGAGAGAATTTCCAAAAGTTCATCATTCGAGAGAAAGAAGAATCTCGGGAAGAAGAGTCGTTTCTTTTCCAAATATTCGTTGAGTCCTTTTTGAATTAATTCCAATAGACCGAAACTTTTTTTCAATCTCTCAAGCATTTTATCTATTTTCACCACAGACATAACTCGAGGATCCGCTTGCACCGTTTTCATAATATCGCGCCAACTTTTATCAACAGCACTGAATTTCCGACCCTCTTCAGGCATTTGCTGTTGAATATCAGGCGATGAGAAAATCGGTCCCAAGTACATCCATATTCCTTGAACCACCAACCACTGATCCAAAATATCCTGCAGCAAGTGTAATTTCTTCTCCCACATCCTGTTGGACAGAAAAATCCAATATATATAAATTAATAAATGAAAAAACAATAAATAAATAAAAATAGGTTTCAAAGAATGCAAAGAACTGGAATAATTCTATAATCAAAATTATTCTAAGAAGAAGAGAAAAAAGAAAAAATAGAAAAATAAAAAAAGGAAAAACAAAGAAAGTGGAATAAAATTTAAAAAAGAGACTATAAATAGAATAAAAATAAAAAAAGACGAAATTGAATAAAAATAATAAGATAGACAAGTAAGTAAATAAATCAAATAGAATAAATATAAGAAAGCAGCCAAAGATATAAATGCAAAGAAAGCAAAATACAATGAAAATAAAAAACAGACGAGAAAGAATAAAAGTAAAAAACGACAAAATAGAATAAAAAGTTAAAATAAAATAAAATAAAAAGAAAGAAATAGAATAAAAACAAAATTCGAATAAAATAGTGCATAAATAAAAAAAGACAAAATAGAATGAAAATAAAGTCAAAATAAAATAAAAAATTTTAAATGTATCAATTTTAAAATTATTGTACTAAAAATCATTGAATTCTTGCAAAGTATTTATCAAAAAATTTGAAAATAATTGAATTGTTTTGATTTTGAAGAATTTGTTTCAATTTTTTTTAAAATAATGCAGTTTTTTTCAAATAATTTTTACTGAAAATTTTGAAAGTAATTGAATTTTCTGAACATTTTCTTAATTGTAATTAATAATTTTCCTATTAAATTATATTAAAATTATAAGTACATAGAAAACTAAACACTTAACTAAAAACTAAACTATTTTAAACAATTTTATTAGAGTTTTTGTAAATAATTACATTTTTTTAAGAATTCCATTAAATTTCATTAAAAAAATGTAATTTTTTAAAATAATTTTAATTGAGAATTTTGAAATAATTGAAATTTATAATGAAATTTCATTAAAAACTTTTAAGAATTGAAATTGTTAAGAAAAATTTTATTACAATTTTTAAAAATAATTGAACCTGTTAGAGAAACTTTTTAAAATTATTTTGAATATAATTGTATTCTTTCGAGAAATTTTATTAAAATTCTATTGAAAATAATTGAATTTCCCGGAAGAATTTTATTATTTACAAAAATAATTTGTATTCTTGACAAGAATTTTACAATTTATAAAAATAATTGAATTCTTCACAAGAATTTTATCAGAATTGTTAAAAATAATTGAATTTTTATTAATACTCTTGAAAATAATTGAATTTATTTTTTATTATTTATGAAAATAATTTAATTCCTTTGTAGAATTTTATTATTTATGAAAATAATTGAATTTTTGCGAAGGATTGTACAATATATAAAAATAATTGAATTGTTTCGAAGAATTTTATCTGAATTTTTGAAAATAATTAAATTTTTTGATGGAATTTTATTAAAAATTTTGAAAATAATGATTTCTTTAAAATTGTCGAAAATAATTGAATTTGTATTAAAATTCTTGAAAATAATCGAATTTAATTAATATTTTTTTAAATAATTGTATTCTTTCGAGAAATTTTATTAAAATTGTATTGAAAACAATAGAATATGGCTCTAAAAAATGATATTATTTATGAGAATAATGAAATTCTTGCGAAAAATTGTATTAAAATTTTTGAATAATAATAAACAAGAATATTTAATAATATAAATATTTAATAAGAATATTTAATGTTATTTACTTAACAAGTGAATTCTTTAAATTTAAAAATTTGTAATTATTCAAAAATTGATGTTTATTCTTGAAAATATAAAATTTTTTAATTTACAAAATAATTATAAATGGAATACCGCATTCCGGGCGCTTATCATTTGCTAGTAATGAAAATAAAGTCAAAATGAAATAAAAATAAAAAATAGACGAGGAAGAATAAAAATAATAAAGAAAAAACACAAGAGAATAAAAGTTAAATGTTACAATAAAATAAAAAGACGAAATAGAATAAAAACAAAAAACCAGGCAAAATAGCACATATAATAAAAAATAAAATAGTATAAAAAGATAAAAAGACAAAGAAAGAATAAAATTCAAGTGAATTAATTTACAAATAAATAAATAATTAATAAATTGATTAATTAAATCAGTAGTTAGTAAAAAATAATCACGTTTATGAATAATAATAATAATAATAACAAAGAACCCACATGATTTCGGTCTCGAAAGGTTTAATATAAGGCGAATTTTTCATAGTAATGGCTTTAGTGATGTGATCATCGAGCAATACTTGAATGTCATCAACACCAGCAACAACAAAGGTTCCAATATCTTTATAAGGATTCACGGTAAATTGCATATCGGACCAATCTTTATGCATTCTATCAATATTCTTCTCTAGAGTACTCTCCTTGCTTGCACTCTCCGAAATGCCTTCAAATTTCTCCACCAACTGATCAAGATTCATGTCCAAAACTCTGCCTAGTGTCAAATTTGCATCGACTTTAATTGGAATTTCAATTATTTCCGAAATCTCCTCCCAATGCCGCTGTTTCATTCCCTGATTGCCAAGTGTCATTATCACTGGCATATGATCTTTGAAATTTTCTATCTTCTCTCTCAGCATACGCGCCAATCTCTTTGATTCTACTTCTTGAAATGATCTCTCAAGCTTAAAGAGGGTTCTGCAAAAAAAATTGGAGTTTCTTTTATTTTCTATTTATTATTAAAGACAATTAAATTGAGAATAATTATTAATAATTAAACGCAGCTCATTGAAATTTAATATTTTATGTCTGGTTCTTGCATCCAGGCGATGAATTTAAATTGTTTTCAACTACAAATATTTATTTTATAATTTTGAATCTAAAATAATTGAATTCTTATAAACAAATTTATCTAAATTTTTCAAAATAATTAAATTTCTTGGAAAAAATTAAATTAAAATTTTCAAAAATAAGTTAATTCTTACGAGAAACTTAAATAAAATAATATTAAAAATATTTAAATTCTTATAAAGAAATTTATCTAAATTTTTCAAAATAAATAAATTTCTTGAGAAAAATTTAATTAAAATTTTTAAAAATAAGTTAATTCTCAAGAGAAATTTAAATAAAATATCTAATATTAAAAATATTTGAATTCTTTTAAAGATTTTTATCAAAATTTTTGAAAATAATTGAAATTTGCAAAAAATGGTATAATTAACAGTTTTTTAAATAATTGAATTCTTTCGACAAATGTTATTAATTATAAAAATAATTGAAATGTTGATAAGAATTTTATTAAAATTTTCAAAAATAATTGAATTTTTTCAAAATTATTAACAAATAAATTTTCTTTATTAATTTGCTTTTTTTATAACAAATTTCTTTTAACTAATCTAAATTCTGCAAATTTTTCTCCTTTTTATTTATAAAAAATATTAGAAATTGTTAATTGTTAAAAAATTGATTAAGAAATAGGAAATATATCCATTTTATTCATCATTTTTATTTCTCAATAACAATATTGTTCACAAATTGATTCTTTTCTTTGGGGAAGAAAAACATTACATAATCCCGTTTCTTATTATTTTTGTAGAAAATTCTCAATTTTCATAAGGAAAAAATCTGTGGCATCATTTCCATTTCTTAATTACAATAAATTGCATTTAATAAAATTCAAAGTTTTTTAAAAATGACGGGAAAAAATGTTTATAAATTCTATTTGTCAATTACAAATTTCAATTAAAAAAAATGTTAAAACTTTTTAAATTTCTAGAGAAAATAAAGTAAAAAATTTTATTCAAAAAACTGTTCTGCTACATTTATTTACGAATTTCTTTAATTGTAAAATTATTCAAAAACACCAATAACTTCTTTTTTTAAATAAATATTTAATCATGTAATCGGCCTACGTGAGCAGCCTTGAAATATTTTTATTCTAAAATAATTAAATATACTGAAAGAATAATTTTCTGTTGCATAACTGTTTTTTTCGTTTACTTTTATTATTTTGTTACTTAATTGTTTTATGTTTTTTTTTAGATACCCATTTATGGTCCAAAATTTGACTGCGGGAGTGTATATTAAATAAATAAATTATTATTATTTTTCCACAGGAATTAAGACATTAAAAAATTTCAAACTCAAACCTTTTTGAAATTAAATAACTTATAAAAGTATTTTGTTATAAAACATGAAGATATCGATTGCTCCGAGTCGAAGACTCGGAGTGATCAATTTCTTCATGTTTTATAATAATTGAAGATGGCCGAGTGATAAAATCATTATTTTATATTATAAGAATATTGTTAATGTAACTTCTTCAAAATTATTTTCATCTTTTCAATTCAATTATTATTTTCTAGAGTTTTCAATTATTTTTTATGAAAATAATTGAATTCTTTAAAAAAAAATTTTATTACTTATTAAAATAATTGAATTCCTGTGGAATTTTTATTCTTTATCAAAAATAATTAAATGTTTGCGTACAATTTTATTAAATTTTTTTTTAAATAATTTGAATTCTTTTTGTGAAATTTTATTAAAATAGTAGAAATTGAAAATCATTAAAATGAGAAAAATGTTTAAAAATAATTGAAATTAGGACAAGAATTTTATTGACATTTTTGATAATAATTGAACTTTGGTGAATAATTTTGTTATTTATAAAAATAATTGGGATTTTTACGAGAATTTTTTTAAAATGTTAAACATAATTGAATTTTATGAGAAGAATTTTATTACTTTTGAAAATAATTGAATTTCTGCAATTATTTGTAATTTCTCCAAAATTAAATTTTTTTAGTGTTTTCAACAAAAATTTTAATTAAAAATTTTTTAAATTCTATTATTTTTGAATTGCTAATTTTATTTAAAAAAGCAAGTAAAAAGTTAGCTTAGAATTATTGATAGTAAATAATAATAATTTATTTAATTATTTATTTATTATTTATTATACATAGTTCCTGCCTTCCGGCATTCTCCTTTACCTTACACTTTAGATTAATTATTTAATAATTTCAATTAAAATAAAAATATATATATATATAAAAATCAAAAAACTCAATTTTAAATAGTACTAAAATATAAAACATTATGAACACTTTAAACTTATAAAACTTCAACATTTCTTTAGTAAATAATAATAATATTTAATTAGTAAATAGTTACTTAATAAATATAAAATTGTTTGTTGAAGATAAATAAAGGGGATTAAGAATTTTTGAATAAATTTTTGCAAAATTCAAACCTGTAGGCCAAAGAGGCGTCGTTCTCGATTTCTTCGGGATCAAATGTGCCAATTTGAGTGTTAACCCATTTTTCATGTTTCATCAAAAATTCACAGCCAGCGTCGAACAATTTTTTAAAAGACATTAAGCGATCGGCGATTTTCTTTCTTAATGGATACTGAGTTGTTTCCCATTTGAAAGCCTGTTCTTCTTCATTAAACTTGTCTATTTTTTGCATGGCGTGAATTAATTTGTTTTCCAATGCCTGCGCCTTCTTTTGGTAATTAAGTATTTCATCTATATCACCCCAATATTGAATATCATCCACTTGTTTTGCATACAATTCCAATTCCTCCTCGAATTTTTGATACCTAACTGAAAAAGAAAGATAAAAACAAAACTTAATTTCCAAACAGAAAATAAATTCTCAAAACTAATACTTTATATAAAACAAAAAAAAAAAAATTTTTTTATTTGAAATCATTTTCAAATTCAAAAAGATACTTTTTTCAAAATCATTTTCTGAAAGAAATAATGAAACGAATAAACAAAATATGAAAATAAACAAAAAATTTGATGAATAAAATAAATTAAATCGAAGAAAAAAAATACTTTTTAGTGAATCTTGAAATTCTTGTGTTTTATTTTCAATGATAATTCGATTATCTTCCAAAATTTGAGGTATTTTATGATACCATTGAAATGCAATATTATTCGTTCGTATCTCATCTTCGCTGAGAATCCAATAGTCAGACAAAATCCCTAAAACTTCGATTATATTCTGAAGCTTATTTTCCAACTGTTTTAAGAAGAATCCCTCCACCTTTTTCATATAATCGATAAGTTCCATTAATCCAGCAGTATTTGTAGGAGCATTCAGTGCACGATCAGCAATCGTTTGATATTCCTCTCCAACACTTTATTTTTTTCATATATATAATATAAAGTATAAAAGGAAAAATGGATATTTCAGATTTATTATATATACTATATATCAATAATGTAGATTTCTCAAGAAAAAGAGAAAGATAATGTTGTAAATACTCAAATATACTCAAAGCAAAAAGAAATTTATATCATTTTTTTCTTCGGATTTCTTTTTAAATTTCTTATTTTTAGAATAAATAGGTAAATTACCTTTTTGCGATAGACTGATATTGTGCTACTAATTGATTAACGATTGCAATTTTAAATGATTTCACATTATTCGTAACAGTTTCGATGAAACTGTTGTAACTGATTTCAAAGAATTCGGTAAAGGAAGTTTTTTCTATTTCTATCGAAATGTCCTTTGATAAATTATGATAATAGTCAATTTTTTCTTTAAAGTCATTTAGACTATTTATTTTGCTTGATAGAAATTCGTTCACTTTTTCCAATTCTTCGTCATTAAAGAAATGAGCATATCTGTAAAATAAAACTCTTTGTTATTATCAAATTTAGGTGAAAAAATAAGTAAAAAAAAATAAAAAAAGGAAAATATAAAAATAAAAATCTATATTAATAATCCTTGTATTCCGGTAATCTGTTCGCAGTTTAAAGTTAGTCGATGTTTGTTTTCTTGGTTCTTAACTTTTTTAATATTTTTTCTTTATAAAAAAATTTTCAATTTTAAAATTAAAGTAGGTATTGAAAATTACTGAATTCTTGCAAAGAATTTTATAAAAAAATTTGATAATAATTGAATTCCTTCAAAGAATTTTATTATTTAGGAAAATAATTGAATTCTCGCGAAGAATTATGTTAAAATTATTATAAATTCTAACTAAATTCTTTTTGAAGAATTTATTTGAATTTTTTTTTAAATAATGAAGTTTCTTTAATAATTTTAGGTAATTAAAGTTTTTGAAAATAATTCAATTTCATAAACAATTTCTTTCAAGTTTCTAAAATAATCGTGTTTGTTAATAATTTAAATTAAATATTTAATTATTGAATTTTATTAAAATTTTTAGAAAATAATGAAATTCTCCTTAGAATTTTTATACAATTTTCTAAAATAATTTACTTTATTCAAGGAATTTTACAAAAATATAGAAAATAATTAAATTCTTTTGAAGAATACCTAGATACTATTAAAGGTTTTGACAATAATTTGTATTTTTTCAAAAAATTTCTTTAATTTATTGAATATAATCAATTTTGTTAATAATTGTAATTATACCTAATAATTTTACTGTTAAAATTTTATTACAGTCTTCGTAAATAATTAAATTTTTGTGATGAATTTTACTACTTTATAAAAATAATTGAAAAGTTTTGAAGGATTTATTAAAATTTTAGAAAATAATTGGATTCCTTCGAAAAATTTTATTAAAAATTAAAAAATAATTGAATTGTTTCTAAGAATTTATTAAAATTTTAGAAAATCATTGAATTATTTCGAAAAATATTATTAAAAATTGAATTCTTTCATGCCATTTTTTAGAAATTGTATTAAAAATAACAATGAATTTTTACAGAGAATTTTACTATTTATAAATAAAATTAAATTGTTGGATTTATTAAAATTTTAGAAAATAATTCAATTCTTTTGCAAAGATTTTATAACGAATTAAGAAAAAATTGAATTATTTCTTGAAATTATTTTTAATATAATTGAATTTTTCGTAAAGATTTTAGTATTTAAAAAAATAATTGAATTATTGTTTCGAAGGATTTATTAAAATTTTAGAAAATAATTCAACTCTTTTGAAAAATTCTATAATGAATTAAGAAAAAATTTGAATTCTTTCGTGAAATTGTTTTGAAAATAATTGAGTTTTTGCAAAGATTTTATAACGAATTAAGAAAAAATTGAATTATTTTTTGAAATTATTTTTAATATAATTGAATTTTTTGTAAAGATTTTAGTATTTAAAAAAATAATTGAATTGTTTCGAAAGGTTTATTAAAATTTTAGAAAATAATTCAACTCTTTTGAAAAATTTTATAACAAATTATGAAAAAAATTGAATTCTTTCGTGAAATTTATTTGAAAATAATTGAATTTTTGCAAAGATTTTATAACGAATTAAGAAAAAATTGAATTATTTCGTAAAATATTACTTTTAATTTATCTATAATTGCATTTTTTGTAAAGATTTTAGTATATAAAAAAATAATTTAATTGTTTCGAAAGATTTATTAAAATTTTAGAAAATAATTGTATTCGTTCGTGAAATTTTATTAAAATTTTGTTTAAAAATAATTGCAATTTTGCAAAAAATTTGACTATTTTATAAAAATAATTAATTTTTTACGAAGAATGTTATTATTTATGAAAAAAATTGAATTCTTGCAAAGAAGTTTTATTAAAATTTTTGAAATTGATAAACAAGAATAATTAATTATCGAATTAGTTATTAATTAAATTTTTTTAAAGTTTGAATTTGAAATTATTCAAAAATTCTATAATTTGTATAGTAATAATAAATTGATTATTACGTTCCGTCCGCTAGCGCGCGTAACATTTGCTAGTGTAAGAAATAAAAGTTAACAGAAAAAAATAATAAAAAATGAGAAAAAAATTTGAAACTAAATAAAATATTTTGTTTTCAAATAATTGAAAAAGAAGTTTACCTGCGAATTTTATTGAGATATTCTTCAGGTTCGATTTTCTTTTCATTGATAGTAAATGCGATTTCCTTTTTATAAGTCTCGACTACTTTCCATGAAACTTGTGGCTGACACAAACATCATTAGAAATAAATTCCAGTCCTTCTTTTTATATATAATATAATAAATAAAGAAAAAGAAAAAGAAAAATTGAATGAATATATAAAAAGTTTACCTTAAGAAAAGCCTGAGGGCCGTTCCAATCAAGGTACAACTGAGATTCAAGTCTGTCAAAGCCTGTAACTGCTTCACAAATAGCATTCAAGATACTGCAAAAGACATCTTCAAAGTTCTTAGTTAATGGCTCAAATAAAGGTTCTTTTTCTTTCACGATTATGTTCAATTTAAAACTTCGATTTACAAAGGGCTAAGAAATGAAATTTAAGAAAAATATATTTTAATTTTTTTCCTTTTCGCACAAAAACTTCTTTTTCTTTTACAATTTTTCTATAATACACATTAAAAAGAGAATTTTTTTCAATTAATTAAAATTTTTATACTGAATTTTGCAGAGCAAAAAAAAGACTAATTTTAAAAAAGAACTGTAAAAAAAGAAACTATTTTTTAAAAGAGAAAAATTGAAACAATTTTCTAGATAAATGGAAGAAACTTATTTTCTGCAGATAAACGAGAAAAAAAGCTGAGAAAAAAAGTATTAATTTCACTCGGGAAGAAGTAGAAAAAAAAGGTATTATAAAAGGCTTTTTTGTAGGCTTACTTCCGTCTCACAAATATATCGCATAAAGTCTTTAAGCGTATGCTTGCAAGCAGATAAAAGCTGAAACTCCATGAGCTTTCCTACACACTCATAAAATCTTTTAAACAACTTTTCTTGCAATGGACTTGGAACGAGATTTCTTTTATTATTCTAAAATAACAAAGAAAAAAATGAGATCCGTTATATTTTTAAATACTCACAAGAAAAGTAATATTTTTCAATCTTTATACATTATTAAACTAATTTTCTACTTTTATTAATTTTTAATTAAAAGTTTAAATTGAACTTTCAAACTTTAATAATTGAAATTTAGAAAACAAATTTCCGTTCTTTATGCATTATTTGTCATTCTATTTCTATTTTAAATATGTTTGATGATGTGACATTATCGATTTACCTCAAGAAAAATATTCTGCACTCCACTGAACCAGGTGTTTAAGAGATTTTTCCTAGAGCGTTTGATTTGATGGACGACTACATTTTGAAAATCCATCAAATTCCAACTTTCCGTATGCTGTTTTATTTTCTCCAGATCAATCAGACGAAAGTTTCTAGAAAAAAAAATAGGGTAAAAAAGAGGAATATATGTATATATGAAAAAAGAGCTTTAAAAGCATTTTTGTAAAGTATGAAATATATCTCTGAAAATATCTCTGTTTATACTTTTTTTTCTCCCCCCACCAATGATGAACATACCGATAATTATGAAACCATTCATCGAGTGTCTGTCTCATGCATGGATTTATTAAATGTAAATTTCTATTCATTTTTAGCTGACTGTTATCAAAAGATTTTCTATTTTGAAATAATAATTTCTTGATTTCCATTCTCTCCAGTGTTAAAGATTCCTGCAATAACATAATATAAAAATTATATTTGTTCAAAAAAAAAAAAAATGTAGAATAAAAAATATATATATGTAAAATAAAATAAACTATAAAAAATTAATAACTTTGAATACTTGGAATAATTTAATTAATTATTATAACAATTAAAATTTTTATTAAATTTCGATTTTTCTATAATTTCAATTCAATTTCGATTTATATTTCAATTTACGACCAATTACAAATTTAATTACAGTTTAACTTTAATTTCTATTTGAATTTAAATATATAAATTTCAATTTAATTTGGATTTCAGTTTTAATGCAATTTCTACATTAATGGAAATTGAAGTTAAATTAAAAAATTTTAATACAATTTCGATTGAAATTCAATTTTAATTAAAGTAAAATATAAGTTTTAATTTAACTTTTTTTTAATACTAGCGAATCTTACGCGCGCAAAATGTGATCTTCAATTTATTATTAATATTATGTAAATCACAAAATGTTTTATATTCAAATATAAATTTTGAATAATTTCATACTCAAAATTTAAAAAATCCACTTATTAAGTAGGTACATAATTAATTATTATATAATTTAAAAAATTTTAATATAATTCTACGCAAGAATTGAATTATTTTCATACATAATAACATTCTTCGGAAGAATTAAATTATTTTTATAAAAATAGTACAATTTTTTGCAAAGATACAATTATTTTTAACAAAATTTAAATAAAATTTCACGAAAGAATTAAATTTTTTTCAAATAGTAAAATTCTTACAAAAATTATATTATTTTTCAATAAAATTTCACGAAAGAATTCAATTTTTTTCTTAATTTCTTCTAAAATTTTTTAAATGAATTCAATTTTCTAAAATTTTAATAAATTCTTCAAAACAATTATTTTTATAAATAGTAAAATTCTTTGCGAAAATTCAATTACTTTGATACAATTTTAATAAAATTTCAAGAAAGAATTTAATTTTTTAAAATTTTAATAACATTTAGAATACAATTTTAATTAATTTAAATAATCTAATTTTTAATTATAATTATTAACAGACATGACTATTTTAAAAAGTTGAAAAAAATTCTTTTTTTAATTTAATTATTTTCAAAATTTTCAATTAAGATTATTTAAAAAATTGTATTATTTTCAAAAAAAAAACTTTAAAAAATGCTTTAAAAGAATTTAATTATTTACAAAAACTCTAATAAAATTGTACAAAAGAGTTTTTTTTCTATTAATAATTTTTAATAAAATTTTAATAGTAAAATTATTAACAAAATCGATTGTATTCAATAAATTAAAAACATTTTTTGAAAGAATTCAATTATTGTCAAAACCTTTAGTAGTATCTATCCTACGAAAGAATTAAATTATTTTCTATATTTTAATAAAATTCTTTGAATGAATTAAATTATTTTAGAAAATTGTAATAAATTTCTGAGAAGAATTTAATTATTTTCAAAAAATTTTAATAAAATTCAATAATTATTTGTTTAATTTCAATTATTAAGAAACAAGATTATTTTAAAAACTTGACAGAAATAGTTCATAAAATGCAATTACTTCAAAAATATTAAATTGAAATTATTAAAGAAACTCCATTATTTAAAAAAAAAATTGAAAGAAATTCTTGAAAAGAATTTAATTAGGATTTTCAAAAATTTTAATAAAATCCTCCACAAGAATTCAATTATTCTCATTTATATAATAAAATTCTCCCATAGAATTCAATTATTCTCAAATGTTTTGACAAAATTCTTTGCAAGAATTCAATGATTTTCACTAGTTTCTAATTTTTGGATTGAGAATATTTTTTAAAAACAAAAAATATTTTTAAAAAATTAAGAAACAAAAAGCAAACCACAACTAATACAACGATTTATTAATATAGATTTTAAATGTCATTTCAACTTCGGTTTAAATTTGAATTCGATTATAAGAATAAAATTTAATTTTGGTTTAAATTTTAATTTTAAAATTCAATTTTCAGTTAAATTAAAATTCAAAAACAACTTGGATTTTAGTTTAATTTGTATTTCAGTATCAATTCAATTCATATATTAATGAAAATTGAAGTTTAATTTGAAGAAAAATTTTAATTTATTCTTAAATTCAATATCGATTTAAATTAAAAATTAAGTTACATTTGGATTTAGATTTTAATTTAATTCCGATTTTAATTTTATTTTAATTTCGATATAATAAAACCAAAAACCTGTTGAAATTCATTTTCGAATGGATCCTTAAAAGCAAATTCAACAATTGACTTTTTCATCGATATAATAAATTCATCTTCAACTTCCTTCAGTAAATTATTTAGCGATTCATTAAATCGATTACGAAATTTCGGTGAAACTAATATTATAATATTGTCAACGATATTCTTTTCAAATGTGGTAACGTGAACGGTATTGATTCCATTCTGAATATAATAATAGTATCTGTTAATGTCTATATCACGAGTACTGTTCAATATCTCATCATCGTCATCATCACCATCATCACCGGAATGCTCTGATTTCACAATTAATTCAATCAAATGTCTTCGAAAATGTTCCCGTTTCAATCGTTGTTGCGTATATGAATTTTTCATGGATAAAATCTTATTTCCCTGTTTTTTCGAAATTCCTAATTCATTGTTTGGTAAATTTAATTTTTTCTTAATTAACAATTCTCTTGATAATTCGCTCGGAAATTTAAAAAGTGGTTCAATTTTCGCATCAATTATATTAGGTAATTTCATCGAATCTTGTGAGGCTTTTTTGTTCAATTTCATTTTCTTTTTATTCTCCTTTTTTTCATTCTCTACTTTATTAGAATGCATTTCTGAAAAAAATGAGAAAATAAATAATTATTCTAAAATATATTTACGAAGTTGAAGTCCATAAAGTTGATTAACGAAAAAAATTTGTATAAAGTGTTCGTACATTATTTTTAATAATTATATACAATTATTGTTAAAACATAAATAAAAATCTTCTTTTTTTCGTATTATTTTTGTGGCAAATTTTTTTTTGTTGATCAACACTGGATTTCAACTTGGTAAAAATATTTTAATGGTTTTTTTATATTTTCAAGAAGATATATTTAACCGTACTACGTTAAGACGTATTTACGTTAAGCTATAATTCTGTAATATAAAAGATTATTTGCAAATTAGTTTATAAATAAATTAAAATTTACCTTTTTTTGTTGACAACATAATTCAAGAGGAAATGTGAGGTTAGAAAATCATTTTTCTAAATGTAAACCGAAAATATTGCTTAGCATATTTGACACTATTTTTATTAATCTTTTTTGTTTAGACTTTATTCTTCATAATAATTTTAGAATTAAATAATTAAATTCTGTGCAGAATTTCAAAATTTTACGCTTTTATTATTTTCCACATTTTACGAACTGTCAACAAGGAACCTAACGGGCAAGTCAAGTTGAATCAAATGACGTGTTAAATGTCAACAAACAGAAACATTATTTTTTTAATAAATATTCATAAAATTCAGAATTCCCGAGTTTCTTTTTATTTTAAAATCAAGTAATTATTACAGCGAGTTAATTTATTGTTTTTTTTTGGAAGTCAAAAAGCAACTGGCGCGCGATCTTTTTCTGAAGTAAATTTCAATTCGAAAATTCGCGGCTCTACCGCAAGGCACGACGGGAAAATTTCGAATCACATGGTACAAAATGGAAATTTGTTAAATAGGTTATAATTGCAACAAAAATTAAAAACCGGTTCATTTTATCAATTTAACCGTATTTTTATATAATTATATTAATAATTTAATTAGAATAAATTAAATTTTGTTACCTTATTAAAGAATCAAGGAATAATAACTGTTACAAGTGTATACAATCAGCAAATGTAAGTTTTCATCCCTATCGTTTTCATCACTTCATTATCTTGTCATTTATCTGCATGTATATTTAAATTAAAAAGTGACAATTAGTATTTAAATTTTACCCAAAATGTACTCATTGTCTTTTTTTGTATCAATCAAAAATATTCTCTTTTAATTCATTTGAAACATTGAGGAATACAATAGTAAACAATACCCAGTCACCAAGCAACGTTTCTATTGATTTACAAAGAAAAAAGTTTATTTTCAGTTCAAAAGTGATCTTAAAATTGAAAAATTTATGTAATTAAAATATTTTTCTTTTAAATAATTGTGAAACATTTATTTATACGCGATTATTAATTTTTTCTTTGAGGGAAAGATATTTTTAGGTTAGGTTGCAAAGTAGTATTATTAATTGTATTATTTATTATTGCAGATGATTTCTAGTAAACTTATTCGATATATTCATACAAATAGTTTTTTGTGGCAAGCTTCGAATAAATCACTTCTTGCTAAATTGCGTAAGAAAACAGGATACACGTTTTCTAATTGTAAGAAGGCTTTGGAGTTGCATCAAAATGATTTAGAGAAGGTAATGCTCTTAATAATAATTATATAATAATGATAATGATAATAATAATAAAATGACATCTTAAGCAAATTTTAATTATTATAATTGCACAATTTACTTTATAATTATTTTTCTTGAGCTATATTTCAAATAATAGAATTTTCGGAAGTTCATAACGTTTATTAATTAACGATTTAGAGGGAAAAATATTTTTCTAATCAATTTTGTGTTTAAATTTTTTTCCAAATTAATTTTTTACAAAGTTTGAACAATAATTTCTAAAAAAACAATTTTAAACGAAAAATGTCATTATTAGTAGGTAGAATATTGGTCAGGAAAATAAGGAAAAAGTCATGAAAAATTTTATTATAAGTATCTACTGAAAAAAATTTAAATTTTAGAATTAATAAGAAAATTCTGACTTTTGGTGTCATTTTCGTTTACCTCCTAAACTATGAAATTACCACGAATTCTAATAGAAAACCTTCAATTTTTAATACATAAATTTAATTAGAACTTTTAAAGAGCTTAAATTTTTAAAAAATTTTAATAATTTAAATTCTTCTGAAATTAGTTATATTTTTTAATATAAATATTCAATTAATTATTAAAAATAATGGATTTATAGGACAATTTTAGTTTTAAAAAACTAAAAAAAAATTGAATTTTTGAGAAATTACAAATTTTTGGAGAAATTCAATTATTTTCAAAAGTAATTAAATTCTTCGAAAAAATTCAATTCTGTTTAAACATGTTTTTAAATTCTCGTCAAAATTTCAATTATCTTTATAAATACATAATAAAATTCTTCTCTGAAATTCAATTATTTACAAAACTTTTAATAACATTCTTCTCAAAATTTCAATGATTTTTAATATCTACTATTTTAATAAAATTTTCCAAAAGAATTCAATTATTTAAAAAAAATTTTAATCAAATTCTACGCAAACATTTCATTATCTTTATAAATAATAAAAATTTCACAGGAATTCACTTATTTACAACATTTTTATAACTTTCTTCGCAATAATTTAATTATTTTAATAAATAATAAATTTTTTATTAAAGAATTCAATTATTTTTATAAATAATAAAATTCTTCTTAGGAATTCAATTATTTTCATAAATAATAAAACTCATCGTAGAATTTCACTTAATTTTAAAATTAATTAAATTCTTCCAAAAATGTAATTATTTAAAAAAATTTTTATTAAAATTCGTCAAAAGAATTGAATGATTTAAAAATTTGTTAATGAAATTCTTTATGAAAACTTAATTTTAAGAAACATTTAATTATTAAATAAATTATTTATTTTTGTATTTAAGTAATTGCATTGTCGTAGAATTTTTTAGTAAAAATGATTTAAAAATTAATTGTAGTTGAAATTTTAAATAATAATTGAATATTAAAAACATTGTAGCATGAATTTTTGAAATTAATGTATTTTGAAAAGGTTTCAAATTAAAATCTTTGAAAATCTGAATTTTTCATACTTTTAACTAACAATTCTGTAGAATTCACTTTTTTAAAAAAGTTTAATTGAATTTTTTTTTGAAATCATTTGAAGATTTAAAATTTTAATAATTCAAATTCTTCTGTAATTATTTGAATTTTTTTAATATATATTTAATTAATTATAAAAAATAATGGATTCATAGAAGAATTTTAGTTAAACCCATTTTAAAAAAATTGTTTTTTTTAAAGTTACAAAAGATTACAGAAATTCAATTATTTCCAAAAGTAATAAAATTCTTCGCAGAAATTCAATTATGTTGAAAAAACATTCTCATCAAAATTTCTAATTTTCTTTATAAATAATAAAATTCTTCTCCGAAATTCAATTATTTTCAAAAATTTTAATAAACTTTTTGTCAAAATTTCAAACTTTTTTCTCAATTCAATGAGTTTCAATATCTACCTTTTAAAAAAAATTCCTAAAAAAACTTTAATAAAATTCTACGCAAACATTTCATTATTTTCATAAATAATAAAAATTTCACAGGAATTCAGTTATTTACAAATTTTTTATAAATTTTTTCGCAGTAATTCGATTATTTTCATAAATAATAAAACTCATCACATAATTTAAATTATTTTTAATACAATTTTCATCGCATTCCTCGAAAAATGAAATTATTTAGAAAAATTTTATTAAAATACGTCAAAAGAATGTATTTATTTTAAAATTTTTTGAGAAAATTCTTTATGAGAATTCAATTTTAAGAAACATTCAATTATTCCATGAATTATTTATTTTGTATTTAAATAATTGAATTCTCGTCGAATTTTCTAATAAAAATTGATTTAAAAATAAATTTTAGTTAAAATTTTTGATAATAATTGAATTTTAATAAGATTACAGTATGCATTTTTAGAAATAATTAAAGTTTCAAAAAGTTTCAAATTAAAATCTTTAAAAATTGAAATTTTTCATACTTTGAACTAACAATTCTGTAGAAATAATTTTTTTGAAAAAGTTTAATTGATTTTTTTTTTTGAGAAATACATAATTGAAGTTTTTATTTTCTGATAATTGAAAGATTTCCGATTAATCGAAATTTCGTAAAATTGAATTGTAAACGAATGGATTTGAAAATTCTCAAATAATTGATTTAAAGAAGAATTTTAGTTGATAATTCTAGAAAATAATAATTGAATTAAAGTGATAAAAATAATTTTGAAGAAGTTACAGTAATAATATTTTTAGAATATAAAATAATGATTTTATCACTCGGTCATCTTTAATTATTGTAAAACATGAAGAAATAATCTTATAAAGTCAAAATTTTGTCTGGAAATCATGGAAAAGTCATGGAAAAACAAAGTTAAATTTTTCTGACAACTCTGTAATATTATCTAGAAGAGTAAACTAAATTAAATTAATTTAATTAATTAAATTAAAAATTATGTTAATTTAGGCTGAAGTATGGTTAAAAGAACAAGCGCAAAGTCTTGGTTGGGCAAAAGCGGAGAAACTTCAAGGAAGAAGTACATCACAGGGACTTATTGCAGTTATTGTTAATCAATGTAATGGAGCACTTATTGAATTAAATTGCGAGACTGATTTCGTTGCACGAAATAAACATTTTCAAGGACTTGCTGATACAGTAGCAACAGCTGTTTTAAATCATTCTTTAACTCTACCAAATGACGGTGGAATTTCAAAAATCATTTTGGACAGCGAATCATTAAAGCAAATACCAACACACGATGGTAAAACAATTGCTGATCATTCGGCATTGACAATTGGCACTGTTGGCGAGAATATTGGCATTAAAAGGGCCCTGTGCATGAGCGTTGGCTCCGATATCAATTTAATTGGATGCACTCATCCAACACCAATTAATCCATTGCCAGTTTCTTTCGGTAAATACGGTTCCTTAGTGGCTTACAAAACTCCAGAGCCTAACGAACAACTTGGAATTCAACTCTGTCAACATATTATCGGTAATTTCTCGTCAAAAATAACTTAGTTTTTAAGTTTTATTCGTTTCTAAAATTTTGAATGTTAAAATGAAGAACGAAGATAATTTTGTTACCTGATTTGATTTGTATTTTATAAAAAAAAATTATTTTTTATATTAAAAGAATTAATTCTTAACTATGTAAAAATATCCAATTGACATTATTTTCTATTTCTTTAGTAAATTTTAGAAAATATTCAAACAGAACAAAAATTTTGATCAGTTGAACGTTCAGAACATTAGAAAAATATTTTTGTGATACATATTTGTAACAGTTTTGTTTTTACGATTAATTGTAAAATTTTTTTTATTTGAATATATAATTACATTAAATAATAAATTAAATTTTTTTTATAATTAACGAATTGAATTCGTATTTTTTATAATGAAATAAATGTTGCATTTTTTTCTAGGCATGAATCCAACGAAAATTGGCGATCCAAATGTGGACACTCCGAGTAAAAATTCAGATGATGAAAATGTGATGCTCTATCAGGAATTTTTATTTGAACCAAGTTTAACAATTCGTGATGTGTTGGTCAATTCACAAGCGGAAGTTTTAGAATTTGCACGATTCGAAATGGGAGAAGCCATTGACGAGAAAGAAGATTTGAAAGAAGCGCAAACTTGTGGATAAAAGAAAGGGACAATTTCTAAACGAGAATTTGGTAAATACTATTTTTTTCGACAAAAAAAAAAGAAAATTAACTTTTGCATTAGAACATTAAGAAGTAGAAAGTAAAATAATTTACCAACTTTCTGAATTTGCATTTTACAACAAGTAATGAATTCAAATGTATCTTTTGCATATTTTTATTTAAAATGTATTTTAATTTTACACATTTATTTATTAATTATATTCTCGAGTATAAAATAGATACATTTATTTTTAAAAAGTCAATTTTTTCTTAGAGTACATAAATATTAAGAATTGTTATACGTTCCAAAGTTTAGAGAATAAAAGACGAAAATTCAGATAGAAAAATTTAGTACATTTTTAATTCAACAATGAATAAAATAAAAAAAATATACCTAGATGAAAAAAATTGAAAAATTTCGAATTATAAAAATAAATTTTTACTTAAAAAATACCCAATTTTGAATATATAATAAAATTATTTTGTTAAAAATAATAAAAAGAAATATACGGATAGAAAAGTTTTTAAGTAAGTAAATTTTTTCATATAAAAAATATTGCAATAAAAATTATTCAAATATTATTTAAAGTGAATTTTTCGAAGGCTATTATTTTCTTTCTTCTACTTGAAATCATCATGTCGATTGTTTGGCGAAGACCTAATTACTGAAGATTTCATTTTATTTTTCCTGCGAGCGTATCGAACAGATTTCCATAGCCACATTCGTGAATCCTTTTTCCAGTATGGAGCTACATCATCCGTTGAATGCATCGTACCCTGATTATGCAGTAATATAAAATTATAATAAGTAATTTCTATTCCATAATAATTTTTTATCGTTACAAAATAATGAATTTTATAAAAATTTCCACGAAACAAAATTAATTAGACAAAATTATTAACATATAAAAATACTTTAATAAATTTTGTTCTTTCATTATTATTCCTTTTTTTAATTAATCTAAATTTTCAATTGAATTGCATTTAATTTATTGGATTATTCTAAAATTGACTAATTTCTTAAATTAACACCTGGTGATTTAAAATTTCCGGCTCTTGCATATTTAATTGTAATGTCGATTTTTCATGAGTTTGATAACCACAAGTTGGCAATCCTTTTCTAAAATTATACTCAGTAGATGAAGTTGCCGAATCTTTTGTGAAAAATGATGTTCTGTCATTTTGAATTTGATGAATTTCAGATTCGACTTTCAAATTTTCAAAAGCGGAAGAGACACTTTTTGATGATCCCTAACATGTTGAGAGGAAATGAAGTAATTGAAAATTAGTTCATAAATTAATTTTTTAACTACTAATTATTTAATTTTTAAATTTTCAGGACTCGGACCGATTTTTAGAAGCAAAAAAAATTGCTTTTGTCGATTAAAAATACAAAAAAAGGTCGTTTATTTTATTCTGTTATCACAGAAATTTTATTTTGTATTTCTATGACCTTTTGCTGATTTCTAAATTAAGTTATTTAAAACTTCAATAATTGTGTTAAATAAATATTTAAATAATTGATTTTTTTACTTTTCTACAGGAATTACAATTTTTAAAATTTCAAGTTTAAATCTTCTGAAATTTGATAATTTATAAAAATTACACTTATAACAGTTGCAAAATTCAATTATTTTCTACAATTTTACATTAAACTTATTCTCTAAATCGATTATTTTTCATAATTTCCGAAAGTTCTTCGAGAATTTTTAATTAATTTAATTAATTTTTTAATTTCAATATTATTAATTTATTCATATTAAAAAATAATCAACATTTTGAAGAATTTTAATTAATAATATGAAAATACATTATAACTCTAACATTTTAATAATTTAAAATTTTTATTTACTTTTTTTGAGGATAATTAAATTTTAAGAAATTCTGATGAAATAATTCTAAGAATTAGTTTTTTAAAAATATTGTAATTTTTCAAAATAAAATGAATTTATTAAAAGAATTTTTAGACAATTTAAAAATCTTATTATTCTTTTGAAGAATTTTGATTAAAAATGTTGAAAATTATTTATTTTTCTAAAATTTTAATAATAATTTTAAAAAATTGGATTTTTAAAAAAATATTAATTTTCTTATTTTTTGGGGATAATATTTGAATTTTTAAAAATATGTAATTGAAATTATTGAGAAAATTGAATTAAAAAAAAATTAAAATGAAAAAATTCTAAAAATCAATTTTAAAAAAAAAAATTTAATACAATTTTAAGCCAATTTTTATTAATTTTCATTTGAAGATTTTCATTAGGATTTATCAGAGTAAAAAATTTTTTTTGTTCAATTTGAACAAAACTTAAAATAAAATTACTTTTCAAAATTTCCACTTAAAATTCTTCAAAATTTGATTTTGTAGATTTTTAATGAAACATTTGAAAAAAATTCATTATTTTCAATAAATATTACAAAAATTTAATTATTTAAAAACGTTTTATCTATGTTTCCAAGATTTAATTATCTTAAAATAAATATTCAAAAATTATTTTTGAAAGATTTGACTATATTTATTTTTCAGATTGTAAAAATCGAAATAAGTTTCATTTTATATCTCAAGAAAGTGGTATTTTGTTGCAATATTTAGAAAAAAGTCGAAAAAATCGCCTTTTTTGAAAATAAGTCGAAAAAAGTACCTTCTCTGAAAAGAATCGGAAAAAGTCCAAAAAATCGTATTCGAGGCTTGACTTCCGGAAATATTTTATTTACTCTTTATGTTTAAAAATTATTAAAATGTATCGTCAACATTAAAATATTGTAACTATAAATTAATTATTTTTCTCCGCGATAATTTTAATAGTAGCAAACCTTATTCTCTCCAAAATTTGATTCGCTATTATGAAAATCGATGAAATTAATATAACTTTCGGCATTATTGAGAGTTTTTCCACTTTCCTGGAAGCTGTCAACTAAAAAAAACAACAAAGTATAAAAAATTCGATAACTAATTGTTTTCCTTTTTTTTTATTTTTCAGATATTACCACTTGACTGTTCTAAATCGTCAATCCTCCAATCCATGACACATACACACAGTAAAATTAATTTTTCTTTCAATAAATATTCACAATAGAAAAACAACAAAAAAATGACATACTTATTTTAACAAGTTGTCAACAATTTTTCATAACCAAATGAAAATGAAAATTTCTTTGAGTGTATAAAGCTATGTTCATGGAGCAGAAAATATCCTAAAAATTGAAAATATGATTTTATTCATATTTTGAAAAAATTACAATTGAATATATTTTTTAGTTCATACATTTTATTTAACATAAATTGGTGCTTTGTGAAATGAATTTGATTTCTATATACAATGGAAATAATTGATTCTTATACGTAGCATAAGAGTTACATAAATTAATGTTATAATATTTATACTATAACATATAATTAAATTATAATTTTATATTGTTGAAAAAAGGGGAATTTTGCTTGAAATTAGAAAAGTGATGTGGAAGTAATTATTATGATTCAGACTTCGGATATTTACGATATAGAAGAAAAAAATTATTATAATATAAAATGAGAAAAATACGAGTCATCTCTGATTAGTAGACTAAAACATTTAAGCTTTCAAATTATTTTTTTTTCCATGTAAATAATTTCTTTTTTTTAAATTATCACTCTATAATAAACTTTAATGGTTGTAAATTCATCTTAACAATTGAATTAACAATTCAAATTTTTCATCTCTCTCTCTTTCTCTTTTTAATTTAATATACAATTCGAAAGATGAATTTCTGTGAAATCATTTCAAAAATATTAACATATTTTCAATTTCATTTTACCGTTAGTTTTCCATCTTTAAATAATTTTACAATTTCTTTTTTCTATCTTATATTATTATTATTATTATTATTATTTATAAATATTTTTATTGTATTAACATTTATTCTTGTAATTACTAAAGTACAGGCCTCGGATATTATGACTTTTTCGACTTTTTTCTACTATTTTTAGTATAAAATGCAACTTATTTCGATTTTTAAATATAATGTGAAAAATAAGTACATACCTAGACAAATTTTTCAAAAATTATTTTTGTTGAATAAATATTTTTAATATAATTAAATTTTTAAAATACACCTATAATTAAAAAAGTTTTGAGTAATTGAAATTTTGTAAAATTTAATTAAAAGTAATTCATTTTTTAAAGTATTTTATTAGAGTTTTTGAAAAACAACTTTTGAAGAATTTTAATTGCAAATTTTAAAAATAATTGAATTCTCAAAAATTTTAATGAAAAATCTTCAACTGTAAATTTAAAAATAAAAATTAGTTTTTAAAAATTATATTAAAATATTTTTGAAAATAGTAATTCTTAGAATTTTGTCATTCTTATTTTTTAAAAAATTCAATTACTTTCAATATTTTTAATTAGATACATATTTCCGAAAATACAAATGCATACAAAAAATAATAATATTAAAATTTTTTAGAATTATTTTTAACATTTAGGTAAAAACAAGAATGTTTAAAATTTTTAATTAAAATTCTTGGAAAAATTAATTAGTTTTTTTTAAATTATACAAAAAGTCTGTTAAGAAATTAAATTATTTTCGAACAAAGAATATTAAAATTTTTTAAAATTTACTTTTTTAGACTTATTAAAATTTCATAGAAATCATGTTCATATTTATAATTAAAATTCTTCAAAAATTTGATTGTCGAAAATAATTGAATTTTAGAAATAATATAGTTGTAATTTTTAGAAAATTAGAAATTATTAAATTTGAGAAGATTTAAATAGAAATTTTTTGAAATTTCATTTCTCGTGGAAAAACAAATTCAAGTTTTCAATAATTGAATTTAGAAATCAGTGAAAAGTCAGGGAAATACTAAAGCGATTTTTTTGCTTTTTAAAATCGATCTGAGAGGCCTGAAAGAATAAAATCATTTTTCTAGTAATTTTTCGTTTCTCCTTTTTTTTATTTGTGAAGTAGAAATTAAATTTTTTGATTTCAGTCAATTAGGGAAATATTTTTCTTTGACCTTTTTTTAAAGTTTCTTAATTTCATTTTAAAATAAAAAAATTCAGAAAAGATGTGAATATTAAATTTTCAACGATCAAATTCTCAACTTTTTCAATTTTACAGTAAATTAACCAAACGAAGGAAAATAAAATTTCTTCAAAATTTTTTTTCTAGATTTATGACAGTAATATTGGAATATTGGATTTTTTTTGAATTGGAATACTATATTTTTATAATAATTTTTGTTTTCCGCTTTTTTAATTTCTAAAGTAGAAATTAGAATTTTTGAAATCGAATCAATGCTTTTTTTACACTTTTTTTAAAAATTTCCTAATTTAATTAAAAGAAAAAAATCAAAAAAGCAAATTTAAAGTTCTTGAATTTTTCAATTTCATACAAAATTAATCGAACGAAGGAAGGGAAAACAATTTTTTTTTGAAATTCCTTTTCTAGAGTTCTGATAATAATAATAATATTGGAATATTGGAATATTGGAAATAGGTAATTGTTTTTCTTCACTGTTTTTAAAATGAGTGTGGAATAATGTAAAATTTGACCTAGTTTATGATGCAGAATAAAATGAGCGTGTATTTCACCTCTTTCTCTCTATTTTTAAATGAAAAAGAATTTGAGATAGGATCAAGTGCGCTCTTTTTCTTGATTCTTCTGAATCCATAGTCACGGTTATTGTCCTATACCTACATTATAAACGAAGCAACAAGAAAGAGAGAGCAGGTGTGTTAGATAACGAGTAATATGAGTGCCAGCAATATAGTTGGTGTGTATTCATGAGGTGCCCGTTGGTCACGGGTGGCAGCCCGGAGTTCCGGGCCCGCTTCCGGACGAGTCTTGCACAGGTACGGTTTCTTTTTTAAAACGGAAACATATCAGTTCTTCTCCAACAGTTTACACGTTCATTTTATCTTTTAAAGCTCTTCGGGAAAAAGGACAATTTTTTCACCAAAAGAACAAAGAGGAAAAAAAGAAGAAGCAGAAGAAGAAATAAATTAACATTTAAATGACTTCAGTGAATTCATTATAACAATGGGATTCTCCAAGAGGGTGAGTCTTCATTAAAAAAATTTCATCAACTTTTTACTTTCCATTTTAATCGAAAAACTTCAAATTTCTCAAAAAAAAAAAACAAAAATTCAAATATTTTTCTGAAAAAATTAAAAATTTGATTTATTATTAAAATAATTTATTTTATTTAAACGATAAAGGAATTTAAAACAAAAAAATTCGAGTACAACTAGTTGACAATTAATGCAAATTGTAAATTTGTTCCATTTTGATTTAACTTTCAAAATTCCTTAAATTTGCAGAAACTATTTTCAAGTTCCCTTCTCTTTTTTGTTTTTTCAAATGATAAAACTTTGAATCAAATTCGGATATTTATTTTATGAAATTAAATTTTAACTGAATTCGAATATTTATTTATTTTATTAAACAAATTTTAATAAAATTCAAACATTTATTTTATTAAATAAATTCGAAATTGAAAACAAAAACAAATTGAGTACAAGAAATTGACAATTGAAACAAATTGTTAATTGTAAATTTGTACCGGTTTTATTTTTTAACTTTAAAAATTTCTTAAACTTGTAAAATTTTCTATTTTTAAGTAAATTAAATTTGAACTGAATTCAAATATTTATTTTATTAAATAAATTCAATTAAAAAAATAAGAACATTTATTTTTCTTATTAAATAAATTCAAACCAAATTCGAATATTTATTTTAACGAATAATTCTGAATCAAAATCGAATATTTATTTATTTTACTCATTCGAATAAATTGTATTCGCAATTAAATTGAAATGAAATCCAAATGCCAATAGAAACTAATTTGAAAGTTGAAATTCGCAACAAATTCGAATATTTTACTTATTCTAATATAAGATATTCAAATAAAATTAAAATCAAATCCAATTGTCAAAAAAAACTAATTTGAAAGTCAAAATTTAATAAATTTGTATCAAATTCGAATATTTATTCATTTTATTTATTTATTTAGTTGAAATGGTGCAAAGTATAGAAATAAAGTGTATTCGTAATTATACAAAAAATAAACTAACACCACTCGTGAAAAAAAAACTACTTTGAAAGTTAAAATTCAAAGAGCAGACAAAGAAGAACTGCTAGTGTCAAGAAGACAATGGAACAAATTTTTTTTGTAGTCGAAAAATAGTGTCATGATTTTCTCCTCTCGAAAAAATTGTTCTTCTTTTTTTTTGAATAGAAATTGTTACTCCGGTGGGTAGTGAAATATTGTCGACTTCCTCTCTCGTGAAACTTAAACAATGTGTAATACAAGGTTCGCGCGTAATTATTTGATTGTAATGTAAAATTAGCGACTATTTCGCGCTGCTGGCAAAGTGGAATACATATACATATATACGTGTACATATGTGTGTGTATAATAGACTATAGAGTTTGTCTCTATTGTAAAAGAAGTATGGTGTGCAATATTATATTAGCACCACACAATGTTTCACGTTTTGTTTCTCACAATACTTCATATATATATATATATATTTCTACAAGAACCAGTTTCCTTCAAGCAACCACAAAAGTGACACTGTACAGTAATGTTTGACGTCATTTTAATTCAAATGAAAATTTTATAGTGTAAACAAAAAAAAGCATGTGTTGTGAATAGTAAATTAAAAAATTTGGGAGATTTTTTTTTCCATTCTTCTGGATTAAGAAAAAAATATGACTCTATCTAATAGAGAGGTAAATAACAAAAAATACTCTTTCAAAATTGGGGAAATTAAATTTTTCAATTTATTTTTTTAATCAATTCAATTATTTTTTAAATAATTCGCAAAATGTTAGCTTTTTCCTTTTTCAGGGTTTGACACTGATAAAATCATCATATTATATCTATTATAAGAATATTGTTACTATAACTTATTCAAAATTACTTTCATTATTTTAATTCAATTATTGTTTTCCATAATTTTTAACTAAAATTCTTCTTTATAAAGTGTAAATTAATTATTATTAATAATTTCTAAAAAATTCCTTTCAACATTTTCAAATTCTTTTGTTTACAATTGAATTTTACGAAATTTCATCGATTATTTATTCAGGTATTCGGAAATTCTTCAATCAAATATATATTAGAAAATAAAAACTTGAAATAACTTCAAAAAAATTCAATTCAACTTTTAGAAAAAAATTATATCTACACAATTTTAAGTTAAAAGTATGAAAAATTCAAACATTCAAAGATTATAATTTGAAACCTGCTTTTCAAAACTCAATTATTATTTAAAGTTTCAACTGAAATTCATATTTCAATTAATTATTATTAGAATATTCTACGACAATTCAATTATTTAAATACAAAAAAAAATAATTTATTGAAGAATTGAATGTTTTTTAAAATTCAACTCTCATTTAAAGAATTTTATCAACAAATTTTTAAATAGGTAATTAAAATTCTTTTGACGAATTTCAATAAAATTTTTAAGAATAATTTCACAGGGTGTCTACTAACCGGGAATTCCGAAAAAACCGGGAAATAACCGGGAATTTTATTTGACCGGGAAAAACCGGGAATTTTATATCGAACCGGGAATTTTTTCACAAAAATTAAAAAAGTTTTATTATTTTAATTTGTTTTTAAAAATTCAATTTTTATTTCAATTTTTATAGATATTTATACTGTTCTCTAAATTTAAGTTAGTTAAAAATAATTAATTTCATGATAAAAAACCAGTTACCAATTCAAATATATTATGTAAATAAATTTAAAAAAAATTATGGAGTTAATAGAAATATTGTGAAATTCGACTGAAAATATGTAATTAAATTTGTTAAAGAAATTCATTAGAAACTTTTTAACAAATAGAATTTTCAAAGTATTTTAATTTAATAATTGATTAATAATTGAATATTATAAAGAGTAAAATTCTAATGTATTCATGTTTCTTACTGCGAAGATTAATAATTAAAATTTTTATTAGTTAATTTAAAAAAATATACATACTTAAAATTGTTTAATAAAATTGAACTTTCGCAAAATTTTTTTTAAATCTAAAAAATAAAATTGTTGTAATTTTTCAATTCTATTGTTTCAAGATAATTGAATTTTTCTAAACAAATCATTGAAATTTTTTTACTTTTTTTGAAAAATAATTAAATTTTTTTAAAGAATTTTATTTAAATTTTTCGAAAATAATCAAGGGAACTTAGTGACCATAAATTATAATTTTATTTTTAAAATATAAAGTCCCTCTTACAGTTTTAAATCAATTTTTTGCTTCTAAAAATTATACTATTCTATTATTATTTAATAATTATAATTATTGAACTTCTCTTAAATTTTTATCATTTTAAATTTCTGAATGTTCAAATAAATGATATTTATTTATTTCTTGAGCAAATTAAATGTTTATTACATATTAAGTAAATAATTAATTATTGCTGCTTATTATTTTCAAAAATTTTAATAAAATCCTTCACAAATTATTTTCATAAATAATAGCATTCTTTGGAAGGATTCAATTATTTTTATAAATAGTAAAATTTTTTGCAGAAGTTCAATTATTATCAATGTAATTTTAATAAAATTGAAAAATCCAATTTTCAATTATAATTATAAAGAGACAAGATTATTTTTAAAAACTTGAAAAAATTCTTTGTTTAATTCAAGTATTTTCCAAGTTTTTAATTAAAATTATTGAAAAAAACATTAATTTTAAAAAATTTAATGATTTATTTATGTTTGAAATCAAATTTAAATTTAAATTTGATAAGAAAAAAAACCGGGAAAAAATTAGGATATAGCCGGGAAATAACCGGGAATTTTGTTAAACGAAAATAGTAGACACCCTGTAAATTTCATTTTTCGAGAAATTAGATTAAAAATGTATTAAAAATAATTGAATCACTGTGAAAAATTTGATTAAATTGAGAAAAGTTTTTGAAAATAATTGAAATTTTGTCAAGAATTTTATTAAAATTTTTTTAAATAATTGAAATATTGCCAAGAATTTTATTAAAATTTTTGAAAATAATTGAATTTTAGAGAAAAATTTTAATGTTTATAAATATAATTGAAATTTTGACTATAACTTTTTTTAAACTTTTGACCATAATTGAATTTCTGCTAAGAATTTTATTACTTTTGAAAATAATTGAATTCTTGAGACGAATTTTTTAATAATATTTCTTTTTAAATACCTAAAAAATGTTTTTTAAAATATATAAATACCTATAATTATTTTAATACAAAAATAAATAATTTATTGAATAATTGAATATTTCTCAAAATTGAATTCTCATAAAGAATTTTATTAACAAATTTTTAAATAATTGAATTCTTTTGACGAATTTTAATAAAATTTTAAGAATAATTACATTTTTCGAGGAATTTGATTAAATTTTTATTTAAAAAAATTGAAATTCTGCAATGAGTTTTATTATTGATGAAAATAATAATTGAATCCCTGTAAAAAATTGTATTACATATTTATGAAAATAATTGAATCTCTGTAAACATAAATTGAATATTTTTGAAAATAATAGAATTATCGCGAAGAAATTTATAAAAAAATTTTAAAATAATTCATTTCTTGAGGAAAATTTTATTAAAATAGGTAGTAGATATTGAAAATCATTGACTGGAGGAGAATTTTTGAAAAAAAATTGAATTTGTTTAAAAGAATTTCATTAAAATTTTTGAAAATAATTGAATTATGGAGAAAAATTTTAATATTTTTAAAGTTAATTGAAATTTTGACGATAAATTTTTTAAACTTTTGACCATAATTGAATTTCTGCGAAGAATTTAATTACTTTTGAAAATAATTGAACTTCTTTGATGAATTTTAATAAAATTTTTAAGAATAATTATACATTTTTTGAGAAATTCCCATTAAAATTGTATTAAAAATAATTGAAATTTTGCAATGAGTTTAATTATTTATGAAAATAATTGTAAATCTATAAACTTTTTTATTATTTATGAAAATAATTGAATTATTGCGAAGAAAAATTATAAAGGCAACTCTTTTAAAATTGAATTAAGAAATTTGAATTAAGAAATTTGAATTAAGAAAATTGAATTAAAGAAAAATTAGATTTCAAGAATAAGCACAATAACTTTAGAAAAAAATAATTTTTCAGGATTCCAATCAAAATTCCCTGACTTTTCCAGGTTTTTTCAAGGTTTATAAATATTCCCTGACATTTCCAGGTTTTCCAGGTTTCCAGGTTGCGTGGCAACCCTGTAATTTTTTGAAATTTTGTTTTTTTACTTACAAGCTTTTTTCTTTTTTTAGTTAAATGAACTACGATATTTTGTTATAATTCTTTTAATTTGTATTTATTTATAAAAAAATTATTTTGCATATTAAAAAAATTAATTGTTATCTAGGTAAATATTTAATTTTTAATTTTTCTATTTAGCATAAGAATTTTTTAAAAATATTTAATCAGAAAAAAAATTTCGTTCATTTACACTTTCAAAGTTTCAGGAAAATCCTTTTCTTAATTATAAATTGGTTTTTAAATTTTTATTGCAAATTATTGTAATTGTAACAATTATTAATTAATAATTTACCATTTATTAACAATAATTTGCAAATTATCATTATTATTAAATTAAAATAATATTTCATTACTATTATGTATTTTAATTCGTACAAAGAGAAATAATTCGATGAATGAATCAATTAAATTTCTGTGGAACTTTTTTAATAAACAATTTTCAATGGATTCATAATTTAAATTGACAATAAAGTCAATTAGTTTTCTTTTGGACAAAAATAATCTATTTCCTCTTTTTTACACGCAATAATTGTCTGGTTATACATTTATATGGGAAATTTTTTTCAAAATTTATCGGAAAAAAGAAATTTGTTTTCATATTTTTAATTATTTTTATTTATAGTGATGATTTTTATTTATTTAGTGTAAATGTTTTTATTTGAAAAAAAATTATTTTTCGAATTTTATATTATTTATTTTTGCTTTCTTTTCTTTTTCTTTGTGAAAATATTTAATATTATATTTTGCTTATTTCGAAGTAGTAAAATATTTTTATTACAGGATGACACAAGCAGTTGCTCGGACGACTCTGGTAGCGATGTTTTTAAAAGCATTCAAAAAAATACAAATGCATTTTGCGTTTGGCAAATTGAGGTAATTTTACATTGAAAATAATATTATTTAATATTCCTATTATTCTATTTAAAATACTTTTTTCATTTATTAAAAATTTATACCGTTTTTTATTTATTCTACTTTTTTATCCTTTTTTACTTATTCAATTTTTGTATACCCTTTTATTTTATCTTCTTATACTTTATTTTATTTATTTCATCTTTTTATATTTTTGTTATTTATTTTATCCTCGTCTACATTTTTAGTTATTTTTCCCAATACTTTATTTTTTTTTAAATGTTTTTTTATTTATTTTCACTATAAATTCGTAGTAATTCACTACTAATAAGACACGATTGGAAATTTTCAGTAAAAATTCATATTCATTTTTATAGGGTCTCCGAGCAATTTCGATTCGACGAGCGAAAATGGGAATTTTTTCCTCTGAATCAGCATACATCATCTACACAGTATCATCAAAAAATGGTCCATTGCCCTATCCGGGCGTTCCGGTAATAAAAAATTCACTGATTCTATAATTTTCTTTCAACTCTTGAAATAACACGTATAGAGAAAATAAAACATTTAAGAAAGAAAAAAATAAAAACGTAAAACTCATTATGGATATTTAAAAGCTATTACTTCGAAACGGAAATGGATTTAAATAATCCATTCTCCATTGAGTTAATCAGAGCGAAAATAATTATATTTTCGATAACACTCACAAAAGCCCATTTTCTTAACCAGGTTCTGCGACTATTTTCCATTATTTACTAATTTTATTACTTTTATCATATTTTGTTGTTATTATTTTTCTATGAAAAAATTGTAACAAAAACTGCAAAAAATAAATAAATGAGAAAATATCTAAAAATATATAAATTGAATCTTTGAATAAATAAAAAGAAAGAAAATAAATTTTATTTTTTGAAAGAATAAAAAAAAGACTGAAAATAGAAAAAATGGAACAAGAAATAAAAATATAATAATTTTGTCAAATAGAACAATTTGACAAGAAAAGGTAAAAAATAAATAAAGTAAATTTTGATTTCTATAATGTTATTTAACAAATATTAAAGTTTGAATTTTAAAGTAATTTATCAAGATTTGTTTGAGAATAATAATGAAATTTAATACCAGGAAAAAGAGGTGAAAGAAAACATGGCAATGCGAGCTGTTCATTTCTGGATTGGTTCGAAATGTGATTCGACAATGTCAGGAGCTGCCGCTCTTCGTGCTGCGGAATTGGATTCTCAAGTTACAGCGACAATATTATCCCGTGAAGCCCAAGGTCGTGAAAGTCCTAGGTTCCTGGCTTATTTTCGAGATCAACTTATCGTACAGAATCTTCACACAGTACAACCCACATGTACTTTGCATAAAGTTTCTGGTCTAACGGTACCAATCTTGACTGAACTTGATGGTCTCAATTGGAGCAACTTCACTTCCCGCGATGTTATTCTAATCGATTTGCATTGCAGGTGACAATTTTTTTTTTCTTCTTTCCTATACTCCCTTACTGTCTTATCTAAAAAATCTTTTACTTAATTTTAACAACTAAAAAAAAAATACAAAATTCAACTTTTTTTATTCACCAAGGAAGTTTATTTAGGAGTTCAAAAAAATTTTTTATAATAAATAATTATTTGATTCTTTTCGATTTTGGGAAAAAAAAATTATTTTTGACGCTCAGCGTTGACGCTGACTTCAGGAATCTTAAAATTGTTTCTAATACATTTACCTGTGAATATTTTTAATTGAAAAATTATTCTAAATATCAATGATTTTTTTAAATAAATATTTAATAATTATAATTATTTTCCCATAGGAATTAAGATTTTCAAAAATTTTAATTTGTAACCTTTTGAAATTTCAATGAATATTAATAATCGTATTCCGGATGTCTATTCACAGTTTGGAATCAGTTGTTTTTGTTTGTTTTTCTTTTCATAATTTTTTGGTAATTTTTCTTCTTAAATGTTTTGAATTTTTAATAATTCAAATTTTTACTAATTCATATTTAGAGAATATGTTTTCTGTGATACTTTTTTTGCAAGAAATATTTAGAAATTATTTTGTTTTCCATAATTTTGCGTCAATAAGTGAATTTTTTTTTTAATTTTAAAAGATAACATTTTTGTTTTAAAAAAAAGTCATTTTTGTAACTTTTATAATTTTTAACCTGACATAATTCAATAATTTAGAATTCCATTAAAACTTTTGAAATAATTTAATTAATTCGAAGAATTTAATTGAAATTTTTAAAAATAATTAAATTCTTTCGAGGAATTCAATTAAAATTATAAAATGAAAATTGTAATTGTAATTTTGATTTCTTGGAATTTTATCAAATTTTTGAAAATAATTTCATTGTTTACAAGAATTTAAAAAAAGTTGTTGAAAAATTTTGCCAAAATAATTTTTAAAAATAATACAATGCTTTCGAAAAGTTTTGTTAAGATTTTAAAAATTAATTGAATTCTTTCGAGATATTTTATTCAAATTAAATTGAAAATAATTGAATTTCAGCGAAGAATTTTATTCCTCATGAAAATAATTCAATTGTTTCGAAGAATTTGAGTAAAATTTTTGAAAATAATGAAATTCTCTCGAGGAATTTAATTAAAATTGTATTGAAAATAATTGAATATTTGCGTAGAATTTTATCAAATTTTTTGAAAATAGTTGAATTGTTTCTAAGAGTTTAAAAAAATATTTGAAAACAATGAAATTTGTTTGAGAAACTTAGAATTATAATTCTATTGTCATTGAAGATACTTGAATTCCTGCGAAGAATTTTTTTATTTATGAAACTAATTTAATTGTTTCAAAGAATTTTATTAAAATTTTTGAAAATAATTAAATTCTTTAGAGAAGTTTTGATTAAAATTGTATTGAAGAAAAATTGAATTCTTGTAAAGAATTTTATAAATATTTTTTGAAATAATTGAATTTTTCAAGAATTTTCTTAAAAATGGTTTTAAAAATAATTGAATCCCTGCGAAGAATTTTATTAAAATTTTTGAAAATAATTGAATTCTTTCAAGGAATTTCGTTTAAATTTTTTTGAAAATAATGGAATTCTTGCGAAGAATTTCTGAAAATAATAAATAATAATTAATTAGTTAATAAATGAGCTTTTTTAAATATTTTAATCTGAATTTATTGAAAAGTAATTTTGATTTCCCTGACCTGTGCAACATAATATACTAGAAACAGTTAATAATTTAAAAAAATTCAATTTAGAAACATCGTGTTCCTGTGGCTTGGCTCAAAAGCCGAAATACTACACAAGAAACACGCGGCAACAATTCTCAAGCAACGAAAAGAAAACGAATCGCAAGTTTTCATAATTGATGACGGCTACGAGAGAACATTACCAAATGAAGTGAGAAAACTTCTCAACGATGTTTTAAATTTATCAAATAGAAATGTTATTCCCGAAAATCGACAATCATTATTATTGGCAAGTCCAGTGAAACTCTATAAATGTAGCGAGCAAACGGGAAAATATAAAGTTGTCGAAGTAAAATCAGGACCAATATTACGTAAAGATTTCACATCGGATTCAGTATTTTTGATTGATCGCGGTGAAATTGGAATATGGGCATGGGTTGGAAAGAATGTTAATGCAAGAGAAAAGCTCGAGGCAGTGAGAAATGCGCGTGGTTTTGTGAAAAAGAAAGATTACAGCGTAACAGTACCGGTAACGAGAGCTGTCGAAGGTCAAGAACCGATGGAAATGAAAACATTGATTAGAGGCTGGGGACAAACAAAAGCAAGACCTCTCACATTGCCCTCATGTTTTGAGCCCGAGTACATGACAGAGAGACCACGAATGGCGGCTGAATGTCAATTAGTCGATGATGGATCCGGTGAGAAAACTCTATGGCGAGTTAATCAACAGAACGGAATGATCGAAGTGAGAATAAAAAATAAATTCCAAAAATTTACATTTTTTCTATTTATACCTATTAGATTTTATTTTTCCATACATTTATTAATAAATTTTTTTATTTTTATAATTGGGTACAAAAAGGAGAAAAAACTAATTCTTTCATTTTTTCCAATTTTGAAGATTTTTTTGTATTTTAAATTTAAAATAGTAGGTACCTATAGTCCTATAGTTCTTTTTTCCTTTCAGGTGGAAGATCGAGGGATATATTATGCCGAAAGTTGTTACGTAATGCGTTACAAATACGGATATGGCCGTAGAAGCAGATTAATCGTAGGTTTAGAAATACGGAACAATGGACATTAATTTATAGTGCCGTGAATATTACCCAAAATCCGTTTGCCATAATTTTCATTGAACCGTAATTTATATTATCGAAAACATTAATTCCATTTATTCAAATCGCATCATTAATTAAATATCAATAGTTCTCGGTGAGATTATTATTTTACTATCAGCTAAATTTTACTTCATTTTCTTCAATTTAAAATTTTTAAACAATACCCTTTTTCTTTCTTTCTACCTTTGCCTTATTAAATTAAATAAATTAAAATAAATTATTAAAATTAAATCAATATGTGAAAAATAACCTAATTCTTAAATAAAATTAAATTGAATTTAAAGAAAAATTTTTAAAAGATAAATAAATTATACCTATATTTGTAAAGTAATGAATTAAATTTGTAAATCAAATTAAATTTGTAAAAGAAATGGACTAAAATATCAAATTAAATTAAATTTGTAAAAAAATGAACTAAATTCGTAAATTAAATGATTTTTGTACATGAGACGATTTTAATTCATAAATTAAATTTTTAAAAGAAATTAATTAAATTTATAAAAGGAATGAACTAAATACATAAATTAAATGAAGTTTGTGAAAAATACGAAATACAAAAAAATACTCGTAAATTAAATTCCTTTTGCAAAAAAATGTATTAGATTCATAAATTAAACTATACTTCTAGGAGAAAATAGTTAAATTCGTACTAAATATAAATTAAATTAATTTTTTAAAAGAAATTAAATCAAATTTATAAATAAAAAATACTTGGGATGAAAAATCAATTAAAGTTGAAATTTCGGTTCAATGAAAAACAGGAATTTTTTTGGATTAAATATTCAGCCACGTTTTCAATAGTAAACGCTCAGGAATAATGAAATGAAAAAATTGTTTTAGGTTTATTGTTGGGAAGGTGCTCATTCCTCCGGTGGAGACAGAGAAACGGCATTGGATGCTGCTTGTCAAATTGCCGAGGAAGTTTCTGCACAACTTGTAAAAGCCTCACAAGGCAATGAGCCACCTCATTTGTTACAAATTTACAAAGGAAAGTTGACTATTCTTGCTGGTCCGCACAAAAATAATCGTGAGTCTTAAGATTATTTAACTATAACAATCATAAAAAATTATTAGTAATAAATTAAGCATTAAATAATTGCTAAATAATAAATTTAATTCGATTAAAAGTTTTTAATATTTAATTAATTAAAATTGATTAATATTTACTTATTTATTTATTTTAAAAAATTCAAAACTCCTATCTAAGATCTAATTATTCTAATTACTTTCCCAAAAATACGTATTCATAAATAATTTTTCACCAGCGCCGAGTAAATACTTAGTCCGAGTATTCGGATCGACGCCCTACACATCAAAAGCCGTTGAACGCTCATTAAGAGCAAACAGTTTAGATTCGAGTGGAGTTTTCGTATTATTTTCAAATTCGCCAATGGTTTGGTGCGGAAGTCGAAGTACCGGTGATGCCAGAGAAGCATCGAGAAGATTAGCCCCAAGTTCCGCACCACTAATTTCAGAAGGCAACGAAGTCGAGGAATTTTGGTCTCAATTGGGAGGTGTGTCAGAAATTACCAAAAAGATTTTTTCTTTTTCAATAATATTTTTTTTAATTCTAATTCTTTGAATATCCGTTAAAATTGCAACTATTGTAATAATTCGAAAAAGAAAGAATAAAAAGAGAAAAATTTTCCACAGGTCGAGGAGAATATGGAACAGAATTTGTCGACGACGAAGAGGAACAAGAGAAACATTTATATCATTGCCGAATAGAACAAGATAATTTTACAGGCGAACAAGTTTTGGGCTTTTCACAAAGTTCCCTTCTACCGGAAGCAATTTGGTTACTGGACGCCGGAAACATAATATGGCTCTGGATTGGAAACTATTCGTCAATCAAAACCCTAAAGGAATGCGTAGAGCGCGGAAAAATATTTCTCTACACACATCCTGCGGGTCGAGATCGTAATACACCCATTTCGATAATTAAACAAGGTTACTAATTTTTCTAAACTCATTTTCAATTCAACATTTACTTTACGGACCAAAAATGAAAAATCACGGACCATTAACGGACCAACTACTGACAAAAAAAAATCAGTCCGAGTCAAATAAAAGAACATTTTACTTAAAACTATAAATTAAATTTTTTCATAACAATAAAACATGAAGATATCAATAAATCCGAGTCTTCGACTCGGAGTCATCGATTTTTTCATGTTTTATGATAATTAAAGATGGCAACTTGATAAAATCAGTATTTTATATTATAAGAATATTGTACTTCTTTAAAATTATTTTTATCATTTCAATTCAATTATTTTATTTAAGAATTTTTAACTAAAAATCAACTACAATTCTTTAAATCAATTCATTTTTGAAAAAGTTCTTTGACCATTTTTAAATCCATTTGTTTACAATATTGAATTTTACGAAATTCAACTATTCGTAAATTAATAAATATTAGAAAATAAAAACTTCAAATAATATTAAAAAAATGTCAATTAACAATTAAACTTTTTCAAAAAAATTAATTTCAAAATTCAATTATTTCTAAAAATTGAAGATATATTGCTTTTAATATTCAATTATTATCTAAAATTTTAACTAATTTCATTTTTAAATCAATTTTTATTAGATAATTCTACTAGAATTCAATTATTTAAAAAATACAAAAATAAATAATTTATTCAATAATTGAATGTTTCTTCAAATTCAATTCCCATAAAGATTTTTATAAACAAATTTTTAAGTAATTGAATTCTTTCGACAATTTTTAATAAAATTTCTAATTATAAAAGTAAATTTTGCGAGGAATTCGATTAAAATTATATTAAAAATAATTGAAATTCTTCGATGAGTTTTATTATTTATGAAAATAATTGAATTCCCAAAAAACAATTTTATTATTTTTGAACATAATTAAATTTCTGCACAAGATTTTATTTTTCTTGAAAACAATTGAATTTCTGCAATAATTTGTGACTTCTCCAAAATTAAATTTCTTTTTAGTGTTTTTAACTAAAATATTTCTATAAATCCATTATTTTTAATAATTTTTGAAAAAGTTTTTTAAGAATTTTCAAATTCATTTGTTTTTAACAGAAACTCATTTTTTAATCATTTTTTATTAGATACTTAATTCTACTAGAATTCAATTATTTAAATACAAAATTAAGTAAATAATTTATTCAATAATAGAATGTTTCTTAAAATTGAATTCTCATAAAAAATTTTATCAACAAATTTTTAGATAAAATTGAATTCTTTTGACGAATTTAAATAAAATTTTTAAGAATAATTACATTTTTCGAGAAATTTGATTAAAATCGTACTAAAAATAATTAAAATTCTGCGATAAACTTTATTACTTATGAAAATAATTGAATTCCTAAAATTCTGGTAGAATTTTCAAATAAAAATTTTATTTATTATTTTTAAAAATGATTGATAATTGAATTCTTTCGACAAATTTTAATAAAGTTTTTGAGAATAATTACATTTTGCGAGGAATTCGATTAAAATGGTATTAAAAATAATTAAAATTCTGCAATGAGTTTTATTTTCTTTTTAAATAATTCAATTCCTAAAAAGAATTGTATTATTTACGAAAATAATTGAATCCCTATAAAAAAGTTATTATTTAAGAACATAATTTAATTATTGCGAAGAAATTTATAAGAAATTTATAAATAATTGGATTCCTGTGAAATTTTTATTATTTTATGAAAATAATTAAATGTTTGCGTAGAATTTTATTTAATTTTTTTTGTAAATCATTGAATTCTTTTGGAAAATTTTTTAAAATAGTACACGGAAAAAATTTTGGTGCACTAGTCGTTCCTACTAGTGCACGAGCTATACCAAACCGCAGGACGAATGTTGTCCTAGCGCTTAGTATAGCAGACGTACCGTTTTGTGACAGCAGGCGCACCCTTTTGGTGAGCCCTCTGCATTATTTAATAGAGCAGACGATATACTACACCTATACGGATAACATACGTCCCATTTTCGTGCATCTGACGCGCCAAAACGAGGTAACAGTGCGCCGAACTACTGGTAGAACAACTGTACTATAGGCAGCGCAAATGATGCACCAAAATTTTTTCCGTGTAGATATTAAAAATCAATGAATTGAGGAAAATCTTTGAAAATAATTGAAATTTTGCCAAGAAATTTATTAAAATTTTCTGAAAATAATTAAATTTCGGAGAAGAATTTTATTATTTCTAAAGATAATTGACATTTCGACAAGAACTTTTTTTAAAATTTTTGAACATAGTTGAATTTCTGCGAATAATTTTATTACCTTGAAAATAATTGAATTTATCTAAAATTAATTTTTAAATCAATTTTTATTAGAAAATTCTACTAGAATTCAATTATTTAAATAGAATAATAAATAATTTATTGATTAATATTGAATGTTTCTTGAAATTCAATTCTCATAAAGAATTTTCTTCATAAAGAATCAACGAATTTTAAATAATTAAATTCTTTGGACTAATTTTAATAAAATATTTAAAAATAGTTACATTTTTCCAGGAGTTTGATTAAAATTATATTAAAAATAATTGAAATTCTGCAATGAATTTTATTATTTATGAAAATAATTGAATTCAAACAGAATTTTATTATTTACGAAAATAATTGAATTCCTGTAAAAATTTTATTGTTTATAAAAATAATTGAATTATTGCGAAGAAATTGATAAAAAAATTTGTAAATAATTGAATTCCTGTGAAAGTTTGATTGTTTATGAAAATAATTGAATGTTTGCGTAGAATTTTATTAAAATTTTTGAAAATAATTGAATTTCGGAGAAGAATTATATTATTTCTAAAGATAATTGAAATTTTGACGAGAATTCTTTATTAAACATAATTGAATTTTTGTGAAGAATTTTATTATTTTTAAAAATAATTGAATTTCTGCAATCATTTGTAATTTCTCTAAAATTCTCCAAATTATATTGTACAATTTACTAAATTTTCGTCCTTTTTAAATCAAATTACGGACTTTACGGACCTTTTTTAAAAAAAACTGACTTTTATGGACTTGAAGCAAATTTACGGACATTTACGGGATTTACGGACCTAGTTCGAGCCCTGAAAGAAAAGTGAAGATTAATTTCTTTTTCAGATTTCGAGCCGCCTTCATTTATAGGACTATTTGAAAATTGGAATCACAATTTCCTACGTGGTTATCAATCCTTCGAGGCATTACGTTCAATGATTGAAGACAAAGAGCAGACAATAAATATTTCTTCGAATAAACAAATTAATGACTTTAACAGTCACGTAAAATATCCCCTGAGAACTTTAAAAAACGAACCCGAAAATCTACCGACAGAAGTTGATGTTTCAAGAAAAGAATTGCATTTAACTTATGATGATTTCATCACCGTTTTTAAAATGGAACCAAATGAATTTGAAAAACTTCCAGCATGGAGAAGACAACGACTTAAACAATCCGCGGGTTTATTTTAATTTATTTTTTAAAAATATTTTAAAGAGAATGATTTTTTTGTACTTTTAAATATGTAGAATTTAATTTTTAAGAAAAGTAAATAAATTGAAAATCCTATGAAAACTTACGAGATTTATTCATGAAGGAAAATTTTGTAGTAAAATTTTTAATATGAAATAGAAATTAACTTAGGATGATGTGTCCATTGAGTCGGAGTCCACTCGGCGTACATTTTCCTCTTCGACAATAATTGGTCGTACAACTTTATTAAGCACTGCTGTTGTTCCACGTTTGAAGAGATATGATTTTTGTCGTTCGCCTTTTTTACTTGTAAGTTCATATGGACGGATATATTCCGTTGAACCTTTGCGAATAACACATAAATCAATTGAACTTCCAGAGCCTAAATCGTTATAAATTCCAGCGCGAATTGCATCAGCCACTAGTATTTTGCCTTCTTCTTCCTAAAATTTTGTTTTGTTTAGTAGAAATACTTTAAAAATAATTTTTTTTTAATAATGAACTAAAAACGTGAAGATTTTCGAGATTTAAAATTTCAAGGATGCCACATTTTATTTCGTTTTTTCTTGATTTCCAGATATAATTTTAACTTTTTCCTAATCCGTATAATAAAAATTCAATGTTCTTAAAGTTCCGAACTTACAAATGAACGAAATTTATTTATTTCCTCTTGAAAATTTTTATTTTATTTTCAAAAAAAAGTATTTTCCGTATTTAAACAATTATTCTTAACTGAATAAATGTTGAAGTTACATTACTTTTTGATTCAGTAAAGTAATTTTTGAAAATATTTACACACACGGAGAGAAATCTGTTGCTCTTAGCGCATGAGCAGGACGTACTAAAAACGCATACATACCACCTTGCGAAAGTTGCAAGAAATCCATGCTGATTTTTCATGGATTTGAGCAACTGTGGCACAAGTGGGAAAAAGCTGTGCAAAGTTATAGCGAATTCGGTTATCTGCATGTTTCAAAAAATTGACTGTCTCACAACTGGAGGTGTCTCACAACTGGAGACTCTCCCCTACCTAATTTTAGAAATTCACTTTTTTCCAGTAGTAAAAAAAATTCTCTGACATTTTCCTGATTTTTCTGACAAATTATATTTTCTCTGATTATTATCTAATTTCCTTGACCTGTGGCAACCCTGAATTACAAAAATTACAAATACAATCATAAAAATACGAAATTAAATCATGAAAATAAAAAATAAAGACATGAAAATTGCAAAGTCAAATTATGAAAATTAAAATTAAATTATAATACATACCTGTAAACAAATTTATAAAAAATAAAATAAAATAAAGTAAATAAATTTATAAAAATAAAATCATAATGCAAAAAAAAATTATAAAACTTAAAAATAAGGACCCACAAGTTCTGAACGTATAAATGAAAGAAATTTCTTAACGATATAAATATTTTTAATAATTACTGTCTACAATCGAAATTTAACATTTAAAATCTTTATAATTTATTCTTTTTATGCTCGACGCAATATTATTATAATAAAATTGAAAGAAGAAATAAATAAATTTCGTTCATTTGTATGATCAGAACTTCAGGGACATTCAAAATTAAATCATAGAAATTCAAAATCAAATTACAAAAAATGAAAATAAAATCATAGAAATTAAATGTGCTTTTTGTTAAAACCATTTTTTAATTAATAATTTTGTAAAATAAAAAGGCTCAGAATGTCTGTTACCAGAAAAATGTATATATAAATTTCGTGTAATCCTTAGAAAAGAAACAGTTATAATAAATATAAAAGTAAAATTATAAAAATTAAAAAATATAATCAAAATGCAACACAAATAACAGTTCTAGGCCTTTTCGTTTTATAATTATTAATAAAAATTAAATTATAAAAATTCAAAATTATAAACATAATGTAAAATAAAACTATGAAAATGAAAATTTACGTACAGTTAAACCCGGCTTCCATCGACTCTCAAAAACTGACATTGCAGCCAAGGATCCAGAGCCCATTGTCGTGTATTGTAAACTATCAGATGAGCCATGAGGATAAATGCAGAAAATATGCGGTCCCTTAAGATCAACGCCTCCGACTACCAATGCAGCACCAATATGTCCTTGATAACGGAACAAAAGTTGACAAAGCATTTTATTTGCCGTACTCACAGGTACAATGCGTCCAGTATGCAGACGATGCAATTCCAATTGACTCGAAATCATTTGAGTTGTCATTTCCGTATCAGCAGCGGTTCCAGCTCCACAGCAACTAATTTCAGAAAAATAAATATATAAATTACAAATTCTTTCGTTACATTTATTCCTAACGAAAAATTAATCAAATTTCAATATTATCGAATAATTGCTAAAAAAAATTGATACATTCTGAATATTTTCAGGGTTGCCACAAAAATTTAATTTTGTTCTTCCCTGATTTTGAGAAAAAAATTTTGACTTTTTGCCTGACCCTAAAAACATTCAGATTCACTCTAAAAATTATTAGATACATGAAGAAATCGATCATTATTTTATATTATAAGAAATAAGAATATTGCTACTGTAACTTCTTCAAAATTATTTTCATTATTTCAATTCAATTATTATTTTCTACAGTTTTTACCTAAAATTCTTCTATAAATCAATTGTTTTTTTATAATAAAAATTATTTATTTTATTTTCTAAAATGAAAACTTCAGATAATTTAAAAAAAAAATTCAATTAAACTTTTTCAAAAAAAATTAATTCTACAAAATTGTTAGTTAAAAGTATGAAAAATTAAATAATTTACATAGATTTTAATTTGTAACATTTTCAAAATTCAATTATTTCTAAAAATTCATCCTATAATGTTTTGAAGATTCAATTATTATTTAAAATTTTCAACTTCAATTAATTTTTAAATCATTTTTAATAGGAAATTCTACGACAATTCAATTATTTAAATACAGAAATAAATAATTTATTGAATAATTGAATATTTCTTAAAATTGAATTCTCATAAAGAATTTCATCAACAAATTTTTAAATAATTGAATTCTTTTGACGAATTTTAATAAAAATTTTAAGAATAAGTACATTTTTCGAGGAATTTGATTAAAATCGCACTAAAAATAATTAAAATTCTGCGATAAACTTTATTATTTATGAAAATAATTGAATTCCTAAAAAGAATTCTATTATTTATAAAAATAATTGAATCCCTGTAAAAAATGTATTATTTATGAAAATAATTGAATAATTTGAATAAAATAATTTGAATAAAAATAATTTAATAAAATTCTCCGCAAGAATTTCATTATTCTCATTTAAATAATATTATTTTTTAGAGCAATTATATTATTTCCAACACAATTTTAATAAAATTTCTCGAAAGAATACAATTATTTTTAAAAATATTAATGAAATTCGATTATTTTCAAGAATTTTAATATAAATTCAATTATTTTCGACAATTTTAAAGAAATTCTTTTTCAAAAAATCATTATTTTCAAAATTTTTAATAAAATTCCATCAAAAAATTTAATTATTTTCAAAAATTCAGATAAAATTTTTCGAAACAATTCAATTATTTTTATGGATTGTAAAATCCTCCACAAGAATTCAATTATTTTCATAAATAATAAAATGTTTAGGGGGAATTCAATTATTTTCAATACAATTTTAATAAAATTTCTCTAACAGGTTCAATTATTTTTAAAAATTGTAATAAAATTTTTCTAAACAATTCAATTGTTCTCAAAAGTTTTGAATAAAATTCTTTGTAAATTTCAATTATTTTCAAAAATTACATATTTTTATGAAATTTAATGAAATTCTTAAAAAGGGACGCATGATTATTCCCCAAATGTCATTTTTCCGAAATGTCATTTTACCGAACTGCACTTTTGCGAATAGTCATTTTTGCGAAAAGCCATTTTTGCGAAATGTCATTTTTACGAATAGTCATTTTTGCAAAAAGCCATTTTTGCGAATATTAATTTTTGCGAATTGTCATTTTTGCGAATCGCCATTTTTACGAATTGTCACTTTTGCAAATTGACATTTTTACGAATCGCCATTTTTACGAATTGTCACTTTTGCGAATCGACATTTTTACGAAATGTCATTTTTGCGAATAGCCATTTTTGCGAAAAGTAATTTTTACGAATTGTCGTTTTTGCGAATTGTCATTTTTGCGAAAAGCTATTTTTGCGAATTGTCATTTTTGCGAAATTTCATTTTTGAGAAATGACATTTATGCGAATTGTCACTTTTGCGAATCGCCATTTTTACGAATTGTCACTTTTCCGAAAAATACAATAGTAAACTTGTAGGTATATATAGATTCACTATTGTATTTTTCGCAAAAATGACAATTCGCAAAAATGACTTTTCGGAAAAGTGACAATTCGTAAAAATGGCGATTCGCAAAAGTGACAATTCGCATAAATGGCATTTCTTAAAAATGAAATTTCGCAAAAATGACAATTCGCAAAAACGACAATTCGCAAAAACGACAATTCGTAAAAATTACTTTTCGCAAAAATGACATTTCGTAAAAATGTCGATTCGCAAAAGTGACAATTCGTAAAAATGGCGATTCGTAAAAATGTCAATTTGCAAAAGTGACAATTCGTAAAAATGGCGATTCGCAAAAATGACAATTCGCAAAAATTAATATTCGCAAAAATGGCTTTTTGCAAAAATGACTATTCGTAAAAATGACATTTCGCAAAAATGGCTTTTCGCAAAAATGACTATTCGCAAAAGTGCAGTTCGGTAAAATGACATTTCGGAAAAATGACATTTGGGGAATAATCAAGCGTCCCTCTTAAAAAATAAATGTAACTATTTACAAAATCTTGTCAAGAATAAATTATTTTCAATACAATTTTAATTACTTTTTCTCAAAAAAATTCAATTATTGAAAAAAATGTTGATAAAATTCTGGAAATTAATTTAAATTATTTTCAAATTTTTTGATAAATACTTTGCAAGAATTCAATTATTTTCAGTAAATTAACAGGGTGGCCACAAGTTTCAGTTTATCAATTTCCCTGACATTTCCCTGACAATTTACTGACATTAAAATTACTTTCCCTGACAAAATTCTTTTTACAGAAAAATATGAATGTTTACGGAAAATGGGTAAAATTTATTAATTTGAATAATTTCTAAAAATTACAATTATAACCCTTCCTGAATTCAATTATTTTTTACAATTTTCAAGTAAACTTCATCTCTGAATCAATTAATTTAAATAATTTCCCAAAAGTTCTTCTAGAATTCAATTATTTAAATACAAAAATTTAATTTTTTATAATAATTGTAATTATATAAATATAATAGTTTTTCAATTTTGAATAATTTACAAACAATTAAAATTTGGTAAAATCTTTTAAAAATAATTGAATTTTTGAAAAATATAAATAAAAATGATCAAATTTTTGAAGAATTTAAATTTTAAACAGGACCATGATTTCTCAAAAATTTTAATAACTCCAAAAAGTAAATTTTCATAAACTTTTATTCACATTGTTCGAAGATAATTAAATCTTAAAAAATTATTTTCAAACAATTCTAATAATTAGTTTTTAAAAATATTTTAATGTAATTTTTCGAAAATAATTGAATTTCTTAAAAAAAAATTGGTATAATTTAAAAAACTAATTAATTTTTCTTTAAATTTTAATTAAAAATTTTGAGCTTGATTGTATTCTCCAAAATATTAAAAATAATTCTAAAATGTTATTATTTTGATATGTATTTGAATTTTTGGAAATATGTAATTGAAAATACTGAAAACATTGAATTTTTAAGAATTAGAAGCTAATATTTCAATTATTTTCAAAATTTGCAATTAAAATTCTTCAAAAATTGATTTTTAAAAATTGTAAATAAATACTTGAAATGTTTGGAAGAAAAGTCGAAAAAGTCGCAATTTTTTAAAATAAGTCGAAAAAATTCTCAATTTTCTTAATTTCCCTGAAAAAATTTTTTTCCTGACATTTCCCTGACTTTACTGAAAAAAAATTTGTTCCCTGACATTTCCCTGACTTTACTGACATGTGGCCACCCTGATTAATTTTATAATTGAAAACTTTTAAAAAGGAATATTATTTAAAAAGTTAGGAAACAAAAGAAACAAACAGCAACTAACTTCAAACTGCGAACAGATTACCGGAATACGATTATTAATATAGAAGAAGATAGATTTGTAAATAATTGAATGCCTGTGAAATTTTTATAATTTATCAAAATTTCAAATTTATCATAATTAAATGTTTGCGTAGAATGTTATAAAAATTTTTGAAAATAGTTGAATTTCGGAGAAGAATTTTATTATTTATAAAGATAATTGAAATTTTGAAGTTCATCTGTTTATGAAAATTGCAAACGCAACTCTTTTAAAATTGAATTAATTTTGAAATATTTTAAGTAAAATTATTCATTAAATAATTTATTTATTTTTTGATAGTTGTTCAAGATTCAAGTTATTTAAAAAGAAATATTTGCCAGAAATAGAAAAAATATAACATAAGGTTTTGTATTAGAATTTGTGGTAATTTCATAGTTAGGAGGTAAACAAAGATGACACCAAAATTCTGAATTTTCTTATATGAATTCAAAAAATTAAATTTTTTCCCTGACCAATTTTACTTTTCCTGATTTTTTCCTGACTTTCTTGACCTGTGGCTACCCTGATTTTTAAATTGCGAATTATTTGGAAATAAAATATTAAATTAACGATAGTTGTAAACAATTTTCTTTCTATTTGTTAAATAATTGATAAAATTTTGTAACATTGGAACAGAATTTTTTTCTTTATTGATTACTTAATTGGATAATTAAATAAATAATTAATTAATATTTGATATATTAACTTACTAAATATGCTGACTGAGATAGTGAATTTTTTCCGAATTCAGATCAGCTACAATTGTATCGCTTGTTGCTCTCGTATCAGCGCCCAAAATAACTCCATCTTTAAAAATTATTCCGGCAATTGTTGTTCCTGTTTTTTGTGCTTTCGGCACTTGAAATCCTTTTGCCGATAGAAGTTCATTACTGAAAAACAATACAATTACAGTGACAAGTTCTTTATCGGAGTAGAATAAATCATATTCTTGTTATTGTCATACATCCACTTCTTTTTAATATTACTAACTGAATACAAATTTTTATTCTAAAAACAGTCTTTTATTAAACAATAGTATGAAATCTGAATGGAATAAAATGTAATATAATGTGTAATATAACAAAATAGAGGAAAATAGAAAGAATTTGTAAAAGTAGCAGAGCAAACGTCATATTCAAATTGAGATGTATACAATCTTCTTCTCAGAGATATTTATAAGTAAATAAAATGAACCGTTATAATAAAACAGTCCGTAATTATGAAATTATTATTAAAATTTAATTATATTTTGTACATTTTAATGTTTAAAGTAACTTTTTTTCAAAAAAGTGACACAGCATTATTGATGCTTTATAGGTTAGGTGTATACTTTCGTTGCAAATTTCTCGAAATTAATGTAATATTTACATTTTCTAGAGAGATGTAAACGATATTTTATTACTTACCGTTGACACAAATCAAAGGAAAATCCTTCAGCGGGTATTTCAGGCGCTAAAACTGAAGCCATTTTCAGATATTTTTGTTAATAACGCTTTTTCAGTAAGTCACTGTAACATAACCTAGTTATCTTAAACTTGAAACTTGACAGCAAACGCATGCGCAGTGCTGACAGTGGTGTTACACACCCGCGAAAAATTTGAATATCCTAATTTGTCCCGTCACTGTTTTTGGAAATTATTTATTCAAAAATAATTTCATTACACGTAAAAAAATACATCTTTAGTTTAATTGTCTTACGCTTTTATTTTTATTACAAAGAATTCAATTTTCTTGCACTTTATTTTTAAATCTGTTGTGTAAAGTTATCGAATATACGACACGTCACAATAGATGGTTGCATATCCGCAGGCGCCAGAGGACAATTCCTAGGAAATCACATTTGTTATTTATTTATTTAAATTATTTAAAAATGTTAATTATTTTTTTAATAATAATAAAATAAATAGTAATATTATTTTTATCTACATTAATGAGACTCACATTAATAATAATCGTTGAATTTCGGTAATCTGTTCACAGTTTAGTTGGTTTGTTTTTGACAGTTTTTTTGTTTCCCCTAATTTTTTAAAAATAATTTTTCTTTCTAAATAGGTATTTTGAATTTTCAAATAAATTTAATTTTAATTTATTGCTTTAAAGATTAAAGACAAAAAGAATTAAAAATTATAAACTAAACTTTTTAAAAAATAATTGTATTCTCTCGAGAAATTTTATTAAAATTGTATTGAAAATAATTGAATTTCTGCAAAGCACTTATTATAAAATAAAAAAATAAAATAAAAAATTATTTAGAAAAATTCAATTAATTTCTGTAAAATTTTAATTATTTCCTTGAAAAAATTTAATTATTTTCAAAAATTTTTAATAAAATTCTTTCGATTAATATTTTAGTTGAAAATATATTGAAATTAATTGAATTCTCTCGACGAATTTTATAAAAAATTTAAAAAATAAATTAATTCTTTCGTGGAGAATTTCATTTAAATTGTATTGAAAACAATTCCATTCATGTGAAAAATTATATTGTTTATAAAAATAATAGAATTTTTGTGAAAAATTTTATTATTTATGAAAATTATGGAATTGTTGGGAAGAATTTTATTAAAATTCTTGAAAATAATTAAATTGTTTTTCAAAGAATTTAATTAAAAGTTGAGAAAATAAATAAAAAATGTTTTAGTTTTTTAGAAAATAAAATAACTAAATATAAAAATAATAATTAATTAGTTTAATAAGTAAATTTTATTAAATTTTGAGTCTAAAATCATTCAAAAATTGAAGTTGATATTTGAAAATAAAAAAAATTGAAATTCCCTAAAACTCAAAATGTGAGTGGATTTGCAACAGCGAACCATTCAGGGTTCGATTCTTCATAACTACGAATTTTTTTATTATTTTAAATATAATAAATAATTTTACTAATCATCCCTTTTTCACTGAATAGATTTTGTATTATAGTAAAAAAATACCTACCTACTGAAAATTTTAAATTGAAAAGAAAAACATTTAAAGTGTTAAGCTTAATTGAATTTAAATTAATTATTAAATTAAATTTGTAACTTTTTTTCAAAAACGAATATTTTAAAATTTCTGCAGAAGATACAAATATCACCTCGAGAGTATGCTAAAATATCTTCTGAAGCGTTTTTTATGGCAGTTGTAAATTTTACTTTTATCATTGTTTTCTTCAATCGTCGATTCTCCTTTGTCTATAATATAATACAAGATTTACAGTAAGAAAAGTGATTACATTAAAATTGCAAAAACGAATTTCTCATTTCGAAATATAGAATTTTGCGGTTTCTAAAATGTTTCAATGATAAATATAAAAGAAAACAATAAAACTAAAAAGCGAATTTTTATTATTATTTTTATTATTATTATTATTAAAAATTATTTATAAGAGTAAATAAGTAATGAATAAATTAATAAAATTTTAATTAATTAATTAAATTAGTGATGGAAATAAAATTTTAGTTTATGTAAAAAATTGCGGATTAATTGGTAAATTATTAATTAAAATGAAACATTAAATAATTAACTTAATTTTTAATTTTTGTATTTTGAACATTCATATAAATTTTAAATTATTATAAATATGTGTATAATATTTTTTATTAATAATTGTTTAAATAAATCAAAAATTGCCCTTCAACCTTATTGAATATTAAAATATAAAAATTAATTTTTATTAGACTTTAAAGAAGAAAAATTTCACATAAAAATGAATGATTAAATTATCTCCAAAAATTTCTGAGAAACTTTCAATCAAGATCGTTGGCCTCTGATTCATCTGCAAAATGTGTATATGTATATGTATATTATTATTATAAATGTATATATATGGAAAGTGCATTTTCGATTATAAAACCGCACCCAGTTAATAAAATATGTTCAAACTTTTTATTATTGCCAATTTCTTAAGTTTTTTAATATGTAACCATCTTTTAAAAAATAAAAGATGGTTATATGTGCAATATATTCCATAATAACCAGTATAAATGTTTGAAATATTATATACGCAATTATAATATATGCAAATTCTATATATAAAGAAATGAAAGTTCATATATATACAATATGTATATATTTATATATGAGATCTTCTAATTGATGATTTTTGATTAATGATCTTTCCACGCCTTTCTTTTTAAGTCTTAAGTACCCAGTGAGAAATTGCCAATAGACTTTAATCGGTCCAATATCGGTCCAATATTGGTTGCCGTGCTGGGCGCCGATTGACTCCCAATATTGGACCAATATGGGCTGATGCTTGGGATGTAACGGCATCGCCAATCATCGGTTGTCAATATTGGTCCAATATTGGCCGAATATTGGCAACCAAGAGAAAAAAATTTTTTTAAATAAATTTTTTTTAATTAAATAATAATAATAAAAAATTAATGTTTATAATTTTTGTTTAATATATTTATTTGTTTAATTATTTATTTTTAATAATTCATGTAAATAATAAATAATTTATTATTTATAAATTATAATTATTTAAAAATGCAGCAGCTATTAGAAAATAGCATTCTGCAAAAAAATTCTATCATTGAAAAATCAATGATAGGCGAGAGAAATCCGCGTCTTTAAATAGATTCGCAGATGATAGACAAGAGATATCCGCGTCATTAAACGGATTCGCAGATATACTCTGGTCTCGCGACGAATCTCTCGATACTTATATACACTGGAGTCGCCGTGTCAGTTGCGAGAACGGTTACAGCGTCCCTCTTGCGGCAGAGATAAGAATTGTCACGTAAACTGCTAAATCGCTTTACCGACCGCCTTATTATACCCGCAGTTTACGTGACAATTCTTATCTCCGCCGAAAGAGGGACGCTGTAACCGTTCTCGCAACTGACACGGCGACTCCAGTGTATATAAGTATCGAGAGATTCGTCGCGAGACCAGAGTATATCTGCGAATCCGTTTAATGACGCGGATATCTCTTGACTATCATCTGCGAATCTATTTAAAGACGCGGATTTCTCTCGCCTATCATTGATTTTTCAATGATAGAATTTTTTTGCAGAATGCTATTTTCTAATAGCTGCTGCATTTTTAAATAATTATAATTTATAAATAATAAATTATTTATTATTTACATGAATTATTAAAAATAAATAATTAAACAAATAAATATATTAAACAAAAATTATAAACATTAATTTTTTATTATTATTTAATTAAAAAAAATTTATTTAAAAAATTTTTTTTCTCTTGGTTGCCAATATTCGGCCAATATTGGACCAATATTGACAACCGATGATTGGCGATGCCGTTACATCCCAAGCATCAGCCCATATTGGTCCAATATTGGGAGCCTTTATTGGACCGATGATCGGTCTCTTGGCTCCCAATATTGGACCGATATTGGACCGGTGAGAAATTTCTCACTGGGTATTTATAGATGAATGCAAAATATCCCGCAGATGATGATGGAAAATTTTTTTTTATTTTTAAAAAATGCATTTGTCTGAAAATAGGAAGAAAGTTTTGTGCTTTTCAAAAAGTGTCAAAAGTACGGAATCAATTTGTTAATTTTTTTCTAATTGTATTTTTTTAAATTAATTGTTATTGCTTTTTTATAAATTAAAGAATATTAACCCTCCTACGGTTTGATTAAATTGCAGAAATCGGTACCAAAATGGTTCAATTTACCCGGCATAGAAAATTTTATATCTCAACATGCTTTAATAGTCTTTGGGGTCGCTGATTACGAATCTGACATTAGATTTTTAAAATTCAAAATGGCGGATCCAATATGTTTCCAGAAGCTTAACACAACTTCTTAAATTTTCGACCGCTATATTGGATCCGCCATTTTGAATTTTGAAAATCTGATGCCAGATTCGCATAATCAGCGACCCCGAAAACCCCCCGAGTAATGATTTTCATAGCTGATTTCAAAATCTTTTTGATTAAATGCACATTATCCACTTATTGAAAAATTTGCTTGTTTAACTAACTTTTAAAGTTATGTAACTTTGATAAAAAATTTTTTTATCATTGCAAACCAATATTTTTTTGTAAAACTTAGAGCATTAGCTTTAATTTCCACTTTGGATCGCATGTTAGTTACCCCGAGTATTTTACTTACCCATTTTTTGTACCTATTTATTTATTGTTTATTTAGATATTTACTTAGTTATTTATTTGTTTATTTATTTCTTCAGTTATTTGTTTTTTTATTTACTAATCATTTATACAATTATTTATTTATTTCATATTATTTGTTTATTTTTATACTTATTACTTATTTGTTTATTTGTTTGCTCATTTATTTATTTGTTTATTTATATTTTTATTCATTCGCTGTTAAAAAAATATAATTCCTATTTTTTTAAGTTTTTAAATGCTTTAAATCATTCGGTATGAATTAATTAAAAATTCACTTTGTGTTTTTGAACTCTCAGTTATATACATAGAAAGTGACATTAAAGAAAGAAAGAAAGAATATAAGATTGAAATTAGTGCTTTCAAGTTCATTTCATGTTTAAATACATCTGCCAGAGCGATTGGTCTCGCCTCGACGGTAAATCTCAGGTATAACTCGAAATTAAATCACCTTACTA